TGTTGTGAATTAATGTGTAAATTAGGTTGAATACGGAAGAGAGGAATTACTTAAACATAGACTTACTAAAGAGTACTTGAAAAGAAAGTGGGAATCATCTATATTTCTATTTATTATGTTCGTTCTCTTCCATACAACATACATAATATCATTTACAACATTCCCAACAATATCGCATTCTCCTAATTACAATTCAGACTTGATAAACATTTCAAAATCTGATGATTTAAATAAACTTTTGTCTCTTTGACCTTATTATCTATGGTTCATCTATTTTTGTCATTATAGATCTTTTTTTAAAACTAAAATTGGTAATTTTTAATATTTTTGCAAACAAAAATATTCTATTGTATTTGATATGAAACATTATCAATTAATTAGGTTACGAAATATAGTATATGGGAGTCTGGAGCTATAATGTTATTATTTGAATGGCTAAATTTAATAATGCTTTTAAGGAGTTTTCCATTGTTTGGAATATATATTTCTATGGTTACAACAATAATGAAAACTTTTATGAACTATGTTTTAATGTTTTCCCTATTCCTTTGTGCTTTTAGCTTTTCTTTTCACGTTTTATTTAGAGATCAAGTAATATTTATTGCACATTAAAATTAACATATGTTCTTTACAATGTTCTTTATTCTTATCAAGCGAAACCATATACGTCTTTTATTAAAACTGCTGTTATGATGTTTGGAGAAATAGATCTTCTTAGAATGTTCTTTGCAGCTGTTTCAACTTCATCTTACATTGTTTTCATTGTATGTCTAATAATTATGCCAATAATTTTAATGAATCTATTAATTGGACTTGCCGTCGATAATGTAAATTTATTAAGAGAGCGAGCTAATTCAGAAGTTCAGGGTCTTATTGTTAATTTGGCATTAGATTTATAAGTTTCACAAAGGTTAAAGGCAATTTATAAATTATTTCAAAGAGATTTTTGCTTATCTTTGAAAGGAAAAAAAACGAGAAAAAGGGATAGACCTTAAAAATTCGGAAATAAGACCTTTACTTCCTAAAGAGGAAGCCGATAGCGTTCAAAATACTAGATCGATAAGAAAAAGAAAGGTAAAGATCTTTAGTTGTTGGGAGGTTATTTGTTATGCAGTGCGAAAAAAGCATCATTTTAGAAACATATCACTGATAATCTTGGAAAAGATAATTAAATTAAAATCGGATGTGGACGATAATACATTAAAATGTTTAACACTTAAAAAGAAGGGTAAAAAGGCCAGTGAAAAGATGAACTTTGAAAACCATATTAATAAATTAAAGCATAAAGTATCAATGATTGAAAAACTAGTTAAATTAGATAGGCATATTCGTTATACAGTGAATTATCTACATTTATGCGTAATTGAACAATTAATAAAGAATTTTTATTAAATATGATTGGTTGATTATATAGTGTATACGCTTTTCAATTCAACTTCTTTATTCTCTCTCTCTCTCTCTCTCTCTCTCTCTTATCTCGTATATCTTTATTATATATGACAAAAAGAAAAAAAAGAATACTTAGATGACATTCTACTGTATATTTGCTCAACGAAATGAAAATAATAATCATTAAAAGAACAATACAAAGGATAAAATCTTAATATATATTTTGAAAAGTAACAATCCTATTTATATACTTTCAATTGAACCAAAATAACCTTTTAATTTCTATTTCATTGTCAAAGAAGTAGCTGTACCGTAAATTTTATTATATCTTTACTATTTAGTTGAATAGGACTATAGAGCATAAAGATATTTCTTTTAATAATGCTCTTTTTAAGGATGATTATTCTTCTCTGAGAAATACTAACTTGTGGCGCCACCAATTGAAAAATTAATGCAATAGATGGCATTACCGTTCAGTTTGCATCTATTATTATTTATATTACATGCTATATAAATATAGACAGACGCGAAATATTTAGGTTAGTTTTCGTTCGTTTTACCTAAAAAAAAGATTATTATTCTTTTAAAGGTTTATTATCTCCCTGTTTGGTCCAAGTATCGAATTATATAAAAATGAACTTTTGTTTGCGGTTCTACATGGTTTTCGTTGATTCTGAAGGGCAAACCATTCGCATAATACGAAAATAATTTATTTACATAGCAAAAAATTAGACTTTTGTTTACTAAATAACAGTTGTCTTTGAATCTTTACCAGAAAGTTAGATTATCTGTACGTTAACAAGTCAAGGCCTCATTTTACAGAGAGGGATGACTACATAAAAAAACAGAGAGAGAAAGAGAGAGATAATAGAAACATACTTTAGAATAAAAAACAAATAGATTAAAGTTTAGATTAAAGAGAGATTATCAATGAAATAGTAGCAGTCCCTTTTTTTTAATTAAATAATTATCTTAATTAATTGTCTATTGATTTTGATTTTAATTTTTTTTTATCCAGATCTCAGTTTCATATGGCAACTCGTGTTTTCGCATTCACTATTTTATATACAGTATATACTGTATATATATATATATATATATATATATATATATATATAGAATTTCTTTCCCTTGTTCATATTTCACATCCATTCTTTATACATTTATATAGGTTTCAATAGTTTAAAGATGTCGTAAATGTCATCTTATACGTAAAAAGGAATTGTTTGAGGAGCTTTTAAATAAAAAGAAAAAGGACAAAAAAGAGAAGAAAACGAAGAAGAAAACAGTGGAAACTTCAATGGTTTTATTCTATCAATCTATAGATTTGGTTTTCTTAAAACATAGAGAGATGATATTATATTTCTTAGTATGAAATATAATTAGATTAGATTATCGGTTTTAAAGGCAATTGTAAGAACATAAATTCTCCTTATCTCTACTTTGTAAGTAAGCTGAAAAATTGAGTAATTTTGATAAATACAAAATTTATATAGTAGGAACTTTCATCGCAAATATCAATCAAAAAAATATATTTCGTTTCCAATTAGTTAACCTACTTTCCTTTCAAGGACCTGGATCATCAATATGTCATTCGAAAGATTGTTGAAATTGATCCTTCTTCCTTTACATTCTGTCTTACTATTCATAATTCAATAACATTTTTTTTTTAAAAAAATATTTATCAATTAGTATACTCAACTTTAAACTTAATTTTCTACTTGCCTCCAATGAAAGAATTAGATATAAACCTTTTGAATAAGAACAGATTAGATCACATCGTTAATCATCTTATCTCTTCTTCACAAACTCTTTTTCTCTCTATTTCGTACAATGAAAATATACTATTTTTTCTAGAGATTAGGTTAAAGACTGTTTTATGTATAAGAGAGAGAGGATGGGGGAATTGAGAAAATTTTTAATCCAATACTTAACTATAGTAGACGAAATAAACAAAAGTAATGAAAATGACAAGAATAGAAATTGTATAATGTCAAAAAGAACATACACTCTTGAAGACAGAAAGAGGGTGGAGAGCTATTTTTTCTTCTATAGCCAAATAAATAACCTTTGAAAACTAAGGAGGTTAACTTTTAACATTGAAAATACTTTAATTGTAAAATTGTAAAAATAAAGTTAAATATATCTACAATCTAACAAAACTCACACGCCTTTTTGACTGATTAATTACCTTACTGAAAGTGATGAAATCGATTTATACAGTATTTAGGAATATCAATTCTTAATGTTTATATTCCCTTAGATCTTTTGTTTTTAAATAAGTTAAGGAAATTCTCATTGAAAATATTTTATAAGAAAAAAATAAATCAAAATATAATAATTCTCAAATAGAGATAGAGAGATGGAGATAGAGAGAGAGAGAGAGAGAGAGAGAAGATGGGGAAGAATAAAACAGTTTGTATTAACAATAAAAAAGACTTTTTATTTATTTATTTGCTTCTTTTACTACTGTTCTGTTTCATGTATAAAATTATGACTATTATAAGAATCTTATCTTTCTCTTTCTCTCTATCTCTCTCTCTCTCTCGTTCTCTCTTTTTTTTAAAAAAAAAAACAAAAATAATTACAATTCGTCTTGTATATATCAAAAATGTTGCTATACTTCTTTTAACAAGTTGTCACTGGGCATTTTTTGTATAAACATATAAACCTATTTGAGTGAATAACCGTTAGACAAGGGTAAATAAAAAGTTTATTGTTGAATTTTATATGAAAATGCAAGGGGGAGAAAGATCGTCTAAATTCTATGAAATAAATCAGTCATATAGTTTTCTGATTCATCAAACAACACTATGTTTGCTTTGCGTCAGATTGTTCTCGTTAGGCTATTCGTAAAGGTCAAAATCCTCCGGCAATGGTCACTAAACTTTCAAAGATCTTCTTTAGAATTCTATTTTATGTTAGAACAAAGCCATCATTTTTTCGAAATTTCATCGGGTACTCCCTCCTTTATTAGTAGTGATAAGCTCTATCTCATTCAGATAAGTTAAGTAGCTAGAGGTTAACGCGTGGTTATATATGTCGAAGAAGAAAGAAATAACGGGTGGTTAACGTTGTGTAAAAAGATGATAGAAAAGATGATGCGATTCTAAAACCTCTTTTATCTAGTGTTTTAAGTGGTTATGCGTATCGGACAAGGTATGGAAATAATTAAGGGAACAAAAAGGTTTGTCGATAGAGACCAAATGTATATTCATCTAGATGTTAACCTTATCTCATATGACAGAATTAAGATACGAGGGCATGTTTTCGGTTTGTCGCCTGAAAACAGTAATGTTTCAAGAGCATTATTTGCCAAAACAAGCTTAAAACTACAGCGCTTCCAGCAATACACAAACTTTAAAAGGCGCACGCCCTCCAGTATTTTCCGTCAAAACAAAAACGAATTGAACGATTCTTATCGGCTGATATTCGATAGCATTAGCTTGAGAATTGACCTTTTTCCATCCTTTACTACTTGGTCTTAACCGGAAGCGATGCTTTATGCATGCGAAACAGAAGAAACAGCAGTTCCCTATTCATTCTCCCAATCATCAAGTTTGGGCGGAGCCTATCTGACCAATCAGCAGCCTAGATTCCTTATCGTAGTATTTTGAGGCGTTGCAGACGCCGACCGCTATCAGCCGTGCCGTTCGTTTAGTACTGCACAGCGCCATGGGAAAGTACAAGCGGATGAAATTAGATCAAACGGATCCACCATCGCAAGATTTTACAGACTCGGAGGATGATGGTGAGAATAAGGATAGAAAAAGGAAAGCACCGAGAAGTTCAGCCAATGCCCGAGAAAGGGCAAGGATGAGAGTATTAAGTAAAGCATTTGTAAAATTAAAAACAACACTTCCATGGGTACCCGCTGATACAAAATTATCCAAATTGGACACTCTAAGATTAGCTGCCTGCTACATATCTCATCTCAGGTGCTTGTTAAATCCGGAGAGTCCTGTCCAGGCAACTTCGCCAAGAATGCCTAATCCATTATCAATGGTAAGTCTATATCAATTAATTTACTAGTATCATTTAATATTTACAACACCGGAAAACAAAATCAAACAAATCGAGTGACTTTAATGGAAGATTTACTCTATAAATTCATTAAAAGTTTTATTATTAATACATTTACATATAAATTAGCGAGAAAATTAACTAATTTATCCAATTTGCATAAATAAAAGGAGTTTAATTATTAAAAAAGGTCTCAATATATTTACAGACTTGGCCCTTTTCGTTAAATGGCGATCAGAAAACGGTACCTCAAACGAAAAAGAATTCCGTCATTCCTCCATCGAAGGCATGTGAATCTCTTGATTAAGCCGAGAGCCTTTATAGACATTTTACAATACTATTCATACAAAAAATTATACATATTCAGTTAATATATCCTGATAAATTTACATATTTAATGAAATTTACGAATATATATATAGATATATGTGCGAGAGCATGTATAAATTAAAATATATATATGTATATAGGACTATATAGTTATTTTTTATATAAGAATATGACAAGTATATCGATGGTATACATATCTAAAAATAAATAAAAATTCCGCACGAGCAGTACACGAACGTATATACATCAACCAGTGCTTGACAAACAATTCTGGTTATCTGATATGGTTGGATTTATACATTGTTTGTCACGTAGGCCTAGCGTGAAGCAGAGTGCGCAACTTGTTCGGCAAGCTCTGGGTTATATACAGTATACACAAATACAGTATATATATATATATATATGGTATGTATGTATCTTTATACGCTGATATTTCGAAATATAAATATTCTTTAATACTTAAATTTACATTAAACAAACAAGAAACTTATAGAAAGATATTTGATTGAGAGGAAGATAAACGATTATAATAAATATATTTAAACGCTTCAGTCGTTAAATTAAACGTAAGTAGCTTTTATAAAACTGAAAAAAAAAGGTTTAATAGGCTTGTCTTAAATTAACGTGCAATGCAATGCGTATCTGCGTGCTTTACGATTTTTTTTTGTGGGAGGGAGACTTAATTACCTGTTACGTAGTTTGGAGATCACTAGTGAGAGAAAGCAGATTTTTCTTTTTGTTAAGGGAATCATACCAAAAATTTATCCGATCTCTTGCCTTTCGTCAATCGTCAGCTGGCTTTGAAGCGCCGAAAACCGTAACGGAATAGGTTATCGGTCGTAGGAGCGACAAGCGTTATACATTAATTACGATAAATTCTCTAATTAATGAACAGGCATGAGCCCTAAGGGTGATGAGAGCGTAGCAAATGCTGTATATACGGTAGTTATATACGTTTGGGCTTTTTTTCCCACAGAACTGTTTGTTTGTTTGTCCGACGTTGGGATAAAAAGGAAAGAGAAGAGTTTCGAATCGACGATAAGTCGTTTAAAAAAAGGTCGTCAGATATTTGATAAGGTCCGCCGGCAGCCTATGATGTTTGGCAGCTGTACGAACGCGTTTTCTATATAAAAATTTTACGCGCAGCAGAACCCAGTTTTGTTCTTCATAATTTAGTTTCTTTTGCTTAATTTTTACGCGCATGCGTATCAAAGATCAATTGAAATGTTTAGCGGAACGGAGCGTTAAATTGAAAAGTAATTCAGTAGAACGTTAATTGACATTTAATGAGTTCTCAACGGGTGTTTGTAGTTTGTCAGCGGCGTTTGCTTGTCATCGAGGAGCATCATTTCAAGGATGCCAACGCTTACGAAATGACTGAATGACGTTGACTAGCCTATTTTTGTTTGTAATTTAGCTCCACGATTGTTTTTCTATTAGAGGCGGCGTTGAAACGCGCCAGGGGGCTCTGCAGTACTTAGTCCATTTTACAACTGCCATATAATACACATTCCTTTGCTAATTCATTCCAACAGTGACATAAATCAAAATTTATCTATGTACTTTTTCATAAAAATATACACAAATGTAGCATACACTGTCATTATCTAATTCTATATACATTATGTAATTGCAATCTTGGTTAATTTTGTATTTATTCAAGTGCATTTAGTGATGACTTGTGGTCTTCTATAAATAGTGTTACGTAATTGATGAAACGTTGGCACTTATACCATTAACTCAATACTTTAAAAGAGAGAGAAAGAGAGAGAGAGAGAGAGAAAGGAAAAAAGAAAGATTTCTGGAAATAAAGACTGAAAGTAAGTACTTTTTTTTTAAAAAAAAATCAAATTCTACTTAGTTATTTCTGACATACAAAACTTATATGATATAAAAAAGATAAGGATAGATTCAACAATAAAGAGAACAATACGAAATTCTTGTACATATAAACATTTGGTTGTGTAATCCCTATTATGTAACTTACGATTTTTTACTGTTTATAAAATACACCTTATTACACGGACGATAGAATTGTTGACATCTCTCGCTCTTTCTGGTTAGCATTTGCATACATATATTTATTTATAGTTATTTAATCAATTCAATAATAGTTTTCTCTTCCATTTTACGAAAAAGTAACTCTTTTCTTTATCAAATTATAAAAGAAATGTATACTGTAAACATATGCATATACATATATATATATATACATTTATATATATATATTGATAATTCTTATCAATTGGCCATCTTGTTTACATAAACTTTGATATCTTCTTCTTGTTTCATCTTTCGTAAATCTTCCTTTTCTTGAAAATATACAAATATAGATAAAGAAAAGAAGAAATGAACCGAATAGTTTATACCCTTTTTAAAGTCAAGTTTATCTTAATCACTATTACATTTAAGACTGTTTTGGCTTACTATAGGTACTGTTTTGGGATATGTCTTATGAACCCGTTTAAAAGATTTGGTCTATTACTTTACGAGAATTGTGGTCATCTTTGTTTCTCTTATATGGTTTTAATTAAGATTTAAAAGCTTTTATAGACCTATAAACATTAAAAATTGTAATTTTGAAAGACTTCTTTGCCTCCTGGGCAAGGTTTTGTAGATATTTTATATACTAAATATACGCCCAATGCGTTTTTTCTATTACGAAGATCCTAGTAGTGATATTAATAACGTAAACAGAAAAGCAAAAAGAAAACAAAGTATCCTTTAAATCTCTGAAACTGATTAGCATGCTCGCACTTTTACTCGCTCTATCTCTCCCTCTCTCTCTCTCTCTTTTAGCAGATATCAAGTGATTGACCTATGGGATATTAACGTTCTGCTCTTTTCTTTTAAGATGTAGATCCTTCTCTTCCTAAATAGGTAATTTTATACCCTAGCTTGATTGAATCAAAGGCTGTACACGCGGTGTAGATCCATAAGACTCAAATTAAACTCCACTCAGTAATAATAATGCTGGACCAAGAAATAAATATTTATAACTAGTTTAGGCAAAATGTATATATATAAAGGAATTCAAAACTCCACATGTGCCTATCTATTGTTTCATATCATTCCTTTATATCCAAATAGTACATATCCTTTATATCCTAATAGCAGCGCATTATAAAACACACGTCGAAACGACACCTAGCGGCTATTCTTAAAAAACAAAAGTTGAAGTAAACAATATAAAGTAGATTTTTTTCTTGACAAATTGAAAGAGAATTAATATAATACTTTATCGGTTTCTTTTTCAATTAAAAAAAAACAGATATGCATTAGGAATTTTCTTCTAAATTCACTTTATCACTGAGATACTCATATTGTTTTTTTATCGAATCGTTTATCTTTAGCCACATTCTCGTTGCTTCTTTGACTAATACTTGTAAGCCTTCGGCCGTTTCCTCATTAAAATGGGAAGCTAATTGTTTAGCTGCTTCAATAATATAGCACAGGACTGCAGTGTTGGAACTCTGCTCTTCTTCAAACCATTCTAAAATCGTTTTGATGATTACGCAACACGATTTTCCGACTATGACCTGTTTCTCATCTGAAGATTCGCCCTTGAATATACATTCCACGGCATCTCTGATAAGAGCAATTATACTAATCAAGACTTTTCCGACTAATGTTTGATTACTTTCGTTAACTGATTGGAGAAAATTTTTCAAAAATAGCATTAATTACTAGTTTTTTCTTATCTTACTTAAAGCCAAATCTGATTGAAACGGTGGTACTTCTTGACAATATATCCAATATTCTTTTAGCATAAGAACTACCCTACTGACTTCAAAAGGAGCGTATCCAGAAATAACCTAAAAACAAAACATTTTAGAAATGATTATTTATAAATTACATAGTATATTTGTTACTAAACTGTTTGAAAGCATATTGCCCAATCTTCTATTTTAACCGTAACATTATAATGCTTCATTTTATCGAATAGATATTTTGCAATATATTCACGGATACTTTTATGGGATGCACTTAATTCAATAATTGCATGAAGTTGAACAGCATCTGTAGAAAAAATGTCTCTGTAAATTTTTAACTTTATGCTTAAAACTTGATCAGAAGTTTCAACAGATTTCTAATATCTAAAATTACACAAGGAGAAGTTTTGTTTAAATATCAATTTATTCTAATACTTTACCTTCTTTGTTTTCTCCAAAGATATCTTCACCAATTTCTCTCCAATAACAATTCTCATTTTTAAGATAACTATGCCAAAGTTCGGGAAGAAACTATAAAGTTAGACTATATATTATTCGCAAAGGAATAAGGAAAGAAACAATATTGTAGTAACCTGAGGATCGTCGCCTTTGTTAACTAACAAGGGGAATAGTAATATTGCACTTTGCCAAGGGAGATTTTCATCATCAGTTATAACTTTAAGGGCATCGATTGAAGCTTAAAAAGTAAAGGGTGTTATGATTCTTTGAAGTTTACTTTTGTATTGTTGTTACCATATTCCGGATGTGACGTATTGATATGATCAACAATTCTTTCAATGACTGAATCTACTTTTTCTCGAAGGTTATGCTCCTCTAGTAGAGTACTATGAAGATTTACAAATTTTCTTAGTAAATCCAGTTTTTGAGCAGGAGAGGAGTCATCCAGGATACTTTTGCAATGATAAAAACACTCAATTGCAACTGAAAAGTTATTTTCATTATCCAAAGCAGGTAGGAATATTTTCGTCACAAAAGTGTTCAAACTTAAAAGAGGGCGATTATCAACAATTTTAGGTCCAGGCTGAAAGAAATTATATTCAATACTTTTTAGCTCAATTAAACTGCAAGATTACCTCAAGTAATTTCTGTATAAATTCAAAGAAAGCGGTTTCTGTTGATTTTAAATTACAGAATTTCTTATTTATTTCTGAAAGAAATATTTCTTCGCATCTTTCCAAACATAGACTTGGAAATCTTGAGAGAATCTATTTAAAAAGCATATAGAAAGTTTAGAAATATTTCAATAAAATAAAATGTTAATACTTTGTAATAAAGATCCTTTTGGGCGGACGTTTGAGCTGCTTCGTGAATTAACTTTGAGATTACTGAAGGATAGTCGACAAGAGCCAAAAGAGCCAACCGTTTAACTTGTTGAACCTAAAGATAACGTTTTCTTTACGGAACACTTTTTAATGAAAACCTACCTGATGAGTCTTTTCCGTAGCTCCACAAATTAAATTACATATTGTTGTAATAGAAAATTCAGATTTATATCCCTTCAATGAATTCCAAGCGTAGGAGAGGATATAGTCTAATATAGATTGCTCCAAATCCAATTTCAGATTTAGAAAAATTGTTACAAAGATCTGTTGCAAATCCGAATAATCAAGTAAACTGTTCTCTTTTTCATATATATCATGTAGAGTTTTTGAAAATCTCTTTAATAATTTTATTGGTAGCTTTCCACTGGGATTGATTAATTTCTGTCTGTTTAGGAGAAAAAGCAATCATTTTTAAGTTTTATAAAGAAAATATACTATGCAAATTGCAATTTACAATATAGTGATATTTTCTGAATTAGTCTCCAAGTGATCAAGGGCTTTCTCTATTTTACCTTGAAAGAAAGAGAATAGAATTACAGTTCAGTACTACTGAAAATGGAAAGTTTACTTTCGTCTGTTTCAAAGAATTCGAGATTTTTTGAGAAATCTAAATGAATGTTTTCTACTGTCAAGATTTTTGCTGCATGAACCCAATCAACTATTCTTGAATCATCAATATTTGGTCTGCTGTTAAGATAGCTTTCCATATCTTCCATTTCTAAGAGACTAACATCATCCATTAAAGAACAAGATGTTAATTTACATTCAACAAAAGCATCAGCAAGATCGTAACTTTCCGCTATACCCTTTTTTATTTGATTGATTTCTTTAGGAAGAAAATCAAATGTTTTAGGAACATTGAAAGGCATAAATCTATAATTTTTCCTTTTTAGGATCACCCTCTGTGTGTCACTTTTTGCCAGATTTTTTAAGTTGATTATAGCTAAGTTAATTGTAAACTTTAGATTATCATCGATTGTAATATTTCTCATCTTCTCCGTGAAATCAATAAGATTTACTATAAGCTTGTCGAAAGTTATTTCGTCCGTATCCAATTCTTGCAAAAATAGACGATTAATCATAATTTCAAGCATCTTGTTTGGATGAGCGTTTAGAAGGAATTCGAATCCCAAGTTGACAACTGATTTATCATCTAACGCAGAAAGTAGCTTTTAAGAGAGTATATTAATTACAGAAAATAATTTAAATTGTTTAACTATAAACGAACCCATCGGAAACTTTCAAGTAATCCATCTGTAGAATTCAATACATCAACGAAAAAACGAATATTTAATTTAGGTACAGAAGGTTCAATATCAGAGATGTAGCAATAGGATCCAGTAAAAGCGCAATAGAACCAATATACGAATTGATCTTCACTTAAACCATATTGGAACATATACATTAATGAGTCTTTAAATTGATTGAATTCTTTTGTTTCTTCTTTGTTTTCATGTTTGAAATTTTCCAACAGTTTATTATCGTCCTTTTATTGGAAATATTCATTAATTAATTTTAAAAACCTCGAATATTCAATGAGTAGTATATGTAAAAAAATAACAACATGGAAACAACTAAAGAGTAATATCTTTTATATATTTATTGAACGAATAATTTAATATATTAAACTAATTATCGAAAACAATAATACTATATAACTTAAGTTGTTTCTTGGATTACGAAATATTTTCTTAACTGATGTTATATATTGATATTCTTAAAATAGAATTAATCGGCTTTTTAAAACTTTACCGTAAATATATCTATCAAATTCTGTTCTAGCAGTTTCAAGCAGTTATTCACTTCAGGCTTCTGAAGGGGTGCATCTGTACATTGTGAAACAAATGAGCCTTATAAGTTGAAACAATTCTTTAAAAAGTGTAATAAAATCTAATAAAAATGGTTAAGTTTTATTGTAAGAATAACTCTCCTAAATATTTACAATGTATACGATTTTAAGAGAAGGAAAGATACTCTTACACATATTCACCGCCAATATCTTGAGGATATAGTGGTTCTATTTCCGCTCAACTATAGTCCTGAATAGTGTGCTGGTTCAAATGTTCCTTACCATAAATTGAGTTGTATTAGGTAACCTCACTATTACCAGTTGTTGCTTGTTTTCAGTAAAAGAGACATAATTTTTAAGTTGGTTGATAAAGCGATTGCTTGATTAAAACGTCATTTTTCCATTGATTCTAAATTGTCTCCCCGATAAGGAAAATAATTATGAAACTTTCCTTAAAGTTTCGTCAAATTGTTATATTTGTACTTGGCTGGGTAGCTTATGCATCAACATATTTTCTTAGAAAGCCTCTTGGAGTGGTAAGATTTAAATTAGGCTATTTATTAACACAAGATCATAAAATAGAATATTTTATAATAAAAAACAAGAAAGTGGAATGCAATAGAATCAACAAAATCATATTATTTATTATTTGAACTATTCTACATCAACAGTATATTCTATATTGATCAATTAAATTTCAAGCGACTTATTAAAAAATATTTCAAAACTACAGATAAAAGTTGATTTAAAAAGCGAATTATTATTTAGTAAATCTCAATTAGGATGGTTAGATGCAGCTTTACTGTTTCCTTATGCAATGTCTCAGGTAATTTATTAACCGATTAATTAAAAATTCTGATCGCTTTTTCAATATCTAAGTTAAGATATCCTTTATTAGATGTTCCTAGGAGCAGTTGGAGATCGATTCGGAGCAAGAAGAACCTTTGCCATAACACTATTTATTTCAGCTTTATCAATGGTAAAAGGATGATGATATTTATTCTAAAATTATAAATTTTATCTATATTTCAATTATTTACAAGATTACTTTTGGCAATTGGAGTAGCTTTTACATTCTAGTTACCTTATTATTCATTAACGGGGCAGCTCAGGTATGTTTAGCAAATACAGTATGCTGTATATTAATTTGTTTAAATGTCAGTTATACAAATATTAATTCATCTGTTATTAAGGCTCATTGTTGGCCAAATTGCGGTAAAATTCTTGGCACATGGTTCTCAGATAAATCTAGAAATTCAATTTTTGGTTTATTCGGGGCTAGTGCTTTTGTTGGAGGAATAGTGGGAACAACTTTAGCAGTCTTTCTACAAGCAAAATATGGCTGGAGAAATGTGTTTGTTCTACCGTCTCTCATTACTGTTTGTTTTTTATTAACCATATAAAATGTTATGTATACTTTCTATTCCTATGATAATTTTATAGGGTACTATAAGTCTTCTCCTATTCTTCTTCTTTAGAGAAAGCAACGAAATTGGAATAGATATACCAGGAAGAGGTAGGAATATATAACCTTTTATTATTAATATTTATTAATCATTTATGTTTATTTAAAAAAATTATAGAATCTTCAAAAGAATCTGGAATTGAAACTCAAAATGTTCAAAAGTTGTCTCTTCTCCAATTATGGAAAGTTATGTAATTATTAAATGTTTATAGACATAACAATTTATAATATTAAATTTTCATATATAGATGTGTCAAGGAATGCGCAATTGGAATGTTTAGTTTAAAATTAGTTAGATATACTATGTACATGTGGCTTCCAATGTACTTGTTGAATGTATTACGATATTCAAAAGCTCAGGCGGGTATGTTTTCAACAATGTTCGAAATTGGAGGTGTTGCTGGTTCAGCAGTTATTGGATTTGTTGTTGATAGGTAAAGGTTTTTCTATTCTTACTGTTTTTTATTATACTGTACATCAATAGTTTCTTTTTTATTCAGATTATTAGGAGGAAAAGCACTTATTGGCGTTAGCATATCGATATTTCTCAGTGCCATTTGCCTAATATTATTCATAGCAACTAGTGGATGGGGAGTTATAGTTAATAGTGTTTTCCTACTGTCAGCGGGAGCTCTAAATTGTGGACCAGATTCGCTATTAGGCGGTTCAATATCAGCGGACCTTGGGGAAAGACACGGCGCAGCGGCAGCCGTAACTGGTTTGATTAATGGCTTTGGTTCAGTTGGTGGGTTCATCGAAGGTCCTTTAATTGGCTTTATAGCTGATGTTCTCGGTTGGACAGCTGTTTTTTATGTAATGGTAATAATATGTTTTATGGGAAGTATTGCTGTATATAGAGCTGCTAGACTCTACGAAATTAACCAAAGCAGAAGGTCTAAACAACCTGAATCGGGCAAAGAACCAACTAATGTTTGAGAGAAGACTATGATTCTGAAATATATCTCACAGACGTTCAATTATCAATGATGCATATTCTTATGTATTGTGCATACATTTGCCATTTAATCTCTATTCATAACTTAAACTTTTGATTGATGGAACACAGAGAATTTTTAACAATATAGTATTGTATTGTCTTTTCAAAAATATACTCTTTTTTCTCTTCTAACAGCCTTCAGTTTTGCTTGAAGAACTCTACCGTATTGATTATCTGGTGGATATTGAACAAACATATCACTTTTTTTATTAGGGAAATAGATGTTAAAGATATGAGCTAATTCATTGATGTTATCCCAATTTGCATTCGAACCCATTCTATTCTCTACAATCCATTTAAATAATTTTGGTCTTATCTTTATATTTGCATTCTTTAAATCGGTATAATACCGATCTATTTTTCTTTTCATCTATTTTAAAATACTTTTTAATAAGAAAAATCTCTTTTTCATTAAGTTAAGCAAACCTGTTTTAACAACTTTGCCTTAAAGTATTCATAATTCATAAATTTTGGCTGAGGATATCTCTTCACAGGACATTTCTCTAGTGGAATATATTTCGCAAAAGTTGGAGGCCTACTACGATAGGCTAAAGATAATTTAGAAACGTCTATTATTGGTAAGCGATTATTGCAATTACAGCTATTTTCGGTGAGAGATGTGGTTAAATTTCTTGTTTTTTTACTGCTGTAAAATAGATTATTGCCCAAAGCAATTTCCTTCATAAGATCAACAAAGCAGTCTAGATTTGGCAATTTAGACGCTATTCTGCCTGAAAGGGCTAATCTTCGAAGGTCTCTGACGGTTACTTTTTCTGAGATATTTAATTTTGAACTATTATTTTTGTCTCTACTCTCTTCTAGTAAACCTCGAATGGCAAATGTCGCTATCGAAGAAGCTAATAGTTTAGCACTCTTAGACGCTAATGCTAGAGGGAAATCGTAATAGGAGAAAATGCCAATACTCCATAGTAATCTATCGAAGTCGATGTATTTATAACGCTCATTTCTACTCCTTCTCAAGGATTGCAGAAGAGTTCCATAGTCAACTTTCAGTCCTGGAACGTCTCTCAATTTTCTTATAATTACTCTTGGATCGCTATTTCCGTTGTCCAAATAAATAAGAAGCTAAATAGAACAGAAGGGGATGGGTGTTAGGGGGAGATGGGAAATTGGCCAATTTTTTACTGCACAATGTAACATAAAAAGAAAGTAAAAGAACCTCGTAGAAAGCTGATAGTTGTTTGGATGATAAAGGAATATACCAAGAGGGTCGTGGTTTATCTTCAATCAATCTAGGTCTTTCTGTAAATAATTGTAAAGTAACCCCCTCTTACCATTACAAACGTAGAAAGTTAGAAGGAAAGCAGGCTCACCGATTATATTAGATTTATCTTGGCAACTCGTAACATTATCTTGATCCATTTATGCTCGATATAAACTTTCTTTAAAAGCGAAAAATATACTTTCTTTTTAATTAGAAATAGAATTAAATATTAAAAATTATTTGTAATTTTTCAAACAAGTTTATTATCGTAATTAAAAAAAAATTACATGAATCATTTAAAGACAATAAATAGCTATTTATTATGCAATATTTCTTTCTTCGTTTCATTGTAAATGTCTTTAAATAGCTTGAAAAATAGTTATATACAGGTATATGTTTATCAATTCATGCAGTATATACTGTATGTACATTCAATATTCATACAAAAAGTATAAATAGATACTACTTATATTGTTCTTTGCTATGTGGACATTAATTAACACCAGACGGCTGTAGATTACAACAAGGGGTTTATTACTTCTTCCTTACTAAATGGGCCAGATAGGCATAAATTCCATATATTATTTAAAACTTTGTGAATAGAATAATGTTAATCCTAGCTTATACGTTAATATAAAAACTTGTTTTTCTCTATTAACATACAAACATTGTCTGTATTACATAAAATATAATGGGAGTCCGGGGTGAGGTTTTTGGGGAAGGAAAACAACAAAGCGCCATCTATCTTTTAATTAATATTTGAACAAGTATGTTCTAGTATGTATTAGGAGTCAAGGAAACTGAAAACTTAAAATAACATTAATTAATAGTTTAAATTAACTCGATAAGAGCCCTAATTCCGAATATAAAATATTTCTATTATTCTCCCATACAAGTTTAATATTTTAACCATTTATGGCTAATATTTAATTAGTCCTATTTCTGTAATAGGTACATACCATTTCATATGTATAGCTATGAAAAAAAAAACAAAAATATAGTAAAAAACAAAGAGTTGAGTAGGCTAATTAAGTATAAAAAAGGAAAAATATTCAAGAGTAAACAACATACAAAATGGAAGGAAACAACGAAGAAAGTTTTATAGATTTATTCTGGTCAACAAAAATTCGAATGCTAGAAATAATTAAAGATAATTTAGAATTAAAGAATGAACTCTATTCGTTAAAAGTTGATTTTTTAACAATATTAGAAAATTTAGATGTTGTTTCCGATAATAAAATCGATGGTTTCGCTCATTCAACACCAATATCTGAAGAAGAGAAATTTAGACGTGGTCTAAGGCGTCAAAGAGCTAGTATACGTCTACAAAGAGTTAATAAGAAAAAGAATTTTCTCCTTTCGAAAAATCGAAAAATTCTTCGAACCGTGTCTGAATCCGAATTGGAAGCTTCTTCAATAAATTGTTCAACTGCCGTTTTCACTAATTCTAGCGATGGAGAATTAGAATCTACATACGAAACTGGTCCTAATTTTAATCTAGATACAAGCTCTTCGTATAAAGAGAGTGACGCCGAAAGCCGGCGCCAATTATCAGTTATGAGGCAGATAAATTCCTTAATTAAAGCAGGAAGTTCTGGTAAAACAAAAGGCCCAAAGGCACCGGCCAATAGTCCACGATCTACAGATCCTAGCTCTAGTAGTAAACAAACAACTCCAGACAAACCATTTATTAACAGTACACCAGATACTCTAGTAAGAACTGTAATAAGGAGAAAGAAAAGAATCAGAGGAACAGTGCTGGAATTTTAGATATATTTTTGGTATAAAAGCTTATCAAATATTAAAGAAAAGGAAGAATCAAGCTAATAAATCATTTTTTAATTATTTATCAACTATTACTAAGTATTAAGTTGCAATAAAAACCCATAAAACCTAAATTTTGCGATTGGATAAGAGAAAAAGAGTCTTAAAAATAATAAAAAAACAGAGCTCAATTCGACGATTAATACCGTTCAAACAAGATTTAGGTGTTAAAGGATTTAGAGATTTTTGTATACTATTCAAATACCCTTCCCCCTCCCCACCCTATTTTCCTGTCGTATAGTTTCTAATACTTTTATATTTCATTCTATTAAGAAAACTTATTCTTTCTCTTCTGATATTTTTTTAAATAATAAACAATTAAATTAAATAGATTCAAGCAAAAGGTAAAGAAACAGCCTTAGACTGTTGTTTCTTTTTCAATAATAAGCTCTTTCTCTTCTATTTTGAACCGAGACCGAGAGACATAGAGGGAGAGAGAGAGAAAAAAAAACCAGTTTAAACTTGCATTCCTATTTCTTTTTTTTATCAATTTTCCACAGTTTTATTATTATTTTTCCTAAACTGTTGACTCCTTCGGTTAGGCCTAAGATTAGCAGCTAACTAATATTGAAGCGTTTTTCATTATTCTTTTGTAGGTGATCGAAAGGATTATCGTTTTTTATTTTATTGCTATATGCTATATGTATAAACATATATATATATAGTAAAGTACAGTTATACTAGATTTCTTTTCAAATAAACACGTGATAAACAAGTAGTAACACATAGATGCTATATAGTAATATTACTGTAATATATAAAGTAAGAAAAGAAGACAAAAAATCAACGAGCTTGTTATAAATAGAAAATATGTTGAAAGTTGATGATGAAGGATTTTGGGATTGTCCAAAAAGATTATCAGTTGAACTGTTGCAAGATGATTTAAATAAATTTAAATTAAGATGTAGAAGAGCTTCGGCGGAGAAAACGACTTCAAAGAAAGGACCAATAAAAGGTTTGATATATGATATAATTTGTTTAATTAAAACAACAAAGAATTGATAAATGTGTAATAAACTAATAATTAATACACAAAATAGTATTTAAATAAGATTTTACTGGTTTTTATTACAATACTTTATCTGTCGAAGTACGATAAATAACGAAAAGAATATGGTAGATATTTAAATTACTGTATATATCTTTTATTTGTTAATTAGACGAGAATTTATTTAGGTCTCTAATGAAGAGGTTTTTTACTTGTTTAATTAAAATAACGGGATTGCGCGCACACACACACACCTTTTAAACAGCCTTCCCTCCTAAACCAATCCTTTAATGTATAATTTCCTTAATTAGAAATCGAAATCGTTCATAATTTAGGTAATGAGTTTTTTTTTTCAATAATAGACCAATTTAATTGAAGTGTTTTATGTAGTACAAAGATCCTATTATCTAAGTATTTCTTTTTGTTATTAAATATTTTCAAGAATAAGACTTTAATTAAACTTAAAAAAGAAAGAAAAAAGACGCTCTCAAACTAACGAAGCCACCTGGTGGTATTTTTCATCGTGAATATTGTATTCTGGAGGAAAAGCTTAGAAATCAATAGAAGAGACGGGAACCGGTTTTTTTTTCTCTCTCTCTCCCTCATTTTCCTTTCGTAACGTTCCTTTTTTTTTATGAAGATTTTTTGAATAAAAGCGGTTAATATATCTTATTTCTCTTTTTCTATTTCTACATATAAATATATAAACTTATCAATTTTTTTAAATACATTAGCTGATTACTAGAGATTAAGAGCGTCTAATAATGTTTTATAATCTATCCAAAGGGACTAGTTTGAACTCTTTCTACTGATAAATAATTAAATAATACAGACGTTTAGTTCATCATTCTATGGTTTGATTTCTTATTCCAATTCCTTTGATGGAGCTTTTCATACATATGTTTATTATTGTCTTAAAATAAGAGATACATTTGTTCTCTAAGAAAAAAAATCTACTATAGAATAGGACTATAAAGAGGAGTAGTGAAAATAGGGTAAAAATATATCGATTAATCACCAAAAGGCGAAATTTATGTGCATTTATCTAGCATTTTTTTTCTATGTAGCTTGGCAAGAAGAAGCCTGTAAGCGAAAAGGGATAGGTGAGAAAGGAGATGGCCAACTGTTAGAGAGAGACGCCGACACCCGTCCATTAATTTTTAAAGTTGGCGAGCCCGGAAGGGAAATGTCGTCCCAGGCGAACTGTAATGGTGTTGGTGAAACAAGTTTTGTTAGGAATATGACTGTGCAATCGGCAAATACGGTAAATAAACTCTTATATATAAATAGATAGATAGATATTGGTAAGGATAAGAGCGGAATAATGCATAATTATTCATCGAAAATCCGAGGAAATTAATATCGTGTTCTCTTATCACTATGTTGCGCAATCAGAATGATTCGCTATGTACATCGTGGTTAACATCAGTTAGCCAGTATAATGAGAGAGAAATGATGTACTCAAGAGATTCCCTGGATAGTGGTGAAATTGCTAATACTCAAGCGGTTAGTAGGATGTTTTGACATTGTGTTTAAGTAGAATCCCAATGCAGAAGAAGAATTCTATCCCTGTAATTATAATAATAATATTTTATATTTTTCTCCTATCCTAAAGAAAATCATTGTTACCTTCTCTTTTTCGTATTCCCTGCCTTACTATTTTGTGCTTTTTGCATATATTTATTTTATTATATTAGTATATTGTATATATAACTACATACTGTATATGTACATATATATATATATATAGACAATTTATTCCTAAATTCTAGCACACCACCGATTGCCTGTCGAGAAGCAATGACAGCGGAGCTATAGTAACCACTCCAAATGGCCTGAATCAGGCTGATATTGAGAAAGTTAGGCAGGAGGTGACGCTTCAAATGAGAAATGAAATGCTAGCTAAAGCAAAAGAATACGAAGCCGTTAGTAAAGCCTTTATTTTCTCTATATAATTAATATGTAGTCTAATTATTAACTCAACACTATTAACGTTACTTTACATAGAAACTTGAAGAATACCGGAAAAAAGAGAAAGAATGGGAGTAAGGGATTTATTATTTATAACTATAATTTAGAATTATAACGAATAACCAAAATTGTTACTTTTTGTAGCGTTCTTACTGATTATCAATATGGCGTCTTAGACAAGTTAACCAGTTCGTTAGAGGCAAAGGACAAGGCAATTTTACAAGCTGCTGAGGACGTCGAGCGTTTTGAGAGAGCGTTAAATGAAACGACTTCTTTATATTCTGAATTAAAATCGAAATTTCATCGTACCACTGTCAAAAATCAATTGTTAAACACTCAGCTAAAAGAGTTACAAGGCCTACTGAAGGATAGAGTTAATAAATACAACAACTTAATGAAAGAGAGAGAACAGAATGACATTGATAATAAATCTAATTTTAACAAGATGGAAACTGAAAAGAGTGAACAAGTTCGTTATTATATTATTTTTCTCAAATTAAGGAGTAGCAAATAAAAGACTACATTCCCTTTTCAGATTCAATTATTGAAGAACAGAGTAAAAGTAATGGAAATAAAGGAATCAGCTTTGCAGAAAGAATTAATTCAGAAGGTTTTATTTATTTTTTTCAACTCTTCTTTAACTTTTCTCAATACAACGATTTATATATATTTTTTTAATTTTTCCAGAAAAAAGACTTGGACGACTTAGCAAGGATTTGCGATGAATTAATATCAAAAAAGTCTAATGAAAGATAAAGCTAAAATATCTAATTGAGTATTTCAACAAATAGTGTCTGTTTCTGCCTTTTTTCTCTCGTTTTCAAATAAAATATTATCTTCATTGAACTTACTAATTTATTAACATTCTATCATTGGTTTATACAATATGGACATATCAATAGAAATAATAAATGTAACGTATTCTTGTTATATGTAAGTTATTTACATTTCAACGTTCATCGGCTTGAATAATTGATAAATAAAATATTAAGCCTATCAATTATCCCTAATTCAACGTATTTTTTTTCCATTTTCCCTCTTCTGATTAATTGAAATAACATCGACTCCTCCTACCTCTACTACTACTATTATAAATAAGAATAGATATATATATATATAAAGATACAAAGAAAGGAAAAGGGACAAAAAAATAACTTAATTCTCAATTTTTCATTTTGAACATTCGCAAACTTGGTATACAAAGCCAAGCTAATCGTTTATTTCAACTTGATAAAACATATATTAATCTCAGTTTGATTCTTCTTTAAACGTTATTCTGTTATTCGATAAAATTGATTATTGGTTTGGAATATTTGAAAAAGAAAGAGAAAAAGTAATGTTAAGGCCAAGGGAAAGAGTCAACCTTATAAATGTAATATAAAAGAAATATATACAAATGTTGAATAAAGTTCTCTGGTTCAATAGAATTTTTTGTTTTGTCTTTCTATTTCTCCTTTCTTCTCTCTCTCTCTCTCTTTCTCATTTATTTGCTATTTTCATTCATTCTAATGCCCCTTTGAAGAAAAATCAGTTCAAGAATATAAGCTTTTCTTAAGAATAACATAATAGATTTGATGGAATAACGAACGAACTTTCAAATTGTTTCTTCACCTAGTCTGACTTAAAAATAAGATACGAAATCATACTTAGGACGAACATGGTCTATAGGTCAAGTGCTACTTCTTCGAAACTACAAACGAACCCTTTCAACCAGAAAAATTTATTCTTCTCTCTTTTCATACCTTCTCTTTTATTTCTTTAAGAGAGTTGTGTAATTTGATACATCTGCTTTGTCTTCTAAGGACAACTTCAACCTTTGTATAGATTATTAGAATATCTTGAAAACTTTACCTAGAATATCTTTTGCAGTATTTACCACTTAAAAAATTTATGATAATCCAATAGCTCCATCTATGGTATAATGACCTAATAATCTCATTAATATCGATTAGAACACTAGTAAAGAAATAAACTCCGTAACCAGTTTATATGGTGACGTAGCAACGACACAACATAAATGATTAGACGCAATTACAACCTGAGCAATAGAGAATTAATAAATCAGGTAAACTTAGTAGTTTTAGAGGACAATATGCAAGGTTAGAAAATTGAGTAAAGATAAAACAGTCATGGAAAAGTATGAGAAAATATGCAAAATTGGAGAAGGATCTTATGGAGTTGTATTCAAATGTCGAAATAAGGATACGAATCAATTGGTCGCCATTAAAAAGTTCGTTGAAAGTGAGGAGGATCCTTTAATTAAGAAAATCGCTATGAGAGAAATTCGTATGTTAAAGGTAGTAAATTTTCAATATATACTTGTTTAAAACTCATTTAATACGCATATCATAATAAGAATATAAAGAAAATATAAATAAAACTATTATTATTATCGTTAAAAAACAAAAACAAACTAATAGCAATATATAACACTAACAGCTACGTTTAAACGATAATGTCGCCCTACTTTTTGATTAATTTAAATATATATTAAAAACTCTCTATTATATAAATAATAAGCAATACTTCATAATTCTTTCTTTCAAACTTTCATTCTTTAGTAATAATAAAGAAAAAAAACTACTCATTAATCTCTTATTTTGAATAATTAAAAACAACTAAATTGAAAATTTCATAGCTTATTTCGAAATTGATGTGTATAGATTTTTTTTTTATTTTATCAATAGGCCTATTTTTTTTATTGACTTGACAAAACAAACAATCAAGCATCAACTGCAAACATGCTATAGTTTGCTTTGTCGTTGTCATAGCAGTTACTGACGCGTTACTACAGCAAAGCACGTAGAAAAAAAAATTTTTTTCTTTTTTTTTTCCTTTTTTTTTCTCTATCTTTTAATTATTTAATGAAATTCGTTTAATGACGTAATTTAATACGTTATTTAGTAAATACGACCGAATTATTAAAGAAATGAAAAGATCTTTTATTGATCTATTGAAAGAAATAATATAAAATATCAAGTTAACACAACTTTTAAACAATAATTATAGTGTATTTTTGACCTTTATATTTCTTTCTTTAATGGTATTAAACTACTTTAATTGACTAATAATATACATATGTTTATATAAATAGGTAGAAATCTACCTTTAAAGCTATTAAGTGCTGTATAGATAGGAAAAATACAAAGTTGTTTATGTCAATGTTATCAGTCGTGAAGAGTATTTTATTAATAATTAATCGATATCAAAAGTCTAGTTGATCATCTATTTCGAGGAATTTCTAAACAAAAAAAAATAATCAGTAAAAATCTGTTTTTTAACAAGATTAATGGATAGTGTCTGTTGAAAACATCACTAAAATAAAATAATCGTTAAACAACAGACCAAGACGATCGTTGACATTGTAATAAATGAATACTAACTGGTAAATGAAAGTAGAAAAATACAGATAAATAGAGAGAGAGAGAGAGAGAGAGATAGATAGAGTAGAAAGAAATTTAGAGTATTTTATATATTCTATTTATAATTGATAATATTCGAAATAGAAAGTGGAATATTATGTATAGATAATGATGATGTTGATGCACAACAACAAGAATAATATTTATTAAAGTATTAATTAACTAATGAACTAATGCTATAAATTTAAAATATATAAATTTATTAAAATAGTCATTGAACATTCATTACAAACTTTGCATTTTAAAATCATATATACAGTATATATAGATATTTTATTTATATTTGAAAAAATATTTGTTTAGGAGCTCTAAAATTTGTCCGGTAAGCAGTTCCCCTCTAAAACTTTAAAGAATCGATTTGATATAAAAAAAATGATCAATTGCTATATTTATTATTATCAAAAGAGTTTTTTTACTTCTTAAGCTGTAGCCTTAATATGTACTTGAATTACATCAAATATGATTTAACACTCCTAAAATCTATATATTTTTTATGATTTAGTTATTGTACAGTTTTTTATGTAATCTTTATTTCTTTTCTTTCTTATAAATTCTTCATTCTTTACATATTTAGATAAGAGGAAAAATTTATCAAATATAGTGCTTTCCTCTCTCTCTCTCTCTCTCTCTCTCTCGTTCATTCTCTTTATCTCTTTGTTTCCTTTTCAAAGTCAAAAGAACAAATAAATAAAGAGATAAAATTAAAAGAGTGGTAATAAAAAAAGGAATAAAAAAAAGTACAATTAACTATTTAACGTTTAATTTAAATATTGTATGTATTTATAAGACAAAGAAAGTCATTTTTCATTCTTTATTACAACATAAATATATAAGATATATACAGCAATGTATATACTAGCCAACTAAAGATGTAGCTATTTAAATATGGATTAAAATTTAATTAGAAGGTAGTTTAATAATCGATGCTATTAAAGTCTATTAAATTCAATTATATAATTTTATTCTATTACTTAAAATTTTCTTCTTTTAGCACTTCATCTCTTCTTTTTTTTAATATAAAATAACAAAAAGTTCTGTTTTAACAATCTACTACTAGATATATTTTTCTCCTTCCTTCATCAATTGATTAGGAAGAGGAAGAAAAATAGTATATTACCAAGAGCTTTTAATCATCTTGTTCATTCGATCAAACGATATAGTTAAGATATCTTTTGCAATATAAAGAACTATTCATAGTTAATATAGATAAAGTAATCTTTAGAGTATTATTACGTTCTATTTGTAGCTCTCTGTTGAAATTAAGCATTCTTATTAATGCGATATATGCATTATATACACATAGATATAAATGTATATTTCTATTTAGAGAGTTGTTTAACATTATACCATCAAGTTTAAGTTAAATAGGTCAGAAAAAAGGCATAAATATTCATTTAGATAAAAAGAGAAGAAAGAAAGAAAGAAGGAAAGTAAGAAAAATTGAAACGTTTAGTTTATTCGAATAAAAAGTGAAAGATAAAAATATTTTATAATAGTATTAATCATAAAGAGGTGATTTTGTTAGATTAGATAGCTAGATATTATCAATATTAGTAACAGAGATAAATAGTTTGTGTTTAAGTTTATATAAGATAATATGGTCATGACTTAATTGATATGAATAGTAATTTAATATATTCGTCGCTAATGGTTTAGAAAATGGAATAATAATATCTCTTTCATAATTCCTCTAATTAATTCACAAAGAAACAAATAGTGTGTACATTTTTCAAACATTATCAAATTATTTCCTATAGTCATTCACTTATTCATTCACTTTTATGAGGAATTCTCTGGTTTTTTCCCCCCTTTTTTCTCAATGCTTTTGTACCTCTATAGATTGTTATTATAGAAAACATACATATGTTTATATACAGCAATTAAAACATGTCAACCTTGTTAATTTGGTTGATGTTATTAAACGTAAAAAATCAAAAAGGGCGAATGGTAAGTTGTCGGTGGCTATGTATATGGTAATTGAGTATGTTGAGAAGGACTTGTTAACAGTTCTCTCTGAAAATGGAAAAGGGTAAGATACTTTTTACTAATTAGATGCTTTTTGCTTTTTATTCATCACAGCAATTGAAGCACAGTAACTTAGTGAATTTACTCGAAGTGTTCAAAAGAAAACGCAAACTTCATTTAGTGTTCGAATACATTGATCATACCGTCCTCCACGAACTCGACAGGCATCCCAGAGGGTGAGTGGAGTCCTATCTTTCCAACCAATATTCCCATTAAGTATTGAAAATTACTTCAAGTAGCCATTATAATAGGTAACTATAAAACCTAAGTGGTTACGTAAATATCTAGTGAATAAATTCCTTAAAGCGATGAGAAAATAGAATAAAGCTATAAGAGAAAAAGTTGTTTTTTTTTCTCGTCTATTAATAGAATGTTAAACGATTGATTATATATTATTAAAGAAGAAAAATATCTCCTTTTATCAATTATTTAACATTAAATGCGTTAATGATTCTATAGTTTGTCTATTGAAAAAAGTGGGTTATGGGCTGACTTGAGAAAATATTAACACTCCTTTAATCGTTTTGTTAAACGTTAATTCAATGAAATAGAGAAAAATTTGAAAAGGAATAAATGACAGAGACAGACAGATAGATAGATAGAGAGAGAAAGAGCGAGAGAGAGAGAGAGAGAGATAATGAAGAAGAGAAATAAACACATATACACTCGCAACCAGACAAAAAAAATCCCTATTTTCCCTTTCTCGTTGAATATTTAATAACAATTGAACAGTTTATTTAAACTATTCTCAAAAAAGAGTGGTTAATCTATACCTTTTTGTGTGTTGTCTGTTATGTTCGCTAGCTTTTTTTCTCTCTCACGAAGCTTTCTTTCAAGAAGCTTAATTCATATAGACATACAATATATTAAACTATTATAATTAAAACTAAAACATTCATTCACATTGAATACAAGTTTAGAATTTTTAACTTTTTCAGTGTAATTCTTTTATAATTATTTAACTAATTGAATAATATATGTATTTAGAATGGAAATGAACTGTTCTATATATATATATATACCCTCCTTCCTTCTTTTACTTATTGCAGCGATTTAATTATTATAGTTTAACAAGTTAAACAAAGGAAATGAATAAGACAATATATAAAAGTGTTTTGTTGTTAGAATTTCGTACAGATATTAATTAGACAGCAAAAAAGATGTATTTATTTATGCGTTAGAGAATTAGTCTTTTACAAGCTTCCGCCAATTAGATCGAAACTCGGACAAAGGATTCATTGTTCAATTACCCAGGAAAGCTGAATCCTTTCAAAGTTCTTTGTTTGTGTTGAACTATAAATGCTAATTAATGCCTTAGCTAAAAGAGAGAAAGGAGTAAAAACTTGTCTTTATATATTAATTTATATATTTCCTTTGTTGTGTACATACTAATATATTGTACACAATGTTTTAGATTGTTTGTTGATAACTCGGATATTTAATTGAATGTTTATCATATTTTTTTACAGATTACCTGAAGATAAGATAAAGAAGATGATTTATCAGACTTGCGTTGCTGTTAATTTCTGCCACGACCATAATGTATGCATAACAATATTAATAATCTTTTTACTCCCCCGCTTTTTTCTCTCCTTGTCTTTCTCTTTTAGATTCTTCTCTTTATCTTTGTCGAACCTAATATAAATACTTATCTTTCCGTTATAGTGCATACATCGTGACGTAAAACCGGAAAATATTCTCGTCTCCTCAAAGGGAATCGTTAAATTATGCGATTTTGGTTTCGCTCGTTTATTAAGTAAATATCCTAATTCATTTAGGATCAAATTTTTATTAATTTTCATTTGCTATTTTCTTAATCATTAGCTGGTCCTGGTGGTGAATATACCGATTACGTTGCGACGAGATGGTACAGGGCACCAGAATTACTTGTCGGTGATACCCAATACGGTCCTCCAGTCGATATATGGGCGATTGGTTGCGTGTTTGCTGAATTAATAACTGGTCAAGCTCTGTGGCCAGGTCGATCTGATGTAGATCAATTATACCTAATCAAGAGAACCTTAGGCGACCTCATTCCTAGACACGTTGAAGCTTTCAGCAAGAATCCTTACTTCAAGGCCATGACTATACCTAATCCTCCGGTAAGACAAATTTTCTATTTCAATAGTTGTTCAGCCAATATTAGTAATGGGACTATATAAATATCGTCGGGCAAGAACTGTACAAACAGCCTAGACCAATAAAATTTTACATAAATGAAACGATAGGTGGCGTCAGAGTTTATGAACAAAGTTTCATGGAACAATAAGATTAGGAAAAGATTTTATCATTGTTTTTCTTCTTTCTTTTCTAAGGACCGAGATCCATTAGAAGCGAAATTCTCAGGAGTCACAGCGAATACTTTAAATTTTATGAAAATATGCTTTGCTATGGATCCGGAGCAGAGAGCCAGATGTACAGATCTCCTGAACCATCCATATTTCTCAAGGCCTTTCATACGCGATATGGAACAATTATTGGAAAGTACTGGACGTGACCACGCTCCCTATAGGCCACCTAGGAGGCATGGCCAACACGGTGTAGAGAAAGGTCAACAGAGAGGTCCCAAAGCAACGCCATTTGAAAAGGGACTACCTTCCTTATCTGTCGGAATTTCACTAAAAGACAATTCACCAATTCCGGGCATGTCGAAAAATAAGAAAGATAAGGACAGGGATCATCTTCCTCACATTTGACGTTCATGTTTGTTTATTTCCATTACTTTTCTCTGCATTTAGAAATACGGTAACTATATTAATCAATAATTTTTCCAATAAAAGATACTTCTGCTAAAACTAGTCCTATTATAGAAAAAATAGTATAGTTTATATTTGATATATTATCGTAAAAAGGAATAAAAGCTTATAAAAGGATGTGATATACCAGATATTTGCAAGTAAATATTTCCAAGTACAAAGTACTTGTAATTTATTCTAATAGGTTTCAAATCAATTTAGTTTAAGTTGATCGAAAAGGTCATTAATAATTTTAACCACAAGTTTGTTTTTACTTTTTTTTCCATTTCTCGCCTATTTTTATCGGTTTTTAACCTATTAATATCCTCTATATACAATATATATACACTTTTGTATTAACTATACAGTGTATATATACTTTTATGCTATGCCCCACTCTACTTTATCTTCAGATTCAAACGCAAAATATAAAAATACAATTATATTAATACAAACAATAAAACAACTTGATAAAATGATTATTTTATAAATTATATAAAATATATCCTCTCTCATCTATCTAGTTTTGACATCCGATCATATAGCCCTATACGTTCAAGTATTTCTCTTTTTATATAAGTTCGTTTAGGTATGTCATTGTCAATGTATTTGTCTGTGCCAGAAAGAAAATTGCTCTTTCATAACGGAAAAACTGTAATATATATGAATAAACGGGTGATATAATAATAGACAACTTTTTAAAAGTGTTATTCAATTGATATATTTCCTTGAAATCTATAATTGAAGGAAATAATACAGTAATCACTTCAAAATAAACGTAATCATTAATTCTTTTACTTGTTGACGAAAGAAAGGGTGTAGAAAATTAGGCTGTTATGGTCGATAGGTAGGAAATTGACAAAGAAAGAGACGAATAATAAGAACATATACTAACAAATCATTTCTATTAGTATAAAGAATGTTAAAAAATTCCTTAAGGTATAAATACATTACAAATTAAGTAAGGGATAAGTATGCATATCCCTTTCAAGTTTTTCCTATTTTATTCTATCAAGAAGCAATAAAGAGTGTCTTTAGATGATATAACTAATATTATTTCTTAAATTTATCATTTTATACCCAATTATTTTGTCTCTACCTCTTTCTCTCTTTCTCTCTCTCTCTCCTGCTTTATCCTTTTCTTTCTCTTTTTTGTTTATCTTTTTCTATTAAGCTTCCATATATTTTTTCAAAAGATATATTTTAATTATTAATACTGTTAAGCTGATTGATTTGTATTATATTTTTCTATAAGAGAATATATATACTTAAAAATTTAACCAAAGTCAATAGAAATTTATATAATAACAAAGCTATAAAACTACGCCCTTAAGAAAAAAACAAGCCTTTCAGCTTAACTGTGACCTTCTAACAGGAAATTGACCGTGAACAAAATGGTAACTGAGTTGGTTATTACTTGCGCCATTTCATAACAGATTAAAACACTTATAAGTAAGAGGTAGGTGCTAAAAAGATCTTTTATTCTCTCTGTTCAAGAGAATATATTGCAGATTGAACGAAAATAGATATAATATTTAGCCGCTACCTATTTTAGACATATATATATATATATATATACAGTATATATAAATGTACACAATATGCTGTATACAAATACAAATATTAATATATACAGTATATTTAGAAATTCATTGTTATTTATAACTATATCCTTCCTCTTTTTTAGTATTCCCCCTATATCTAAAGCTTATTTCATACTGTCCCTCTTAATCAAGGTTTACCAACTTCCGGAAAGTGCACAACTATGTAAAATAATCTCTCTAGTTTTAAAATAGAAAGGAGAAAAGTTAAAAATAAATATTAAATTAAATGCAAACAAGAGAAAAGCAAGGAGTGTATTATTTAATAATCAAAGTGAAAGAGGGAGAAAGAGAGAGAGAGATTTAAAGAGGTACACATTGACACTTTAAATAAATATTCAACCATTTTTAACAGTCTACTGATTACTCTTTATCTTCCAAAATAGAGCATTTAGAGTAATGAAATATAAATATTTTTTAGTTACTTTTAGATACTTTTAAACCATATAGGCTATAAAATGTATGCATTATTAAAGTAATGTAATTTAAAGGTTTAATAGACCACGCAATAGATTCAAAAAAAGCGAATAATTTATGTATATCATAGGCAGGATATATCCATTTTCCTTTGTTAAAATACGAGCAATTGTTCGAAGGAGTGCCGTCAAGATATATATTTATTTTGTTAAATGATATCCTGACGTTAGTCTTTCACAATACATACAAATTAAAGATCGCATACCTCTTGTTAAATATCAATCGATATTTTTCAAATACTCTAAAATTCCCGCATTTCCTGACAAAGTTTTATTAATAACAATTCAAAGTCTATTGTGATTATTAAACAGATATGAACAAATCACTATTTAGGTGCTTCTGTAAGTTAGACAATAGGTTTGTCATATTAATTAGCTGTGGGAATGTGATTGCTACCTTACCTGAAAAGGTTCATTTCATACCTTTTAAATAATGTTAGGCTATGTTTTTGTTTCATAAGAATCAAGGCGTTTTTCCAATCAAGGGGATTGTCATGGCAACACAGAGAGTTTTTCTAGTTCACTGAGTAGTTCTACATTGTTTTTTGTCTCGGTGTTACTATAGTTTCTATGCCTTTGAAACATGTTATCAAGTTATTGAAACAAATATTTGTAACTAGGCCTTTATATTAGGAATGGTCATGAGTCAGAAAACAGTTTCATTGTTGAAATGGAAAAATTTATTCAATAATAGGGTACTTGAATAACAATTTCTATTCGTAGAATTGTCTTCTAACAGATAAAAGAGCTAATTCAGCACTTTAACGTTTCCTTTTTCGTTTTTCACGATGTTTCATACGAGCTTGAAGATTGGCTTTCTTCCTTCGTTCTTTAACAATTTCATCTTTCCTCTTTAATTCTCTTTTATTCTTATTGGCTTTAGTTTCTTCACGCCTTGTATGAAAACCTCCTGGAAAACAAGGACATACGATTAAATAATCAGCTATAACTGAATGAAAAAAACAAACTTTTAAATTTGGATTCGCCTCCTAAAACTTGCAATCTGCCCGACCTTGCCTTCTTAGGAGCTTTTACTCGATCGTCATTGTCCATATCAGCGTGTTCCTCTCTTGACTTCATTTTTGTTTTATCTAACCATTCTTTGTATACTTTCGATTTGTACGTGGAAGATATCCATTGACCACTTTCCGTTTTAATTTTCTTCTTATCGTTCGTTTCTCCAACAAATTTCATCTTCTTTCTATCCCTAAAATTTTTTAATTAAACTTAGTATAACATGAAAAATATATATGTTATTTTTAAGCATTTTACCATTTTTTATGATTATTAAGTTTTCGTCCTATATCCTGATCATCCCCAATTAGGTCCATCATGGCGTTAGAGGCATCTTTCTCGAAACTGCTCTTTAAGCTTAGCCTAAATTTGTAGATAAATAATTTATTAGTAATTATATATCATATGCTCATATAATGTTATTTGTTCTGACCCATTTTCACTGGCAAAGTCTTTTGGCTTGTAAGGAACGAAACTTTCGTCATCTTTCTTGAAAACCCTCCTCATTTTAGGTTTTGGTGCAATGATAGATCCAAATGTATTTTCTAAATCAACATCTTGATCAAGGACAGATCCTCTATCAGAAGAAATGGATTCATTCAATTGATTATTTTTTCTTTCTTCGCTTCTCTTTGCATTTGCTTCGATTATTTCAGCGTGTTTTTCCCTTTTTTGTTTCATGGTTTCTATAACAGACGCATTTCTCTTCTTATGAATTTCAAAGATTGTCTATTTGAAATGAACAATAAATGAATCGAATTCCATTACTAGTCTACTGATTTAACTTACTGCTGGTGGTTTAAACTGTTTCATTTTTTTTATTAATTTCTCCTTTTCTATTTCTTCGCTATTAGTTGAATTTACTTTTAGTAAAGAGAAAGAAATAAGTTTTAAAGAAATATGTCAACTAATTTAAAGCGTTATCATACCGAATATAGGATGATGACAAATAGTAACATCTAATAATTCCTTCATCCTTTTGATAGACTCTCCTGAGGGTTGAGGCCTAGTTCTCACATAGTGTTTATAAGCATTGATCGTCACATTTTTCATATTTTCCTATAAAAGAAGAGACAAAATCAATTTATAATGAACATTTTGCAGTTTGTATTATTCACATACAATATCTGTCTTTTCATTCCAACGCCTAACTGATTGATCCCATTCATCAATGATTGTTTGCGGGACTGTTCCCATAACATTCTCTTCTTCTTTTCCGCCTTGGTAAAGTTTCAGGGGTTTTCCCAAAAATAGATGTAAATCTAGTACATAAGGCATTTCCTCTGGCGCTACTAACGAATGAGCCCATCCAGATCTACCGGCTCTTGCTACCCTACCAACTCTGTGTATAAATAGTTTAGATTTCCCTGGAAAGTTATAGTTGATGACATGATCTAAAGTAGGGATATCTATTCCTCTAGCGGCTAAGTCAGTTACTACGAGGAAGTTTGTTTTACGGGCTCTGAATTTGGCCACCTCAATCTTTCTAGCTGCAGGGTCAAGTGATGAATAAGTATAAGAAACTTTTAAACCAGCTTCTCTTAATATCTGTATAGAAAAATGTTTTATTGAACTTGTAGATTTTAAGTATAGTTTTATATACCATATTTAGATATTCAACGTGATGTCTAGTAGCAACGAATATAACACATTGTTCTGATGGCTTAACAACCTCTTGAACCAAATATAATAGAACAGCTTCCTTATCGTCAGGTCGACATTGGTAATAGCTGGTTTGCAGGTTTTCACTTAATTTTGTCTCAACATCCAATCTTACAAGTGTAGGCTCGTGTAGACCTGCTTTAGCAAATTCGGCTAAAATTTTTGGCAAAGTCGCAGAGAAAAGGAGTGTTTGTCTATCTTCTGGTAGTCTAGCTAAAATTTCTTTTAATTGTTCTGCGAAACCCATTTCAAATAGTCTATCAGCCTCATCGAACACAACATATTCTATAGAATTTAATTTCAATTCCATTTCAACGCAAACGTGCATAAATCTTCCGGGCGTGGCTATTATTCTATTGATCAGAGAAATAACAAAAAACAAATTGACTAAATATACTGAATTTAATGAATTCCATTTTAAACATACACATCAGGATTCTGGTGTATAACGGAGAACTGTTCTTCCATACTATCACCACCTAATATTACAGCGGCTTTAAGACCTGTAAATTTTCCCAATTCTTTAGTAAATTGTAAAGTTTGTAGGGCCAATTCTCTGGTGGGCGATAAAATTAAGCCTCTTGCACCAGCTTTAGCAGATGTTGCTTTTAGTTTTTCAAACATAGGTAAAAGAAAAGCTGCTGTTTTTCCAGATCCTGTTCGAGCCATAGCTACAACATCTTTACCATCCAAAATCAATGGAATTGTCTGGAAAATATTGTGATAATAGTTTTTTTGAATTTTGAATGAGAGAATAAGAGGAAATTACCTTTCTCTGAATTGGAGTTGGTACTTTATAGCCTTTTCTAATTAACCCTTTAAAGACACCCCTAGACAGCCCTTGAAAAAAATTAATTTCCCATAAACAGTCTGTCAATTAAAATGATTCAATAAAAAAAGATGAAACAAGTTATACCCATAGCTTGGAAACCACCCGATTTTTTCATTTTTCGATTTTGATTTCGAATATTCTTTCGAATATCCGATGTTACAACACTTTCATCCTCATCTTCCTCTTCTGTAATGTTTTGGTTTAAATTGAATATTTTATCCTGAAATGAAAAGAAACACTTATAGATATTCACGTTTTACAATCATTATTTATCTTTATTTGAGTAGCAAATTAAAATCTTTAAAATTCAATTTACAAATCAACATTTTTTAATTCTCTCCTTTGTGGATATCAATATTATATATAAATATTATCAATTATTTAAAATACTTTTAATATTGTTCCTTCTTAACATATATTTGATAATTAGAAGGTATACAAACTTGTTTTACAACAGTAAAGTTTTCCTCCGATTCCTCATTATTGCGCTTTCGCTTCTTTATCCGCCTCATATTCGAGGCCATCTTTATAAATAATTAGTATTAGGACTTTATAATTCTGATGTTTACTTTCTTTGCAATCAGCAAGTCTTAAATTTTAAATACAATCCAAAGAAATTCTGATATAAACACGTGTTTGATAAAGACACCGCACCACGAAATATACACGAACTATATTCGCTTTCGATAGAAAATTTTTATAGGGAATAAACAAAATGGCGTCACTATATCATCTTATTGTAAGACATATCTGTGAATTCAATTAAAGCTTTCCTGAGTGATACTCGGATAATCAACCATCTTCTGCTCTTATCATTTCAGAATATAACCATGTTAAAAGTTTAGGGATAGCCTCCATATACACATAGAGATGTATGTTGATCCTCAGAATATTATCTTAAAGAAAAACTTTTTAAATTTGGATTAATGCAATCCTTTTTTATGATAATCAGCTAACGGTTGAAACTTTTTTAGACGCCTTATTTCAACTTGTTCTATTTTTCGTGCAATTCGTTCTCAAAAATCTACCAATTGTAATAAAAGTTATTATAATTGTATTATAGTTTGTTTTTTCAACGTTAGGAATGGGTTTGCTGGAGCCCAGCCTGTATCTATGGATAGACAAAATATTAGTCTTTTGGGTGAAAAACGATACAAAGTCAGCTGGAAAGCTGATGGAGTTAGGTAAATTTCACATGCATATATTTAAATATCTTTATAATTCGATTTGTTTATTTGAAATGAACTGCTTCAGATATTTAATGTACATAAAAGGGAAAGAACAAATTTTTATGTTCGATAGAGATAACACTGTCTTTAAAGTAAATAATTTAACTTTTCCGAGAAGAAAATTTCCTGAAGACTCTGTATTTGATACTCTTGTGGATGGTGTAAGAAATTTTTCGTTGAACATATAATAATATGTTTTACAAATATATATATCTTTCATCAGGAACTAGTTGTGGATCAGCATGAAGGTCAGAAAATTCCACGTTTTCTCATTTACGACATCGTGCAATTTGAGGTTAGTTTTATGATTTTTTCTACTAGTTATTAGTTTTTAACGCAACTTTCATAAACTGGTATCATGTACTTTATATTTATATAAGCATCAGGACCACCTGTTCTCTCTAAAAGCTGTAATGTTTCATCAATTAAATCTCCCATATTTTCATTTTTACGTTGTCCATAATCAATAGCGTCTCCTGTGTTTACTGCAATTCACATGAAAAAATTGTATGTAAATCCCAATATTTTCTTATCAATCCGATACTTTACCGTTCTTATTTTTAAAGACATTGAAAACAGGTAAAAGTTGCCTATAATAGGGAACCAAGGACTCTCCTATCGATTCTCCACTCTCAACTAAATGTTGAATGGCCTTTAAAGTCTTACAAACTATGCGAACCTTGCGAGTTTCTAATGCCTCTGCAATTGAATTCATTACATACGTTGACATTATATTAAGATAGAGTTAATAGATACTTTTCAAAGGAATTATTAATTGAGGAATACAAAAGATTGTCTTGTGAGGGCAATGTTCAAGCATATCGTGCACTGCTCTTTCTGCAATAGATCCGTATGGTTCAGTGGTCTCACGTAAACCGTCAAAAAATATTGGTAGATAATGATGATAGTCTAGTTGCTCAATCTGTACCTTCCATTTAAGCTTTACACCTGATCTAACGTCATTTCGTTCAACAATTAAAGGCAAATCACCTCTTTTGTAAAATCTAATGAATTCTGTGGGCGTTTCGCACTTAGAACTCATAAAGGCGCCACATCTTGATGGCCCATCATTCTGAAATTCATTTATATAACAAATCGCAGTATTAACAACACGTCAGCATGTACAGGAAGTGAGAATATACCTGTTTCCTTTTTATTCGTTCCTTTCTTAGAGTTCCACAGCTGTCTGTTTGCCCTCTTGGCGTCTTATATGCCATTTTAGGACAACCGATCAGGTATTATGCTTCTTCTGACTTATATTGATGGAGATGCTACCTGGTGACGCTCGACAGGTCTAGATGAATGAGAGGAAAAATCAATAAACACACTTTCCGCGTGCGTAGTTGCTTAGCGATTATGCCATTGAAATATGTACTTGTAATAATATCCACTCGTTCGATGTCATCGCTAGGAAATACAATTAGGCCAATCACATACTAATTTGCTTTACCCAACTTTCGTTTATCTAAAATAGTCAAAACCAGTTGGAAGATGCGATTTTGGGCGTAGAGAACTTTGTATTCAAATGGAAAAGAATTTCGTGAATATAATAACAAAATCATAGAATGCACCTTGGAAGTGTTAGATCGTGGAGGAGGTAAATGGAAATTTCTTAAGAGAGAGAAAAGATAAATCCTTCCCTAATAGCTACGAAATTGCTACTGGTGAATAGATATATACATAGATAAATCCTATAATAATCTAAATTATGCTTACGTATTTATTTTTATAGCTGTGGTGAACTCTACAAGAAATCCCGTTACGCATACAGCAACACACGGTGTTCTCCAAGGATCAACTGTTCCAAATATCCCACGTACCAAATGAATCAAAGACGGGCTCGTTAACAAGCTAATAATGACTAGCATGTATATTAATAGAATTCGGAGTTTGCGACGTTTAATATCTTCTGCAACATCGCGATTTTCTCTGCAAAAGATATGTCGTAATAGCAGAGATGTAACAGTTATGAGAACTCCTAAGCTTCCACAAGTAAAAGCGGCAATAGGAACTCTGATAAAATGAGTTACGATTACTAAATACCTTATGAAACTATCAATCTTCCACTTCTGTAATGTTTTGGTTTAAATTGAATATTTTATCCTGAAATGAAAAGAAACACTTATAGATATTCACGTTTTACAATCATTATTTATCTTTATTTGAGTAGCAAATTAAAATCTTTAAAATTCAATTTACAAATCAACTTTTTTTAATTCTCTCCTTTGTGGATATCAATATTATATATAAATATTATCAATTATTTAAAATATTTTTAATATTGTTCCTTCTTAACATATATTTGATAATTAGAAGGTATACAAACTTGTTTTACAACAGTAAAGTTTTCCTCCGATTCCTCATTATTGCGCTTTCGCTTCTTTATCCGCCTCATATTCGAGGCCATCTTTATAAATAATTAGTATTAAGACTTTATAATTCTGATGTTTACTTTCTTTGCAATCAGCAAGTCTTATATTTTAAATACAATCCAAAGAAATTCTGATATAAACAAGTGTTTAATAAAGACACCGCACCACGAAATATACACGAACTATATTCGCTTTCGATAGAAAATTTTTATAGGGAATAAACAAAATGGCGTCACTATATCATCTTATTGTAAGACATATCTGTGAATTCAATTAAAGCTTTCCTGAGTGATACTCGGATAATCAACCATCTTCTGCTCTTATCATTTCAGAATATAACCATGTTAAAAGTTTAGGGATAGCCTCCATGTACACATAGAGATGTATGTTGATCCTCAGAATATTATCTTAAAGAAAAACTTTTTAAATTTGGATTAATGCAATCCTTTTTTTTGATAATCAGCTAACGGTTGAAACTTTTTTGGACGCCTTATTTCAACTTGTTCTATTTTTCGTGCAATTCGTTCTCAAAAATCTATCAATTGTAATAAAATATCTTGTTGAAATATGGCTGAAGGAATTAATGCAGAATTACCATTGCCTCCGAGATGGTTACGTTGCCCCCGGAAGGGAAACTTAATAGATGGTTAACTTTGCAAAGAATTTTACCCACCAGAATTTTTAAGTCTATTGTTTACAGACCTCTTCTTACCGATGAAAACCCCTTTGGATGAAAGATATGATGATCAGGTTCCTGAAGAATATCGTTTTAATTTAAGGATGATTTTTAATTCCATGAAGCAGATGAAAGTATGATTCAAATTATCACTTTAACAAAATTTCTAATAAATTTAATCACAGAGGAAAATGGGAATTTTACTAGACTTGACATTCACTACAAGATTTTATGATTCGAAAAAAGTGAGAGAAGAACTTGACTGTGGATATATTAAAATCAAATGCAGAGGGTATATTAATTGAAATCTTTAAAATACAAATAGATAAGTAATTTTTTGCTGCCAGACATGGTCAAGCACCAACAATTGAAGAAACGGAGGCTTTTATGACAGCTGTTGATTCAGTTGTAACCAATCGACCTAATGAAGTCATTGGTCTGTTTCGCAAAAATTTCAATTGCTTTAAAAATTTACTCTAATTGTAAATTTCAGGTGTACATTGCACACACGGATTTAACAGAACTGGATTTTTGATTGTTTGTTATTTAATTGATAAAAGGGATTGGGAGTATGTTTTAAATATTTTGTATTTATAAACTTTTATTGTAAATTTCCTAATTTTATTCAAGTTTGGAAGCAGCATTGTCCCTTTTCATTGAGAATAGAAGTCCTGGAATATATAAGCAAGACTACATCAATGAGTTATATAAACGGTATTATCCAGAAGAAACACCTCCAAACGCTCCCAGTCTTCCCGATTGGCATGTTGGTCTGTGTTTCTGTAACAAATTTCAGCGATAAACAGAAATAAATATTTTTATTTATCATAGAATTTGATGATAACGATAGGGATGATGATGGAAAACCAATTGCTTCAAGAAAAAAAAACAGAGGACAAAACCGGAAAGACAATGCTGTTTTTGTTGAAGGCTTAGATATTCCGCAAGTTGAACAATTTAAAGATTATGAGCAAGTATCAAGATTGCAAAACGAGGTTAAAATAATATGCAGTTATGAGAGGTTAAAAAGCGTAAAGTCATTATAATTGTATTATAGTTTGTTTTTTCAACGTTAGGAATGGGTTTGCTGGAGCCCAGCCTGTATCTATGGATAGACAAAATATTAGTCTTTTGGGTGAAAAACGATACAAAGTCAGCTGGAAAGCTGATGGAGTTAGGTAAATTTCACATGCATATATTTAAATATCTTTATAATTCGATTTGTTTATTTGAAATGAACTGCTTCAGATATTTAATGTACATAAAAGGGAAAGAACAAATTTTTATGTTCGATAGAGATAACACTGTCTTTAAAGTAAATAATTTAACTTTTCCGAGAAGAAAATTTCCTGAAGACTCTGTATTTGATACTCTTGTGGATGGTGTAAGAAATTTTTCGTTGAACATATAATAATATGTTTTACAAATATATATATCTTTCATCAGGAACTAGTTGTGGATCAGCATGAAGGTCAGAAAATTCCACGTTTTCTCATTTACGACATCGTGCAATTTGAGGTTAGTTTTATGATTTTTTCTACTAGTTATTAGTTTTTAACGCAACTTTCATAAACTGGTATCATGTACTTTATATTAATATTATTTGTCTTACCCAACTTTCTTTTATCTAAAATAGTCAAAACCAGTTGGAAGATGCGATTTTGGGCGGCGTGAAATTTGTATTCAAAGGGAACTTATAGGTCCCAGGACGGTTGCCATGGAGGAGAGACGAATAATTCGAGAAAGTGAACCTTTCGGAATAAGAATCAAAGAATTTCATGATATTACGTACGCCGAAAGATTCTTCAGAGAAGAATTTACTAAAGCAGTAGCACACGAAACGGATGGTTTAATATTTCAGCCTTTTGAATGGGTTTGTAGATTGACTGTTTCCATCGATAAGAAACAGATTTATTCTTTCTATATAGGTCTATAAAGGTGGTCGAACGCATCTTATCTTAAAATGGAAACCCCCAGAATTGAACTCTGTTGATTTTCTTCTTAAAATTGTTGTTGAAAAGAGAGAAGGTTGTCCTCCTGAAAAAACTGCTCATTTATTCGTTGGAGGTCTACATCCACCATTTTGCAGCATGAAAGTAATATTGATAAAATATCAAACTTTTGTAAAAAATCTATCTGTCATTTATGTTACAGTGTCCGAAAGAATTTCGTGAATATAACAACAAAATCATAGAATGTACCTGGGAAGTGTTAGATCGTGGAGGAGGTAAATGGAAATTTCTTAGAGAGAGAAAAGATAAATCCTTCCCTAATAGCTACGAAACTGCCACTGGTGAATAGATATATACATAGATAAATCCTATAACAATCTTAATTTTGCTTACGTATTTATTTTTATAGCTGTGGTGAACTCTATAAGAAATCCCGTTACCCTGAATTGTCTCCTCACTTTCATTCGACACAACGGATGGAGATCTAATGATATGCCGCCCCCAACGAAAAAACCAAGACATTAAAGTAACTCATTCTCGTTTAATATATCGCCACTGTTTGCTGATTAAAATAATTATAAATACACACTATCTCCTTTGGATTTAGGATATCTTGCATTTTAGGCTAAAACCTAAGTAAATTTTCTCCCTGATAAGATATTAGATTTTTTATCGCCAATATCGTTCTAAATTTTTATTCTTGTGCCATCACGTTAACAACACGACAATATTAAAAAAAAGGAAAATGAGGAAAATTGTGACAACTTTGGTAGTTTTGTATGCAGTTTACCTGCATTTAGCAGCCATATTCGAAATAGATCTTCTCGATATAGGTAAATGGATGTGGAGAAAATACTGGATAATAATGTGGAATATATTTGGACGATTTTATGTTCATGCGTCAATGGTATGGGTCGCTGCTGCTTGCGCTCTCTGGTGGAGACCAAAGAACGGAGAGCCTGTAGACAATCAAAGAACGCTGTTCTTATAAAATATTAACTGTTTTTTTTGTATATTGAAGTAATATATTAATTATTCTAAAAGAAGAAAGAAATTTCTAAAATTCTGATGATTTATATCTTTTGATAAACAATAATAAACATCATAAAATTTCTTCAATTTTAACTACTAAAATTCTTACTAGTCTACAAGTGGTGCAGGAGAAATCTTCACGAATATCGTAGGTCAGAAGGATCTTTTATATAGCTTAATTAATAAGGGACGATCTGGTGTGTTGAAAACACGATTAATGATGCCCATTGGCTTTGATGAATTCTCCTGAATTTCAAACTTTTGAAGGAGTTTAGCTATAGCGAGATAGATTTCTTGTTCAGCAAATCTTCTTCCTATGCACATCCTTGCGCCGAATCCAAATGGCAACATAACGTAAGGATGTGGTGGTGACGTACTGGCCGAACCTCTTTTCAACCATCTCTCAGGAATATACTTATGGGGACAGGAGAAATAATCTCTGGAGAGACACATCGTTTGGTTATTAAATGCTACGAAGGACTTCTTTGGTATAGCATAACCACCAAGTACTAGGTCCTTATCTAAAACTCTTGTAGTTCCACCTTGAACTGGAAAGAACAAACGAAAACTTTCTTTCACGCAAGCTTTTAGGTAAGGCATCTTGTCGAATGAGTCAGCTGTTATTTTACCAGTTCCCACAACATCAATTATTTCTTCGAATAGCCTACTTTGCTCTCTCAAGTTATTGGCTAAATTATAGAGAAGAAATGATAGAGCGCTTGCAGTTGAATCAATACCCGCTATGAACAAATCCGTAATAATTCCCACAGCCTCACGCTCGCTAATTGAGGTATCATCAATCAAACTTTTCAATAGATTTGGAGAAGTATCGTCTACCGTAAGTTCTCGACGGCTGGAGATAATACAATCCTTTGCAAATTTATCTGAAAATGTTTTGGCTGCAAGAAACTCTCTATATGCCTCACTCCTATATAGTTCAAACCAAGGAAAGGCGAAATATGTTCTTTGAACAGCGGCAAACTGTTTTTTAATAGAATCAAATAATTCTCTTGATTCTTTCTTGTTTTCGTCAAGAACTCCTATTCTTTTATTAAAACAAACAGTTCCTATAGCTAATTAATTAATAATCAACTAATTAGATAAGAGTTTGATATGATATCTTGTATACGATATACTTACATTCCATGGTATAGCGTAAAATTAACTCTTCAAAATTTGCGACCGATCCATTAAGATCCTTTATCGTATCTAAAACGTTCATAAACTCATCGGCTACTTTCTCCTGAGCCGGTAGATAAGCAGCTCCCGCACGATGATGCATTAATGGTTTTTGCACCGTTTTCCTTAATTTCCACCAATCTTCTCCATTTCTAGCAGTAGAAAAAATAAGTTTCAGATTTTGTAACAGTACAAAAAACTTACAGAGATCCCAAACCAAGAGCTATACCATCTCTTCGATTAGCTGCTTTTAACAATGGCAAAGGTGGGCGAATTGGTAATTTTCCTTCGTTTTTTAATACTGAAGATATATCATCGGGGTTGAAAAGCTGCACAACGACAACTGGACCAAATTTTTCTTTATAAATATCTCCGTATTTGATATAATTTTTTTCTTTCGCTAAATGCATGCGATCAAACGTATACGGACCAAAACGAGAATAGTCAAGCACATTACCAAACAATGGCAAACAACGAGGTCCGCGTAAAGCCGAAAACGGTTGAGTGGCCATCACCTTACAGACAGATGATCGACTTAGCAGTGATTGCGCCAGTTCGCGTAAATTACGTACAAATTACGTATGAATTTAAATAAACAAAATATTGTATTAACAGAGCAAATTAGTTTCGTTTGCGTGAAATAGTCCTGTTTCAAATTTTTAGAAAGGTTGTTGAGAGTTTGGATTTGCTACATTAACTAAAGACGGATCAAACGGTTGCCCTTTAAAAGGTGAACCTTCAGCATCCCAAGCTTGTTTCAGCATTTCATGCACTTTTTTTTCATGACTTTGAGGCTTTCCCAGACGTTTCATTTGCTCATTGTACATCATCTCTTCAATTTTTGCCTGAGCTTCATCGTCTAGATCGGTGATAGGCCTTGAAGCGTCTATTTTTCTCACGTTGATGGTAGGTTCACCTTTCAAAGCAGATTCCCACCAACGCTCCTCAATTTTTTCTAAGTTTATATGAACATATTCTCCAGGAACTAAACTCCACACGCATTCATCAGCACGAACGTCCCATGCAAATTTTCCATCAATTAGTATTCGATCTTCATTCTGGGTCTTTTGAACGACTTTTATCGACTTTCTATTAACGCTAACAGATATCTCTTTTCCTTTTTTGGTTGTTTTTGAGACGTAAACTCTCAGATCTAGATCCGTTATCGTTTGCGACCAGGCGTAATTTTCAAGTTCAGCACCGTTATAGCAGTCAGCTTTGGCTTGATAAACTCCTTGTTCCCTTAGAGAGAAACGTTTTTATATAAAGGGCTTGGCACAGCTTAGTTACAAAATGTCAAAATATATTTACCCTTCAGGGGAGTCTTCAATTTTTTTAGTCTCGGTGTTTTTCTTGTCTATTGATGGTTTTTGTTCAGTTGATTGATCTTTTACCTCGGAATCGTTGGATTTTTTTTCGGATGGTTGGGAAGCTGAAGTTGAGACTTCTTCTTCTTGAACAACAGGAGGAGGATTGGAGTTTAAAGCCTTTTCTATATGAATATTAAAAAATGAGTTAACTTTTGGGTTAGTTTTGGAAAGTTAACTTTTTCTACCTTGAATTTCTTTCGCTTTTAATTGTAAAAGTTTGTCCCTTTCAACTTCATCCTTATCAGCCATATCTTTAAATCTCTTAAATGATCCATAGGCTATTTTTTCCGCAACTCCAGGAGGAAATCCCAATTTATCAGACCCATCTCGCAACAAACGATAAAAGTCTGTTCTGAAGTATTTTAAATTTCGAATGAGCGATAATTGGAAAACCATACGCGGTTTTTTTTCTATTATGCAATAATTTATGAGGAAAATGCATCTATTCTCTTACTTTCTGTATAAAAAACCAAATATTGCCTCTAAAAAGTGATGGATTTTTCCTTCGCTCTGTAGAATACCTAAGAGAACGCTGTCATATTTCTCTGATGAAGAAGCCATTGTCGTTCTTTAAAATCTGGATAGTACTACCGTTGGTTATACTATGTTAGATAGTGTATTGGATTAAGATTCCTCTCCACAGTCACGTGATATCTGCCACTCAAAATGGCGGTAGGAGCTTTTCGACCGGGAACGTTTATCATAATCCTATCACTAGCATTTATCGGACTATATGATTATTTACTTAATTATGAATCAAATAATTGTCAAATGACTTACATGTTCGAATATCCCGAGTATCTGGTAAGATTACCTTAAATTTTGTTTAATTGTGTAAGCACCACCTGTATAGTAGGCCTACATGGTTTACAAGGCACTTAGTATATCATACATTATTGAATAGTGTCATTTATTTCATTTATCCCTGTAGTAAAAATATATGACAGGGATGGTATATAATGCAGTTGGCTTAGCAGCAATAAATAAATGACATGCTAAATATGGATTGTTTACTCTTGATTATTTCAGCCGATACCGATGACAGATGATATTAAGGAACGATTCCCAACCTATGGTCTATATTTATATGGCGAAGGGGATTACGCTAGAGAGCACCGAAATTTCCGAATGTCGGGAATTCCTGTGCTTTTCATTCCTGGCAACGATGGTAGTCATAAACAAGTTAGATCACTAGGGTCTGTTGCTTATAGGAAATGGCTGGACGAGAGTCTTCCATTCCATTTTGATTTCTATTCAGTCGACTTTAACGAGGAACTATCGGCATTTGTTGGCGATGCACTACAACGACAAACAGCTTTTACAGAAGCGGCCATTAATAAAATATTATCGTTATACACTTCGACTAAAAGCGTTGTATTAGTCGGTCATTCTATGGGAGGAATGGTGGCCAGAGCCCTATTTACTATACCAGGCTTTCAAAATGAGAAAGTTCACACAATTTTTACCCAGGCAACACCTCATCAAATGCCTGTTATTGCTCTTGATTATGAATTGGCTGAATTTTATAGAAGAGTAAATGAATTTTGGACAAATAAAAGCAATTCAACTTTATTGAAAACGTCCGTTTTCTCAACTGCTGGTGGTTTCAGAGATATTCAAGTAAGAAGAGATCTCGTTAGCTTAAGAGGGGTAAGTTCTAAATTTCTACAATACTATTTAACTAATAGAGGGAGAGAGAGACAGACGTACATTATACTGAACGTTATATTTTATTCAGCTTGTAGCCTTTGATACTAGCTGGGATACTAATGTAAGTTTTTATCTTTAATCAATATGACTTCAGTATGAATTTATACTCTTGAAATAAAACAGACAAAATCTGTACCTAGAGGATGGGTTTCCACCGATCATAGATGCCACGTTTGGTGTAAACAAATTGTCTTGGCTACAGTTAGGGCAATGATTGATATGGTTGATAAGAAGACAAAGAAGTTCGCTGTAAATCCAGTTTTTAAACGTAAAGTTATTCTACATCATTTCTATAAGAATTCTGGGTCGAAGACTTATCGGCAAAACTATAATAGACTTATCGAACTAGGAGCAAACGTTAAAACTGAAATGCGACCTAAATCCTCATGGAGATATAACAGAAAAGAAGTTAATGTTAATAGATATTTCGCAACGAAAATTACTCAAAAAGCATCATTTATCATTCTTACGCAAAATTTAAAAGCTAAAAATTATTTGGGTGGATGTCTATTGGATAGTTCTTGTGATAAATTAGAAAATTTATCTCCATATGCAGAACTAGTGCCGTCTAATGAATTGAAAGTTATAAAGCTAAATTCTGATGAAATAGCAAAATTTTCGTCAATAGTGACTATTATACCAAAAGCCTCGAGAGACGTTCATGTTTATGCAGAAGCATTCAACCCTGATAAAAGATCTGTTGTCTGGAGCTTACCAAAGGCATTTGTGCCGTTAATTTCAACTTTTTTTTCTTATCAAACATTAGTAGAGAAGACAGAGAAAAATGCTATTTTCTACAATTTAACACTTACATCGATTGATCATATAATGAACGTTTACAAAATTTATATAACAACTCTTAACTGCAATAATGCAGATGACCGAAATGTTCTCTCAAAAATTCATATACCTTGGATAAGCGACGATTCCTATGACGAATTGGAAAAAGATGCAAATTCAACTATTACTGTGAGATTACCTGTATCGAAACCACCCCAATGGAATTTAAGTGCTCAGGTTCACTTATATCTTAACCCTCAATGTGAATATACCATTGGTATACAATTAGCTTTTGTGGAATTACTTGGCCAATTCTTTAGATTCTATACTGTTAATTGCCTCTCTGCAATGATTGCCATTCTTTCATTTTTAATTGCCGACGAATGTCGTAGACTTTGTCAGCCAAGTTCTCAGGAAAAACCATTGAAATCTTACAATTGGCCTCATTTTCTTAAAATTTTACCAATAACATTCGTGGCTAACTGGACGCTTGGAACAAAAGATTCAAGGGAGTTGTTTCAAAAAATATCTATTCCTCCTCCCGATTCTTTTGACATGGATGAAAGAGGCCTGTGGTTTACTGCCTTGTTTATGTATAATTTCTTATTAGGTACAGCGATTTTGTCATGTACTTTCTTTATTGCCTCGAATTGTTTGGAAATTTTTTCATGGATTGTCAGAAAATTTTCAGGACTAATTGGACATAATAAGATTGATAGTTTCATATGGTATTTAGTAATCGTAACTCATTTTATCAGTGTTCCTATTGCCGCTTTTACTTGTGGAAGCTTAGGAGTTCTCATAACTGTTACATCTCTTCTATTACGACATATCTTTTGTAGAGAAAATCGCGATGTTGCAGAAGATATTAAACGTCATAAACTCCGAATTCTATTAATATACATGCTAGTCATTATTAGCTTGTTAACGAGCCCGTCTTTGATTCATTTGGTACGTGGGATATTTGGAACAGTTGATCCTTGGAGAACACCGTGTGTTGCTGTATGCGTTAGTGTCTCACTTTTAGTTTGGGCTGATTTGCCATCTCTAAAAGGACCACTATCTGGTGAATTTATTGATATTGCTTCAGGATTATTCTATATAGGTGGACATATAATTTTCATCTATGGCTTAGCCTCACTCTACAGAATAACCAACATACTCTCCGTTCTTTTCACCATATTCGCTCTTTTGGGAATTTTAGCCAGATTCCTAGAGAGTGCTGAAAATCAGAAAACGAAAATCAAAGAAGATTAATTAGCTTGTTGTAGTCAACAAATAAGAAGTTTTCATTCTACACTTGTTCAAATTCTGTCTCATTCTGTGCTCTTTGACTTTCTTTTGATATAACATGAAAAAATTACTATACACGTTTGTGTTGACTGAAGGAATTTTGCAGAGTTATGGAGCCATAAGTAATCAAAAGCAAAACTAACATTTTCAGAAGATAACTTTTCGGTGTGATGGCTTTCTTTCTTTCAATTTTCAATTTTCTCTATCAAAACTGTTTGAAGTTTGTGTATACTTCTTTCTAATCGAAATAGCTCGAAATCATAACCTCTGGTTGATAAAAAAACTTTCCACTGAAATGTAATACAGAGACTATTGAGCTATAATTCAACTAATGTCCAAATTCTTTCATTTAAAATTTCTCTCTTTATAGTTGAATGATAAGCATTTAAAATTATTCTGAGGAAAACGGTATTCTCATTTAACGCCTCTGTAGAAAGTGCAACAAAGCAAAGATTTCAAAGGTTAATAATTCCAGGAAATATCATAAATAGCTAAGAGTTATAAGGATTAGGTAAGAGGGAAAGGAGGTATTGAAAAAGAAAGGGAATGTAGAAGAAAAGACCCTATATTATAATAATGAGGAAAAACTTGTAAGCCATTTAAGGAAGGATTTTCTTCACAAAAGAGAGCCATAAACTGGGAAATAAAAGACAAATATTTCATCAAAAAATCTCTCTTTTTGTTAGCTTTTCTCTTGATAATCGTATCTCTATTTTTTATGCCTATAAATTCTTTATTTTTCCTTTCTTTTCCCTTTATACAGTTAGTCTATTATGGAATAGTAAGGCCGTTGAAAAAATCTTATAGATATAGTGTACGTCTGTCATCATTCAGGTTAATATTTTAAACAATTATAATACGAGATTGCATTAAAAACTATCTTAAAAACTAGACCATTATTAAAATAAGACTATAGAGGAAAATGTCCATCATAGACAATATAAATGCACGTTCGGATGGTTTTTTGAGTAAGTTTGCTGTTGAACATTAGCATTTAATAATACATTATCAAGTAAAGAAAATACTTAATATATATATTTATATATTACTACATTTATAAATACTACTATAGTTTCTATACAGCGTACGTAGGAGGGCGTCTGTGGCGTCTCTTCTATATATTTTATTTAATAATATTCGTCAAACCATACTGGTAAAACTTTACTTCTCTATCTTTCTATACTGGAACTAGTTTGTTTACACTTCAAGATGATATACCAAAATTATACAACGATGGTCTATGAATTTTCCTCTATTGAACTAAGAAGTCTGTGAATTTTCTACATAAAACTGATACAAGTATAAGACAAACTCTATGCAAAGTGAGAAGAGTTTAAGAAACACTTGTTTCCGAGAAGAAGATAAACAACCTTCTGAATCTAGTTGGAAGAAGTTTGAAAATGTTTTCAATTACGGTAAAAACTTGAATTTATATTTTCTTTATTGAAAAAGCAATAAGAAATTATACTGATAAATATAAGGTTAATTGATTTTCCTATAAAACTCAATCTGCAAATGAAGATAACATAGAATAGAATGAAAGAGAAGTTTTAACCTTTATTTGACTTTATCGAGCATTAACAAAGAATATGTATATACTGTATATATGCAGTCTATTCTTCTAATTTAACATATACGATAGATATAATTCGAAATTTAGTACGTATAGATAACCAATAGGAAACATTCGTGGTTTATAATACCATTGAACAAGATAACAGGCGAGTGAAAGTTACAATCAAGTCGACTTTTCTTGCCGTATGATTATACGTTATTGACGTCTAATAGAAGAAACGTGACTACTTTTTTTTACCAAAACCAGAAACGTCTTCTTTTTTTTACGGACGTCTAAAGAGAAATAAAAATATGTAACAGTGGAAAAAAGAACTGAAAAAAAGCCCTTCTACAATTATTTACTTAAATAGTACAGAGATATTGTAAGATTCAATGTAATGATACAATTCTTTCGAATCCAAGGTCATCTTACCTTGGAATATAATATTTTCCGTACAAATTTAAATATAAATTCTAGTAAACTAAGCCTTGTTGTGAAAGTATCGTGCGTAAACGGTAAGTATTTGATAGTTTTAAGTTAATGGAATTCGCTTATTAAGCTTTTACTGAAAGTAAAAATGTTTTTTCTTATATTCAATGGACTCTAATTAAGTCAATTATAATTGTATATGCTATATATTAGTAACCGAAAAGGATCATGTTCTCAATAATTTTTACTTTGGAAGTAGTTGCCTTGTAAACAAAAAATCTTATCACTAATCTAAGCTTCTCTTTCGTATAAATCACATTTACCATCTTTAACCAACCATAATTTGACGTTATGCCAATCAAAAAAAACTGGGAGACTATTTACACTGATAAGATGGGCCTTTGTTATATTCAACATCACTATCTTTTTTTATGTACAGTTGTTTACACTATACATAGACTTGTAACGTTAAGAGACTTAATCTTTTTTAGAACTATTACCGTATGAAACCACCACTCAAGGTAGCAAAAAGACATCACAATTTTTATTGGAAGTTGTCGACATTCTACTAGATTATATTAAAAAGAATAATGATAGGAGCTATAAAGTTCTTGATTTTCATCATCCCCATTCACTTAGAAACGCTCTGGGACCTTGTCTAAATTTGGACGATGATCCGAAAGATTTAGAACAGATTCTTATTGATTGTAAGGAAACTTTAAAATTTTGTGTTAAAACCGGACACCCTAGGTTTTTTAACCAATTATCAACTGGACTAGATCTCATTGCCCTTGCTGGCGAGTGGTTAACTGCTGCTGCAAATACAAATATGTATGTTAATCCATGCAAAATCCCATGTAAATAATTTAGTTGCGTGACTTTTAAAACCCTTTTAAAGGTTTACCTATGAAATTGCACCTGTTTTCACGCTGATGGAGGATATTGTATTAGCTAAAATGAGAGATATAATCGGTTGGCCCGACAATAATTGCGATGGAGTATTTGCTCCAGGTGGCGCAATATCGAACCTATACGCTGTTCTTGCAGCGAGATATCGAATATGTCCCGAAATAAAGGAGCATGGAATGGAAGTTTCACCGAAGCTTGTAATGTTTACATCCGAATACGTATGAAACATTATATATGTATCGAAATTATACAGTAACAGTTAATATCCTATTCAATATCAGAGTCATTTCTCCATCAAGAGATCGGCTGCAATTCTCGGTATAGGAACCAATAACTGTATAGGAATTAAAACCGACTCAAAAGGTAAAATGATGGTAAAAGACTTGGAAAAACAAATAGAGAAAACATTGGCTTCTGGTGCGATTCCTTTCTTCGTCTCTGCAACAGGTAAACAAAACGTTCCGTGATATAATTTCACACTAATACCATTGACAAATTACATTTGAATTATTATCTTCAGGTGGTACTACTGTTCTTGGATCATTTGATCCAATATGGGAAATATCTGATATAGCAATTAAATATGGCTTATGGCTGCACGTGGACGTAAGTACAATAAAGTATGGTTAGAAATCCACTGCTAAACCCATCTATCTTTTGATAGTGTGCGTGGGGAGGAGGTGCACTTCTTTCTAAAAGTCATAGAAAACTTTTGAATGGAATAGACAGAGCAGATTCCGTTACTTGGAATCCTCACAAGTTAATGGGTGCTACTTTACAATGTTCAGCTGTTTTGATGAAAGAAAAAGTTGTCCTCGTATTCACCACTATAAGGTTTTTTCTAATCAGTTTTCAATCCTTTATAATAAATGTAGGGTATCTTGGAAAAATGCAATTCGTTAAGGGCAAAATACTTATTCCAACAAGACAAACATTACGATATTACTTACGACAAGGGCGATAAGGCTATACAGGTTTTCTTTTTCTTTTTATATTATTGTATAAGCAGTATTTTTAATGAATTCATTCAATTTATCTAATAAATAACAGTGTGGACGACATAACGATATTTTTAAACTGTGGCTTATGTGGAGGGCAAAAGGTGATAGTGGATTAGAATCCCAAATCGATAAACTTATGGATCTTTCTCTGTAATTAACTATTATAGATTTAAATTATATCGTATTATATCTTCTTACAGCTTTGGTTATTATTATAATTACATAAATTCCCTTTTTAATTTAGATATCTACAAAAGAAATTAAGGGACAAAGAAGGATTTCAGTTTGTAATCAATGAGGTTGACTATTGAAATGAATACTTTCGTTGTTATAATAATGAAAAAATCCTTTTTGTCTTCTTATTTCTTACCTATACAGCCTGAATTTTTAAATGTTTGCTTCTGGTATGTACCTAAAAATGTACGTTACATAGAAAAAGGTTGCAGGAGAGATGCTTTATTAGACAAAGTAATGAACTTATACTGCTAAAGGTGCATTAACGTTTTCCTTATCTTAACTTATATCCAACAGGTGGCGCCAAAGATTAAGTCGATGATGATGGAAACGGGAACTACCATGGTCGGTTATCAGCCTTTGGGAGATCTTCCTAATTTCTTTAGGATGATCGTATCGAATCCAGCCACCATTCCAGACGACATCGATTTCCTTTTAGAAGAGATTGAACGTCTGGGAGAAGACCTGTAGATAAAAGAGAGGCAGAAAACTGTAGTTATTCCCTCGTTCTTTCCTTTTTTCTGTCTGTTTGTCTGTTTCTCTAGCACTTTCTCTCTTTTTCATATATGCCCTATCTATTTATCACTCTTTTTCATCTATCTATCAATCTATCTCTTAATCCCCGTTTTTTATATAAAAATATTGTAACCTTATTTCTGGAGAAAACAACCTGTTACGAGTTTATTTTTGAGAATAGCACTTGAATTCTTCCGAAACAATCGTGTAATTCGGCAATAATAATATTCTATAAATCTACCAAAGTGTTCTGTATCGTTGCATTCTAATGTAGTCTTTTAAAGTAATACGCTATTTACCATATGCATGATAAACATGTACAGTGGTAGTGTTCAATTTGCCTTAGAGTAGATATGTAGCTTACATTGTATCTTATTTTTACATTTATCTATCTATGCTGTATATAGTATATACTATATATTTGTATATATATTGTTTATAAAGCGTTTCGTCTATGTTGTATATGTATAAAGATGCGAGAACGATGATGAAAAAAACTTATTATAATTTCCTTTAATAAAAATATTAGCAATATTACAAAAGAAAAGTCTCAATCACTAGAATGAGAATTAAACAGGTGCCTAGGAATTGCATTTCATGTTGTTTTCCCCTTCGAATTGCAGACAAAGGTAATAAGTGAAGGTACAGATAGAAGTTGATATGAAAGGTCAATATTTGAAATTATTTGAAGCTGAAGGTTCTAAAACTTCTATATAGATGAAAGAAGTTTCTTTGTTATGCATACCATAAATTAATACTTCAGGATGAATTGGCGGAAATTATTACGTCCTCTTCTCCCGTGTACTTCTAACATATGTTTATTTTTCTAGTAAATACGCCTAAAGCAAGATATATAACTGACTAATTTCTACAGCAACAGTTAAATCAAAATGTCTTCAAAGTGGAAACCTGCTACATCTGACTTGAGCGATAGATTATTAGGAATTCAGTTATCCGATATTGGGGATAGTACAAAAGTAATAAGTTCTAAGCTCAAATCATCCACTCGGGCTGTTGAACCTATTATTCAGCCTATTTATCATTCAGCGATCTATAAAATATCATCTGTAGACGACTACCTAAAAATCCTTGAAGAAGATGGTTTTATATATGGTAGACTTTGCAATCCATCATGCCAAGCTGTTGAAGTCTCCTTAGCATCTTTGGAGGATGCTTACGGCTCTTTAACTTTTTCAAGCGGTATGGGAGCCATTTCTACTATTTTTCTCGAATGTCTAAAGGCAAATGATCATATTGTATGCCAATATCCACTTTATAGTGGTACTTTTGAAGTATTAAAAAAGCTGATGGCCCAGTTCAATGTATCAGTATCGTGGCTAAACTCTGATTCTGATATGCAAGATTGGGAAGCTGCAATTAAACCAAATACAGTAATGCTCTATGGAGAAACGCCGTGCAATCCGATTATGTCAATCTTGGATTTAATAGAATTTGCCGCCTTGGGCAAAAAAAGAGGAATCTTGACAGTTGTCGATGCAACCTTTGGTTCGCCTGTGCTATTCAAACCTCTTAACTATGGTATTGATATTGTTCTTCACAGTGCTACGAAGTATATTGGAGGTCACTCTGACGTAATTGCTGGAGTTCTTTCAACTAGGAATGAAAAGCTATGGTCACGACTACTAATAGCCAGAAGTTTATATGGAACTATACTGGTATTTATCTAATTACAAAACACTAATTATCATTAACTTATATTGACGAAATTGTTAACATTGATATAGTCTCCTCATGAAGCTAGCTTGCTACTTCGAGGTCTCAAAACTCTACCACTTAGAATGAAGAAACACACGGAAAATGCAAGAGAAATAGCTGAATATTTGGATAGTAGAAAGGATAAAGTATCGAATGTTTTGTATCCAGGTCTAAGATCTCACGCTGGTCATAAAATTATTCAACAGCAAATGCCTAACGGATGCGGAGGCATGATGTCCTTTGAGATGAAAGACGGCTTAGATGCGGCTGTTCGATTCATAGAATCTGTTCGAGTTATACACTTGGGCGTTTCCTTAGGTGGTGTTGAAAGTTTAATGTGCCATCCGGCGACAATGACACATGGACCAATGCTTATGAACGACGAGGAAAGAGAAAGAGCTTTCGTTACACCAGGATTAATTAGATTTAGGTAGTATAGCATCGTGGGAACTTAATCTCTTCTCTTATCAATCTTTACTTCATTCCCTAAACAGTGTTGGTCTTGAAGAAGTTAAAGATTTAATTAGCGATCTTAAACAAGCGTTAAATAAAGTATAATTCATTATTCAACTTGGAAGATATTTGAAACTTATAAAGCATTTAAAATGTTATGAATTATTAACAAATATAAATATATTATAACGAATAATAAGCTTATCTAGTTTGAGGTTTAAATTACAATAAGTATTCTAAGCAGTATACAATATAAGCTTACCTGGTGGATATTCGTCGTCGTTATTATTATTACAATTAATTAGGCCTACTAAGGTTGGTTTGTATGGAGAACAATTAGTTAATTTAAATTTGAAAGACATTTGTATATTTCCGTATTATTATTATTATTATTATTATTATATAATTTACCTAGTTTATATATAGAAAAGACGATGATGATAATAATAGTTAATTGTTTATTGCTAATTATCAAAAAGATATCGTGTAACATTCCACCAATAGAAGTTGTTGATAAAGGAATATATCCGATTAATATAAATAATATAGGAATAATATTCTGTAAGATTCTATATAACAATCCGGTTTTTAACTGTATAACTGAGGTTTATGTTTTTTTTTTAAAAAAAAATATTATATATAAATGGGGCTTAGATGTTAGAGTTAGGAATATTGGATCACCAAAATTACCTAAAATATTAGGAACTACTCAACATTGTTGTGTTGATAGATGGAGCCTAAACGGCGTAAAAGAGAAATCGTATAGAGATTGCGGGCTTTTGGAAGTATTAGCCGGTGAAGTAAGAGATTTAGAGTTTGAAGATGAAAGGGATATAAAAATGCTTGCCACTACTTTATACCCCTACGACTGGAAGGGCGATTGCAATGTATCTATAACTTATGGTAGTCCGATTGCCGTATCCGTCTTGATCCGATTTGACACGAGAATATCCGATTTGGCTTTCTTACCTAATTTCCTCTCGATTATCTTTGAATATTTTAGTAGATGTCCTGCGACCGATTTGGATAGATTTGCCAATTGCAAACCGGCTTTATGTAGACATAAATATTGCGGTATGATCAATTACTTCAATGTAACGACGGGATTATGCAATTTGGCGGACCGATGTAAACTTGTATCAAGACCGAATTATATGCTTTTGCTTGAATCGAATAAATGTATCAGTCTGAAAGAAAACGTTACCAAAGACGAGGCGAGAGACGCTTTACAATTAAGGGATCTGGACGAATTAGATATTGTTAATTCCCCTATTACATTCACATTTCATTGCAAACATGGAAAGGCATTTGAAAATGGTACTGGATGTTTGTGCGATCCAGGATGGTCGTCCTTATCACCTGAATGGCGTAGTTATACTGAAGGAGGAGACGCCATATGGTCGTTTTGTGATACTCTTGAGAGTAAGGCCCAATTTTCCAGTAATACCGTAAGAATATTAATCTCATTAACTGGGTTCATGACTATTTTTATATTACTATCTTTTATGCTGCTCTGGAGCGGTTTACTATGTATGGATCCGAGAAGACGGCACCAATTAGCCTTGTGGGGTTTCGGGTCGCCAGCTAAGCACTTGGAAGCTATAGATTTAGTTTGTATGGCCGTGGTTCATACCGACCGACCTTGCTTGGGTGAAGGGGAACTGGAATTAAGGATAGGTGACGTCATACTAGATTTGGAAAGATTACCAAAAAGGGGTTTATGGAAGGGCACATGCAAAGGGCAAAAAGGTTTCTTTCCCGTCTCTTGCTGCACTTTCCATTCGAATCATCATCACTCTCTCTACCAGGTTACTTTCTATATGCTTTTTTATTATTTTGTTATATTTTCTATTCTTATTTATGTTTTCTATTACAGAAAGGAATTATTAAGAAATAGACGTTAAATTGAAATACTATATTGGCTTATAACGGAAAAACAGCCAATAATGAACAAATACAAGAGGAAGTGAAGATATTAAATAAAGAGGAAGAATTTTTTTTCTTAATCATAAATATAGAAATGCAAATAAATTCTTTTCAAAAGAATTATAATTAATATTAAGAATACAGCCATTCTATTCTCTCTTATATTATAAAATTGTTAATGTTTATGTATACAGTATTTGTTAAAAACGATAAACTAATCCTTCCGTAGAAATTTGTGTGTTTTTTTTTTTAAATATAACATAATTAATTACGCAACAAAAGAAAATAATATTATATTTTTAATTAATAAAATACACTTGTTAAACTTAATAACCCAAACAATTTACTTAGATGAAAGATACATTTTCTCTTTAAATTTTTCGCCATTATTTATGATTAGCTTACGTTTCATTAATTATATAATTAAATATTCTCATACAATTAATCAAAGTTTTTTTGGTGAAGAAATGACTTTTAGAAGTAAATATTTAAAGAGAAAAGCCAATTTTATTCAAACTTAAGTCCTTACACCTCATTCTCTCTCTCTCTCTCTCTCTTTTTCTCTCTCTCTGTCTCGATATTTCTTAAAATTTATAATACTTTGGTTCTTTTTTGTAATTTAGGCCAAACATTATAAATCGTTCGATAAAACTGCTTATTCTCGATTTAGCTTCAGCCGGAACTAATCCGAATTTGTTAGGATTAGAACAGATCTGTCAAGCGGAATGTCCATCGAAAAATACGAAGAACCATACAAATACTTTGGCATTGGGACGTATTTTTTTTTCTTTAATTTGGCGTTACGTTTAGTCACGTGAATTGTTTTTTAAATACTATTAATACTGTAAAAAGCCGTCTATAATTATTGTTTACTTGCATACATACATACACACTAGCAACATGGTAATAAAATAAAAAACAATATAAACAAGCTTCCTTTTGTGTTGATTTGCAGCACATCATCCAAAAATAGAATTATTATTTCTGGGAAAATATTGATAAAAACACGCAATAAAAGCTAAAATATGTAAAACATATTCTAATTATTTTTAATGAAGAATCCCTTATTATCTTCTTTTTATGAATATATTAAAAAATTGAAAATTAACAGATGATTAAATAATTCAAGTCTATTATAAAATATTACATAATATTTATGAGCTTTACTTTGTTTAATTCAGAATAAAAATTAAAAAGGGGAATGTCGGAACGTTATATCGAAATAACAAATAGAATGGAACAGATGTTCTTTTTAGTATCGAACTGGCGCCGATCTTTTTTATTCTAATGGTTTCAGTCAGTGGTTATAAGGTTATAGTAAGAAAAAAGCCTAAATAACAGCCATAGAGGAGTTAATTTGAAATTGAGTTGAAAAAAATTTCATTTCAATTGATTATCGTCAAGTTTAATGAATTATTTATTACCAGCTTCACATGTTTACAAGGATTAAAAAATATTCTCTTGGACATTCTGATTTAATGTTAATCGAGAATTTATTCAAAAATTTGACGTTTAGTCGCAATTAATTAAAGCTAATATCTCTTAAACATACTAAGAGGAGATAATCGACAAAAATTAATGTCTGACTTTAAAAATTTTCTGAACGAGTTACCTGATGACTCCGAGGTAATCTATTTCAACACTTTTTTACGTTTTATTTCGCAGTTTATAGTTTATTTCTTAGGCCTATAACTTGTAAACACCTCCTATTAACGCTCAGTTGTTTGTTACTACTTTTCTCCTTTAAATATTGACTATTAATCTTAGATATACGAAAGCTCAAAGAAAATCATAGTTGGAATATGTGCTATGAACAAAAAATCAAGTTCAGCAGCTATGAAGGAAATAGTTGAAAGATTGGAGCTGTTTGATGAGTTGGATGTTATCATTTTTGAAGAGGAAATTATTCTTGATCAACCAATTGAAGATTGGCCCATTGTCAATTGTTTAATTAGTTTTCATTCCAAAGGCTTCCCATTGGATAAAGCTATCAACTATATCGAACTGAGGAAACCTTTTGTCATTAACGATTTATACATGCAAAACAAAATTCAAGACAGGAGAGATGTTTATAAGGAACTAGCTTTGGTAAACGTCAATCAGCCCAGATTTGCCTATTTGAATAGAGATGGTCGAAACGAAGGTAACGATCAAAAAACTGATTCACTTGTCGAAGAGGATGATCATGTATGGATAAACGGCATTCTCTTCACAAAACCATTCGTAGAAAAGCCCGTTTCTGCAGAGGACCATAACGTCTATATTTACTATCCAAGTTCCGCTGGGGGTGGAAGTCAACGACTGTTCCGAAAAGTAACCATTTATCTTTATTTCATTTAAAATCTTCTTCCCTCTCGCATTACTATAAAGATTTATGTTAACGGGTAAAATACATTACAGATTGGCAGTCGAAGTAGTGTTTATTCCCCTGTTTCAAAAGTTCGTAAAACCGGCTCATACATTTATGAAGACTTTATGCCTACTGATGGAACAGACGTTAAAGTCTATACAGTTGGTCCAGAATACGCTCATGCAGAAGCTAGAAAATCTCCTGCTTTAGATGGTAAAGTCGAAAGAGACAAGGATGGAAAAGAAATCAGATATCCTGTACTATTATCAGCTCAGGAAAAATTAATGGCTAGGAAGGTTTGTCGTAATTAATAACTTTTTTACTTTGATATTACAAGTAATGTTGTCGATTTGAGTGCAGATTGTCGAGGCGTTTAGACAGAACATTTGCGGATTTGATCTACTTAGAGCCAATGGAAAGTCATACGTTTGCGACGTTAATGGTTTCAGTTTCGTAAAAAACTCTTCGAAATATTACGATGACTGCGCGAAAATTTTGGGAGACATGATACTCAGGGAATTCGCACCTTCGCTTCCACATATCTCCCTATTTGATTTTCATTCCGAAGACATTCCCATTGTGCCTACTACCTCAGGTGGACAATTTATTTAATGTACGATTTGAACGAAACATTACCTCAACTTTACTAATATTTAGGCACAAGAATGGAGCTTCGTTGCGTAACAGCCGTTATGAGACACGGTGACAGAACGCCAAAACAAAAGATGAAAATGGTTGTTAAACACAAGAAATTTCTTGATCTATTTGAGCGATACGGAGGCCATAAGACAGGGCAATTGAAGTTAAAGAAACCTCAACAGTTGCAGGAGATTTTAGATATCACAAGGTACTTTGGAAAAATCGCTAATCCTTACAACAATTATATTATTCCTATATTTTAATTCTTTATTAGATATCTTGTAACCGAACTCCACAGCGAGGAGGGTTGCGAGTCCATTGAAGAGAAAAAGAATAAACTGGAACAATTGAAATCTGTGCTAGAAATGTATGGACATTTTTCGGGAATAAATAGAAAAGTCCAATTGAAATATCATCGTAGAGGTTTCGATAGAAGTCTTAGCGAAATAGGTCTTATTAAAATTTCTCGACAATCTTAAAATATTACTAATTTTATTAGATGTAAATACTGACACAGAACGTGTTTCTACTCCAGATGATGATTCTAAAGGTGAAACTAGTACAATTTAATTGTTTTTTACAACATTTAATTTTTTTTTTCCTCTAGATCCGAATAGCGAACCTAGTTTAATATTAATACTCAAGTGGGGTGGGGAACTAACTGAGGCAGGCATCAAACAAGCCGAAGAACTAGGTAAAGCTTTCCGATGTATGTATCCTGGGGGGAAAGGAGACTACGGAGGAGTTCCTGGCCTTGGATTGCTTCGTTTGCATTCTACATTCCGACATGACTTGAAAATATACGCCTCGGAAGAAGGACGAGTACAAATGACAGCTGCAGCTTTCGCAAAAGTTTCTATTTCTTTCTTCTATCCTTTAATATAAATAAATCGAAAAGTAGAGACATACTTGATATATCCTTTCTTTTTCTACTTTTAGGGTCTGCTTGCTCTAGAAGGTGAATTAACTCCAATCCTAGTACAAATGGTTAAAAGTGCAAATATGAATGGATTATTGGATAACGACAACGAATCAGATAAATTTCAAAACAGGTTTTTATTAATAATTATAACAAAATATCACTTTTTGTAAAATATTAAAACTCTTAGAATATTTAGTAAGCATGTTTATTAAAAATTGAGTCATTTTATTGCAATTTCAATGATTTATTGAACTAGTTCGAGTTTAATAATCTCGTATTGCAGATTTTTATAAGTTATATACAGTACATGTAGATATAAACGATATCTTTTTTACCGTATTTTTAAATAGGCAATATTAGAAGTAACTTTCCCAGTAACACCCTGTTTATCTTCCTACTAATTTTTCTGTTGATCAATTGGGATTCCTTAAATTTCACTGTGCATGTTAATGAAACCTTTTAAAATATTCACTCTACAGAAGTTAATAGCTATCACAATATCTAAATTAATTTTAGTATAAGCTTTACTTTCATTCCATATTTAAACATAAAGAATATTCGATAATAAATAATCTAAATACTGAACGAAAATCGTGTGAAACAACTACAACTACAAGCAATACAACAACAGACTTTGTCTTTTTTTTATATTGATTGTAGTTATGAATCAACCTTTACCATAACAAATGACGTTTTGGTGTATGGCAAGGTCTGGTAGAGTTAACTAAACTCAATAAATGTGGACAGGACAAATTGTTTTTAGTTATATAATATACGGGATTTCTATATATAATATAACTATACAGTATATATAATATAAAAGGCATATTTTTTATGCTCCTTAATCCTATACATTCAGTATACCTCTTTCAGTTGCTGGAACATAAAAAAAGCAACTGATCATAATCCGTCTTTTTATATTTGTGTTTATGTGCATTTTACTAGGCTAAGAAAAAAAGGTACTTACTACTTGAAACGATTTTTTCACCATTTGAAAAAAAAGAGGCAATTGTAATTTTACGGATAAAGTAAAGTCTACTATTTGGATGAAATAAGAGAACCTTTGTTAAGAAGGGCTGTCATTATAAGGGAGAAACAATATTTACCCTATGTCACACTAATAAGATAGGAGATGACAAAAAAATTAGGATACTGTACTTGCAATCGTGCTACAATAGATAATTTATACAGTTTATTGTCTAAAAATCTGAGATATTCTATACTAAAGCCGCTAAGGTAAAAAAAAAATCGATATAATAAGAATTTGGTGACGATATAAATACAAACTTTTATACTTTTGTATGAAGAAAAATAGTCAAGGTCACGACGTTGTCAAAGAATACAAAACTTTTAGTTAAAAAGGAAATTTATATAGAACAGGATGGAGAAGTTTTTTTGTATTAAAATTCAATAAGTATATTAGTATATAAATGTGTACTATCATTTGATAAGCTATTCCCTTTTATCCAGTAACATCGTAGACTAGTAAAAGATGATAGAAGTTTTGTACAATACATTGGATATTTGATTTAAAAGTTTTATCTTATTATATATATATTTCCCTCTGATAGAGTACTGCTCGTCTCAACAAAAAATATTATATTCATGGCGCTAAAAACAAGAATAGAATAGATTATGCTTAAACTAATTCTATTTCAACGAAATATATAATGAGATAAGAAAGGCCGATAAATCTTTAATTGAATTAGAACTTGAAACAAAGGAAACTAAAAGGAAATTTTTCGGTTTAATAGTCAAAATACGGGTATCATCTATTTTTAAAAAAAACCCAACTATCCTGCAGGTGTCTTCTGAAGGTTGACAGGTTTCAATTACTTCAGTTCTACTTTTCGACATAGCTTTTTCTTCTTTATCGTTTCTCATACTTTACTATTCTAAAAACATAAAATTTCCTTCTATTTCATTTTTAGTCGAGTTAATCTTATTGTTTTCATTCGTTTCTCTTTCTTTCTTTTTATAAGATAAAAAAAGAGACAAACTGTAAACAATATAAAATTTATATAGAAAGAGAAAGAAAAAACTAAAATAGTTTTTATCATTTACATTAGAAGAAAATAGATTTCCATTTATATTATGTAACAGTTATATACTGTATTTACATATATACAGTATATATATACGTAAATACAGTTATGCATGAATTTTGCATTAGGTTTAATGTTAATTTTGTAGTAGTTTATTATATATTTCAATAGAAGAAAACTAGTCATCTGTTGTAAAATAGTGGTTTAATTGATTTATTTTAAGCATAAGAAAGTATTTTATAATTGTACTAAGCTTTCTTTTTTGTTATTTTTAAGGTTTAGTTTAATTGTAAATTCCTGTCATTGTTTCATTCTACAGAATTAAAGCAAAATTACAATACATATTAAATAAGAATGAAAATTTTACTAAGGAAGACTACGAAAGTGTAAGTTCTTTTAATTTCCTTTTTAAGTCCTTACTTTTTAATATATCTATAACTTATATATACTACCAATCTAACAGCTGGGAGCTACAAGCAGTATCTCATTAACAAACGCCATGTATTTTATTAAAAATCCTTTTAAAACTTGCGAAAAAATTTATAATTGTGCAATAAAACTACTAGAGCTGGTTAAAAAGCTGGCTAACGAAAGTCAATTATGCGATTTGAAAGACACAGACGACATTTCAATAGATGATGAAAACGTTACAGACCACTATAAGCTCTACAAAAACGAATCATGGGAATTGATGGTTCGAAGATGGGCAAAATTGGTAAAAGACTTTCGGATGAAAGATAATAAATGGGATATATCAAAGATACCGGATATCTACGATTGTATTAAATACGATTTACAGCATAATCATAAATATTTTGAACCAGAAAGTGAAACGGCTGATCAATTGTACGCCTCCGCCAAAGCTCTTGCTGATATTATAATTCCTCAGGAATATGGTATAACTAAAGAAGAAAAATTGCAGATTGGTCAGTGTATCTGCACCCCGCTAATGAAAAAGATTCAGGCAGACTTACATCGAAATATTGACGAAGGAGCAACTAGACTTGATTCCAGATACTCGACAGGCGTTTCTACTCCCCATCGTCATGTTCGAACAAGGCTATATTTTACTAGTGAGTCCCATATACATTCCTTGTTAAACATTATAAGATTAGGTGGATTATGTAAAAATAAAAATGACGAGCAATGGCAACGATCAATGAACTTTATCAGTGAAATATCAGAATTAAATTACATGACTCAAATTATTATCATGGTTTATGAGGATCGCACTAAAGAACTTCAATCTGAAGGGAGATTCCACGTGGAACTACATTTCAGTCCAGGAGCCTATCATAACGTTAGAGATCAAAGGTATCCAACAGGCTTGGGCTATAGACCAGCTGGCTGTCAAAAAGTTAGTTTATAAAATAATTATTTCCCCGTTTGCGTCTTTCCCTGAAAGGGCCTTAATATTGTTACGACATTGCAGAATTTGGCAAAGAGCGAAGAAATTTCGTCATCTGAATCGAACTTGGTTCAAAAGAAAAGAAATCGAATTAGGCAGACGTCATTACCGACAGTTATCCATGAAAAGAATAAATTTGATTCGTACTCAGAGAGGGTAGAAAAATTCCGTGATACTCTTTTTCCATTACCAGACTTTGACACAGTTAAACAAGGATTAATTAGTACAAGCGTCATATCCGGTTCACTTTCCGCTCCATCTTTATCGAAAATTGAAAGTGGAGTGATTATGAATATAACATCCGGCAACTGTTGGGCGGTACCATCCATCCGTCCTTTGGAAACTATGCATAATTCTCTGACTTTAAAGAGGATGGAGAATTTCTTAACAAAAATAATTGATAGTCGTTATACAAACGATAGACCAAAGTCAGAACTTGAAATAAAAAGTAATATGTAGTCACAAAGTCAATAAATTATAATAACTATTGTTATTATTATTATCATTTTTGTGATTGACACTGTAATTAATATATTACTAATGCTGATTTTATATACTGTATATATCAATATGTACAGTATATCCAACAATTTATACCATGTATATACATATAGAAAAAAAGATATATATATATTCATTAATATATATATATATATATATTAATGAAAAATACAAATGATTTGATACAATTATATATTATACATATTTATTATGTATTATGGTTTTCTCTTTCCCTTCGCTTATATAGCTTATAAACATGTAAAGTATATATGTATATAGAATAGTTAATTAATTTATAAAGTTAAGTATTTGGTTGTAAATTTTTAATTTTAAATTAAATGCTTTATCTCGTGTTTCGAACCGAAAACTGTAGCCAGTTGTTCTTCGTACTCGTGAATGTTTCTCTTCATAATTTCTTGGCAAGGGCCCAACAGTCGAATAAAATCTTCCCGTGATAATTTAGCAACTTTAGTGTCCCCTACCGCAATTATACTAGCCGCTCTTGGTTGGTCAGTTAGCAGTGCAAGTTCTATTCTCAATAAAAATATAACAATTAATTAATTTAGCAATCTATTGTTTATCATTTTTAGGCTTTTTCTTTCATTTTGTTAAAGAGAAAAGGCATAGAAAATAAATGAAATAAACTGGTCAACTATGTTTTCTTACCTCCGAAATATCCGCCTGGCATAATTTTATTGACTTCCTTTTCTTCTCCTTTCTCCTGATGATATAGAAAATTAACGTTTATCTTTTTTCTTAGATTATTAATACAATGCTGAAAGAAAACCTCTTACTTGAACTAAACAACAAACAGAACCTCGTTCGACAAAGTACATTGCATCAGCTTTATCTCCTTGCCTCATAATCACATGACCATCTGGATACTCTATACTTTGGAGGGCGTACGCGACGTTGTTTCTCTCGTAGTGAGTTAATTCATTAAAGATAGGAACACTTTTAAGCAAATCCTCGAATTGTTTCAGTTTTTTGTGAGTTGATCTAATGATAATCTTTCTGAATGTTTGTCTATCCATAGCCCATAATCTACCTGGAGTCTTTGATAGAATACAAGCGGCTCTTGCCGTATTATACATCAAAGCCAATTCCCCAAAAAATCCGCCATTTTCATAGACTTTAGGCGGTTCCGTTTTAACATATTCCTTTTTACCGTCTTTTCCATTCGAGTTCTTGAGGACAAAAGCCTCAAATTTCCCTTCTTCTACAACGTACATATAGTCTCCGTCATCTCCTTGGTTAATTACCACTTCGTTAGGATGCTCTATCTTCTTTTCAAACATTGCGTCTATCAGTAATTTCATCTGCTCTCCATCCACGTGACGAAAATAAAAACAATTTTGGAGAGTTGACTTTAGTCGTTTACACTGTACAGCCGACTTTGGGTGAACAATTAAAGAATCATCCTTATCTGTTTCTGGATCGTAATGTTCAGCCGCAACAGATTTTCTCCGAGACTTTAAGTTCGGTACCCGACCTATAAAGAAGATAGAATCAATCAAAAAAGTATATTTATAACTAATTAACCCAATAATCATAGTACAGCCATATCTTAAGATATCAATTATGACGTAATATAGATAATAAATGCTTAATTTTCTCTGCTATTTACAATAAATTTATCAGAATATTAGAGAGTTTTATCTAATAAATAGTCTAAGATATCAAATTTAATTACGATTTGTGTCAAGATCCTATCTCAAACCACTAAAGAAACAGCTTTAACGTAATAGTAGAATTTAGATATGTTACTTTTACTTATTGCAAAAAAAGTCGTCTTAATTATAGAAACGAGACTTGTCTATTAAAACCCTTTTCTGGTTGCTTTGATTAATGGAAAAGAGAAAATTTTTACTCGTTTTTCCCTCTTTTTTTCAGATACACTCTGTCCGATTTATTTCTGAAAGCTTTATCCGTCGGGATTATGCCTTATAACTTGTTAAAAGAGAGAGAGAGAGAGAGAGAGAGAGAAAGAAAGAAAGAGAAAGGTCTAACAGGGTTTAAGGTGAAAGAGAGAAATTACATACTCTGTATCATACAGTAAAAATTTCCCTTTTCCTTTTTTAAAAAAATTGGAAAAATAACTTTGATCGTTTTCTTAGGCCTAGAGTCGTCCATCATCAATATTTCCACATAGACGCTTTATCAAAGGAGCAACAGAGCATAAAGAAACCCGTAGAGAAGGTTACATACTTTCATTTAATTATCATCCTAACCTATATGCTACTGTCGCACACAATATAATAATTGTCTACTATAAATTATCCATAAAAGAGATGAACCTTGTTTGCTTTGTCATATTTTTATACATATAAATAAGGAAATGTAGGAAAACAAACAACAAAAGAGAGGGAAATAGCGAGAGAGAGAGAGAGAGAGAGAGAGAGAGAGGAGAGAAAAAGTTAGCAAGAGTAATGCAGCAGAAGATGAAGAAGGAGTTGAAAAGGGGTAGATGGGGGTGGAGCAATAGGAGGAGATATACAGAAGAGGTAGTTAAAGAACAAGTAAAAAAAAAAGGTTTCTAGTAATATAATAGAATCTTTAAGAAAGAAAACACGTTTTACCAAGACTTAATAGGCGTATAATGTTCTATTAGAAAAAAAAGGAGACAATCTGAGTAAATAGATATTACTGGATTATAGGGATGTATAGATTTAGTTTATCTATATATATATATATATATATATATATATATATATATATATATATATACAGTATATATATAAATGTATATGTACAATATAAAGATTAACTGTATAGTATACTACGTAATAATAAACATACAAAACCGTCCATTTAATCCCGTTTAAATACTCTATTGACACAAAAAAATACTTAAAAGGTAACGTAATAAAATTATTTTTGATAGGCAACATATTCTCGTCGTCATTGGAGACAGTATTAGAGTAACGAGAGAGCAGCAGTTGCATCTTTTAACACTAATTTGCGATCACAGGTTGCTGTAGTTTACCATTTAGTAGTTGAAAGGTTAAAATTATTGTTTTATATATAGTAAATAAGCCATAACATGTATGTATTATGGTTCATTTACTAAATATAGATGGACCGAATATATTAATATCTATACATATATGAAATATTTTAAAGAAATTTTGCGTATTGTTGTTATTATTAGTGCTTGGACCCTAAGGCGAAAAAAAAAGTTGTTTATACAGCCCATACTCATTAAGCTATTGATGCAAAGAGAGTGTCCGATCAATTTTTTTAGACGCTTGTGAGGTGTCTAGCAGCAATAAAAAACTTGTACAATCTGTCCAATAATTTCATAGCAAATAAACTCTCATGGTAAGAGATAAATTTATTATTTACTATAGATAAAAACGAAAAGTTTGTCTTTTCATTTCCCTCTCCGAAATGTCTTTATATCATACTTCTTTTTTACCTCACCCTCTCTTCCCCCAGCCTCTCTCCTTTCCCTTTCTACTAGTAAGTCTAGGGGAAAAAACTATTTGCAAATCTATAGGCCTTAAGGCTTATTATACGGGAAAAAAACTTATTTTAAAAATTGTCAAACCTCCATCAATGTTCTCTTCTTCCGACTCGCATATTCTCTCATATTCCTCGCTAACGTCATATAACTCATTACGATTTTCTCTGACATCTACTTTCTTTCGAATGGAAGATGTTGTCATTGCATTTGTAGTTGTAGTAGTTCCATCTCGCTCCTCTAATCGTTTAGAAAAGAATTTAGCAGCAAATTTTAACAAGTCTTCCGGTTGTTCCTTTATTGCATGCACTGCAAAATTTTGTAATAAATCAGTTAAGCCGTCCGGTACGGTGAACGCGCTCATGATGAGGAGCGAAGAGAGCAAATGTGCCGTGCGCTGTTTTCGAGAAAATTGTATTCTTGCGCAGGTTTTTTTTTTCTCCTAGGACTATTATTCGTTAACGCACAAGCTATTTTCTTCTATTAACGTTGTTTTATAGCAGCAAGGACTTTGAAGAAGGTGATGACAAGAAGAACACGGTAAATTAAGGGATAAGTTCCTTCAATGCTTTATCTATGTTTCTGAAAAAAAAGAGAAGGAAAAAAAAAAGAAAATGTCAAATAAAGTATTCGTCATTCAGTTTATTACTATGCATTAAGTTGGCTTTAATTAGGTCTATTTTAGGCTTACTTTTTCTTTTTACATATTGACAAGCCATAGATGCTTTGCAGTTAATTAAGTTATAAAAATTATTGATTTAAATAGTCCATTTCCCTAAATTGTTGAATGTTGTATCTAAAATTAATTTACGGCTTTTCCGGGCCTAAAGTAATTTTTACTTAGTTCTATATAGAATTATTTAAGCATTTTTACTTCATTTTTACGGCTAACTTAGTCTTTCTTTTCCGATTAATTCTGACATGAGTTTGTAATTATCTTATTGTCGCCATATATAGATTTACAAAACTGTTGCGGCCCCAAAATATTTTCTTCTTTCTCTTCCTCACTCTCTCTCTCTATTTTTGAGCACTCTTTTTATGTCTCTCATTTCTCGATAGCCCGTAAGGATAATGATAATTCTTGTTACGCTTCCTCAAAGACACTTCCTTACATCGTGTTTTAGACGTCCTCCTATAGATAATGCAATAACGACACCAATCGATAATCCTACTTTTTATAAGAAACAATAATAAAAAAAGAATAAATCACTTGCTACATAATTAACAAATTTCGAATGAATTGACCAATAAAATACTTCTAGGGAAAACGTTCGATTATACTTTTAATTTATTTATTAGTGGTTTAACGACTAACAATTTCGATAAATTAGATTTTATCTATTTAAATATTTACTCTAAATGAAAATAATTGCTTTTTTAACGTTTCTTTATTAGAATAAACGTTTGTATATTTAAATTTATTTGTTCTAAAATTTCTCTATTGGAAAACGAATGCGGACTTGGGTACCAGTTTAATGGCTCTATCAGTTATCACGAGTGGAAAAGCTGTGTTTCGTCCGTGTGGTTTTTTTGACAACGTAAACAAATCGAAAAAATTATGACCAAATTTCGTTGTAGATTATGCAGGCATTTTCTATTCTCAGCAGCAGATCTTTTGAATCCTAAGGGCGATAAGTTTGATGATATTTACGGCCTTAGAGAAGGTAAATATATCAAAAAGGCTCGCATTAATTAAAGGCATTGTCGATCATGTGAAATATCGACGGAATTTTCTATAATTCTAATGTATTCTATAAATTATCCTTTAAAAGTTTATTTTAGTTCTAAAATAATATGAAATATTTTCTAGTAACTCAAGAAATAATATTGCAATCGTTTTAACTTTTAGATGGCTGTAGCGATACGCAGTGGTTCTTGGATTTCTCTACTAATTTAGACTGGCTGAAAAGCTGTTTTATTCAAGTACGCTTTTAAATTGTAAAATTTAATAATTCTTATAAATATTTTTCAAATATATAGAGCAAATACTTGAAAGGCAAGCTATCTTGTCCCCACTGCAGTGGTAGAGTTGGATCTTTTGATTTCGTTAAACCTGTATCATGCGATTGCGGTAGACACGCTCTTCCGTATGTGAGAGTATCAAGAAACAGAGTTGATGTCGATTATCCTGTTGAATTCAGTATTCGACAAGCACACTCAACAAGACCAATAAGAGTGACGGAACACAAATCTAAGTCATCAGAAAACTCTACCAAGTCACCTTATTCACTTGACAAACAATCCAGCGAAGATAGCAGAAATTCTGCCAGATCAACAAATTTTACTCACGACATCGTACGTAAACTATTTTTAGTATTAATTGAGTTTTTCCCAACTAGTTTAGTAATTTAAAGAAACGAAATCGGTGTCGCCATCTTTAGACTTAACGAGTAGAATAGCATTAGTCTTTTCACACTTGCGCTATAGTACAATAGTTTATTATTATCTCTCTTTCATTTTAGAACGACGAAATCGATGGTGAACTAATGTGTCCAATATGCTTAGAAGTTTATTACCTTCCTCACAAGTGCTTGCCATGTAAGCACGTGTTCTGCTCTCCATGCTTAAGGAGGCTAAATGGATCGCGTTCGGAGCAAACTAAATGTCCTTTATGTCGAGTTATTATACAAAAATGCCTACCTGAACAAGGTTGGTATTTATAAAAGTCGTGTAAAGAGACTAACAAACTATATTATGTTGTTTCTTTTTTATTTTAAGAAAAAAGTTATATGGTTCGAATGAAGTATTTAGAAGAGTATAAAAATAGAAGAAACGCCGAAGGAAAAGTAGCTCATACGTTGCCTCAGTTACCATCTTCAATGAAACGAAGAAAAATTAACAATCGACCACGATCTTCGAATATTACACGAATGCTCGCTCCCTATGCTGGAGTTGTCTTTGTTTTATTACTATGCCTATTAGCCGCCGTTATCTTATTTATAACTTTTTCGGCCGGAATATGGTTAGCTTGGCAATTGGTTTTGGAATTGTATCTATCGACTCAAGACGCCCTGGTTCACAATTGGAGAGCACTAGTCGTATTTGTTGGTTCACAAAGGTCAAACTCCTCTCACTATCTAAATGTATTTTTTAAAGGTATGAAGCATTCAGCAAGCAAAGCTGCTAGGCTTTTGGCCTCGTCAATTGATCACGCACACGAAGCTATAGAAGGAGTCGGAAACATGTACACGGAAAAGTTTAATCGTACATCTTTTGTTTTATCTCAGCTTATCGAATCCGCCCAGGAGCATATGCACTCGTATAATACGACCGTATATATTGAGCGAGTTAGTCAAACGGGAATTGGATTTAGTAGAATTTTATTCGCGGCTGCCGCTTTCTTCCTTATAATCAAGCTGGCGTTGTATATACAAAGGAACAGAGTAAATCCTCACAGGATTGCTTAGAGTTTGAAAATGATTATATAAAGTTATTTTTTCTCTTCTATATCTCTTTTAAAATATTCTTGAACTGCACTGAATAAACCATTAACATTATATTTATAATAAAACACTTCCCACAAGTACATCTGAGAATTTGATCACCTATGTCGATTTCTTTTATCATTAACTCCTCTTCTCTCTTTTGATCTGCTCCTTGATCGTTTTCTTTTGCTTGATAGCTTTTGTTCTTTTAAAATAGGTTTTGCCCATGGACGATATTTACCTCCGAATCTCAATTGACCTGCTTCTTTTCTACCACCCAAGCCTTTGGAAGAATTAAAGAATTGATTAAATATATGATAAAAAGAAACTTGCTCTTTAATTTTTTTTAAATGAAAAGAACATCAATTCGTCTACCTCCTCCTAATCTCCTAGGTACCCAACCTTTCAAAGTTCGCTCCAGCTCTTGCTCTACTTTAATTCGATTTCCCTCCAAGTGTAATCCATCGCAGTGTTTTAGTGCATTGCCAGCATCACTCGAGTGCTTAAACTCAACAAACGCATAATTTTTACTATCACCTGTCACAATATCTCGAACTACTCGAACATTTCTTAAAGTGCCGTGTTTTTTAAATACTTTTGTCAATGTTTCTTCTTTAGTGTCACTATTCAAATTAAAAACAAAAAGAGTCTTTTTGGCATTTCCAACAGTTCCTTTGTTAGGTTTATATTTAGCTTCCGAAGCCCTAATGATTGCTTTGTCGTGAGCTTCTTCGTCCGTTCCATCAATACTTCCAACCATTACAGGATCATATTTGTCGACCTCTGTACAATATTTCGCATAACGAACATTCATGATTTGTTACTTATATCAAGAGAGACTAAGTAAATTGTTTGCATAATTGATTTATCGATAAAAACAATGAGAGTTGAGCAAGATGTTTTTCTTTCGTTCGAAAAAAAAGAACTGACTGGAATGTAGCATTTCCGTTTTATAGGCCTACTTTCAGATGATTTTTTTTTTATTGTATAGGCTAAAGTAGGACCCTAAAAGTTCTGAAGAGTTAAAGGTGAAAGTCGGAAACAGAGCAAACATATCAAAAATAGCATGTCTTCCGGTTATAAAAAAATAGAGGAAATAATAGTAAAAGTGAAGTTTCACACCGAGATAAACAAGAACGCTAACTGGTTCATTTCTGACGAAAGCGTCTCGTTAACATTTTCTCTTGCCTATTTTGGGTTTGTGTGTGATAGGCTTAACTTGACTTTAATGACACTTCGAAGGAAAAAGGAAAGAAGCAACGAATTTACAACTCTTTATTCCACCTCGAATAGTCATTAGTTGAAAGAAAGAGATAGGCCTTTTGTCAACTATGAAATCGCACCTATTTTGTAATAAAAACGTTTTTCCATAAATTAGCGTGTATCTATGAGCTAATTGAAAAAAATGGTGTTATTTTGTTTGTTTATAAAATGATGGCTACGTATTGTACTGCAAATTTTTGGGTATCGTTGGAACGAAGCCATACATGTCCTGGCTTTCCTTTGCACCCATAGGTATGGCACTCCACCTCCTCTTGTTAAGAGCAGATTTGGGCGGAATATTGCCGTTTGATTTGGGAAGAGCTGCTAAAAGGGAACTATTGGAACATCGGCAAGCCATTACACTTGGTCTTTTGTACGGTTGCCGAGAATCTGAGTTTGTTGCAGCCTTCTGAAATCCGCTGGTTTCAGATTTCGAATACGAAGGCAACTGCTTAAAGGCTATATCTTCTGAACATGCTGATCGTCTTCTATAGTCAATAACTATTTTATGATTTTCAAATATAGCATCGGAAGGCTTGAGGCTGCTCCTACGTCTAGCCAGAGGATCTCTCATTGCTTTTTTAGGTATTGGAGCTATAATAACGGAACAAGGTGAAGCTCTTCCAGAGCGAATAATAGATGGGGATGGCGATCTGGATCGTTTATCGAGAGATGTCGATGAGCCGTTTAATTGATTAGGAGAAGGACGCAATAACGTTAGCAAAGATGGCGAATTTGCTCGATCTATGACGACTGTATAAGAAGCGGAACCGGCTGAACTCGTTCTCGATAGATTTTTTCTCCTTTTAGCTTTTCCCCTATCATCCGATTTCCTTAAAATAGTCCTATAGCAAGCTCGTCTAAACCTTTGGCAAAGTATGTTCAGTAAGACAGGATGTAAAGCGGATTTAGCATAAAATAGCAGTTTCGTAACGACGTTTAAATTCTGAAAACCTTGTAGGCCTATAACTTGTCTATCTTTTTCTGTTGCGAAAGTTTCCCATATAGTAGCTGTCCGATCAGGTAACACGCAAACAAAGAAGCCTATAACCATGGCAAGGAAGACGTAAAGTATCTGCCTCTTATGGTCAAATGAATGGACAGCTCTAGAATCTCTCCGAATTAAGACAGCATGAGCTTCAACTTGTAATCTGGTACCCATTCTTGCGAAGACTATTGAAAGTAGAACTAGGGGTATTATAACAAAGATCAGCGTGTCACCCAAAACGTACATTTTATGCCAGCCTTGTTCAGTACGAATTCTGCATAATTTGTGTCTGAGTACGACCATATCAACAACTGCAATAGCAGTCAAGATTGAAGATGGCCAAGCTGCCATACTTAGTTTCATTGCTCTCCACCAATCACACCTGAATTGCGAAACAGTAGGCTTACAGATGGCGCAGTATCGTTCGAAGCTGGCGAAGAGGATGGTTAGCATGGATGCATGAGCTATTACTCTTTCAACGTAGGGAACTAGTTTACCTGAAAAAAAGTGAAAGAGAAGATTGAGAGAAGGGATGCGTATAGGTCATTCCGTACGTTTTACGTACGAACGTTGACGTCATTTGCAACGTTTATTTGTTAACGCCTATAACTTTATGTGCTTTATATGCATCACTTACAATAGTTAATCTATACGCTTATAGTAAAAAATAGGGAAATTGAAAGTTTTTCTTACATATGAATGAACCGAGAAGCCAGCAATTAGCGTAAAATTCGATGAAGCCGATCGGCAAACACGTAAAGATGAGTAATAAGTCGCATGCAGCCATATTACAGAGGAATACATAGGGACTCGAGTGTAAATCAGAGTTCTTAGCGACGGCTGCGAGAATTAGGACGTTACCAGACACTCCTATAACGAAGGTCGAACCGAAGAGTATTGTTAGTAAGACGAAGATTGCTGACGACGGTGACCTGTATTGGTTAGTTTATTTGTTTTCTTAAATGAATTATTTATTACCTTATCGGTTTTTGTTCTATTTTCCTTACAAAAAGTAATCTAAATAGGAAAGGTATGATAATATCCTTTCTTTCATTCTATGCTTATTAAGAGAAATCTTCCATAGAAGATTTCAATTTGTCAAAAATTAATATTTAAATAGACAAAAATATTAGTAAAAATTATTCTTACTCTGTTAAAGTTCCATTTGCGGAAGTATTATACATAGCGAGAAAAGAAACGACAGCGACGCTCTATGCACACGCTCTCGATACAAACTGACAAACGCCGGCGTTGCGCACGCCTCACTCTACTTATATCTAGCCCCCCTCCCGATATACTTAAACGCTAATTACCAAAAGAAAATATTGTATTTATGAAGATTATTTCAAGATACTCTCTTCAATACAGCTCTCTAACTCTTTCTTTTTAGGAATAGGAAATTTCTCTGTCTGTCTCTTTGTCTCTCTCTCTCTATATATATATACTCTTTGGTTAGAATAGATAATATGGGGTTTTTCTGTTTGATATTTATATTTTATACTATTTAGCAACATTGATGAACATATTTTTATACCTATTTCTTTTTTCTTTCATTTTTATTCTCTTCCATAAATTTCATAGAAACCATCAGTCTAATTAGATTTGTTATAAAGATTAACGCACTGTCTTTTATATATATATATATATATGATTTCCTTAAATATTCCTTTAGTATTATTATCCATATTTAATCTGACTTCTTTCTTTTAAATATTAAACTTTTAAAGAATTTGTCACATGAGAGGAAAAAATTTTTTTTTCTTATAAACTGGATAAAAGACGACGCTTGGTCGAAAAAGAGTGAGGATGACAGATAAATGTTTCGTATTAATTAGATTAAGTTGTAAATAAGGCCTATGGTGTATAATAATCTAATTATAACATCGAATATCTTCAAAGAAATTATATGAGTTAGTAGTTTTTTATTCGAATTTCACGTTAACAAATCTAAATAATTGCTTATTCAGCATCGGTTAAAAAATGTAAGATTTTCCGATATTCTTTATAATTGAGAATATTTAGTAAAAAAAAATGAGGTAATCATTTCTTTGATTGTGATGGTTGTCTGCACGAAATGTTTTCATTTTTATAAAATACCCGCCTTTTAATTACCGGTTTTGTATTCTTGTATCAAGTTGAAGCTAATTCGTTAGAATTTAGCCAATGAACGCTACGGTTGGAAAAATTCGTAAGGCTCTTACTCCTACCAATAATTTTAAACTAGAAAACTATAAGGGTCCAATAGACCATACACCGTTAAATTGTTTACTCTTTTTTATTATTAAATTTGTTTTTAATGAATGTTTTTGTGATCTGAGGGAAATTTACAACTTAAAATGAATGAAGAAGTGGACAAAGAAACAAGGAAAATGAATAGGCAAAATCTTATAAATAAATTGAAGAAGATGAACGAAAATCGAGGTATTTGGCTTGTAACTAAAGGGAGATATATGTAAAAACTTGTAAATTCCATGTGTCATCGATGTAATTTTAAAGAAATATTTTCATCCATAGCTCTAAGATGTGTTATTTAATATCAAACAGTTTATAATTATTCAAAAATAGCTGAAATTTTTGACATTACAACACTTTATTAATTTTTTTCAATTCTTAAAAATTGATTAGCTATTTGCCTCTTACTTTTAATTTATATGAATAAAATAAATGAAAGTTATTGCATCTGTTGTTAAACCTTAGCACTTATTGATCCGGAAGAGGAAAAGAAAAAAGAAATGATGCTTTTCGAAAAACTTTATAAAGAACAGAAGGATGAATCAGAGGAGCATCATACGTACAAAGTCATACCGAAATTCTATTTCAAGGTTCCATCAGAAGATGAGTGTCTACTTCAAAAATTAAGGGAGGAATCAAGGGCAGCTTTTCTTCAGAGAAAAGGCCGCCAACTTCTTGATCAGGACGAACTGCAAGGTTTATGGTACTTGCTAGACAAACACCATACTCCTCCTATGGTAGGCGAAGAACAAATGATCAACTATGAAGATTTCTTAAAGGTTGCTAATCAAGCGGGACCAAAATGCAAGTAAGCGAAAATAAAGATAATTTAAAATTCAAATGTAAATAATGTAGTTAAATTTCTTGTATTTTTCCTTTCTAGGCCGTTTTTTAAATCAACAGTATACGCTAAATTATTAGGAAATGATCCTCACGGTCGCATTCCCATTCTTCAATTTTTCAATTATGTAATGAGGAAGGTTTGGCTACATCAAACCAGAATTGGTCTATCTTTATACGATGTTGCTGGTCAAGGATATTTGAGAGAATCTGTAAATATTAGAAAATTTACTTAGCAAAATAAGACAAATATGTATCTTTGTTTTGTTTTCATCTAAAGGATTTAGAGAATTATATTTTGGAATTAATCCCAACACTTCCACAATTGGATGGTCTTGAAAAATCATTCTATTCATTTTACGTCTGTACTGCAGTAAGGAAATTTTTCTTTTTCCTGGATCCATTAAGAACTGGAAAAATTCGTATTCAAGATATTTTGGCTTGCCGTTTCTTGGATGATTTGTTAGAAGTAAGTGAATATTTTTTAATAATAGTCTTTTCACTGAATTAACAACAAATATATAGATTTATTTGAACATCTCTCTCTCTCTCCATATATATTAATATATATATACTGTATAGTTGTATATGTATACATTAAATCAGAATTATTTCTTCTTTTCCTGTTTTTATCATTTACAGGCAAATAACAAACAGGTTGTGTAAAAATATCTATCAAAACAAAACACTTACACTTAAAAAAAAACAAAGAATACGTTTATTTACTCATATTAAAACTATTATGAAAAAATCGGTTTCTTTTACTATTTATGCTTTCAAATAGCTTGTTGGGGGATTATTAAATTAGAAGGCATGATAAAAAGAGAATGGGCATGAGTAATACTTATATTTTACTGATCAATTTATAGCTATTATGCATATTAACTTATAATACATATAAAGTCTTTTCATGGGTTATTTCGTGGTATTAGTTTTCATCAATTTGTACTCTAATTCTATTCGAATGCGATGATTTAGCTTCTGCGTCTGAGTGAATATATATATATATATGAAAGAAATTAATTATGGGGCTTGGCAGGAAAATTTCTTAAGTTTCAATAAGTAAATTGATAAATAGCATCCATCTTTGATACTATTTATTTAATTTATTTAAGAATAATAAACCTATTAATTATTGCAAGGTTGTTCTATATATAGAACTAACGTTATTTATATTACAAAAGAACCTTACAATAATAATAAGAACAATAAAAAATAGTTAAAATGTATTAAAAAAATACATAATAAGGAGAAATGAAATTGGATAATTGATTAAAAAAGATAATAACTTGATTCTTTCTATTTCCTTTTTGTATTTTGTAGCATTTTATCTATTTTTAATTCTTTTATTTGTTTATTAAATTAAAATGAGCACACTTACATTTGTATTCTATTATTATTATTATTATCGATATATCTTTTACTTAATGCTCTTTTTTTTCCCTATTTCTCTTTCCATCTATCTATCTCTCTCTCTCTCATACACACTTCCTACGCTTATCATCAATAGCTCAGAGATGAAGATTTAAGTAGGGAACAATTGGAATGTAACTGGTTCTCAGCACCGAGTGCCCTCAGAGTTTATGGTCAATATCTTAATTTGGATAAAGATCAAAATGGAATGTTGAGTAAACAGGAATTATCTAGATATGGAACTGCAACTTTAACTAAAGTTTTTATCGATAGAGTATTTCAAGAATGTCTTACTTATGAGGGAGAAATGGTTTGCTTTTACATATTTTCATTACTGTTATGATACTAATAATATTAAAATGAAATTTTTTACTCTTTTTAAGGACTACAAGACTTATTTGGATTTTGTTCTCGCTTTGGAAAATAGAAAAGAGCCGCAAGCTTTGCAGTACATTTTTAGATTATTAGATGTACAACAGAAAGGATTTTTAACTATCTTTGATCTTAATTTCTTTTTTAGAGTTTGTAATATTTATTTTAATACGTTTATATATCTTAATAAATTTTTTCTCACAACAGGCGATAATAGAAAAAATTAAGGAGCATGGCCAAGAACCTGTCTCGTTCCTCGACGTCAAAGATGAGATTTTTGACATGATTAAGCCGGCAGATCCATATAAAATTACTATTCAGGATTTAATTAAAAGGTAAGATAGAACTATTTTAAAATATTTCACTTTGTCACTATCAAAGAGATTCGCACATTCACCAGCTGTCAGGGTGACCTAGTTGTCAGCATACTAATCGATTTACGAGACTTCTTTTCCTACGAAAATCGGGAGTTTATAGTTAATGAGCAAATGAAGGATTCAAAGGATGGTACTAATTCTTCGAATGAGAAAGGTCAAGGTGCAAAATTAGAAGATAACGAAATAGAAGGCGTAACTCAAGCTTAAATAACAACATTGTTTCTCTTTTTTTTACTATAGTTTTTTTTTCTTTATTATGTTTGAATGCTTTAAAAGAATTATAAAAAGTTGAAATATTAATTCTTTTTTTTTTTAAAAAAAAAGAAAATAAAAAAATTTAAACTAAATAATTTCACTTATTAACCTTACTATGCTTTTTCTTTTGAGGGGAAAGTTAAGAGAACCAAATATAAAGTCTTTTTAGTAATCTTTATATGAAATAAATTTGATTATTCGTAAAGAACAAGCAAAACAAAAATACTGTATCGCACTTGTACCTGTACAGTACATACATGTATATACAGTATATAATTAAGAGGGGAAACCGAATCTTTCATCCTCCAATTTGATGTTAATGAACTGGGTTTGTCTTTGAAGAAATTTTGGTTCTTGCGATCCTCTTACAGATATAATTGGCAATCGCTCACTGCAAAAGTAATATTAATAATGAAACTAGCCTAATAAAGTATTGTGGAGGACAAATGTATTTTCTTTTATTGATTATTTGTTCTACAGTCGATCTGGTTCTACTGTTGTCAATATGCTTATTGATCTTGAAGGTTTTTTCACTTACGAACAACGTGAATTTATCATTGCTCAACAAGCAGAGGAACAAGATGAATAAGTCATCTGTAACCTTAAAGACAATTTGTTCCTATTAATTTTCTAAAGGATCTAATTAACAAAATAAACAAGATAATTATGCTTCACAAATAAATAAGAAAAGAAAACAGTCATACTATAGCAAATAATCTATGGTTTGTTGGTAAGAAACCTCATTAACTGTGCATGTCCTGCAATTAAAACAGTGAAATATAAATACCATACCAGTTTGTAATCTGCTAGTTGGCAACATTATAAATAGGATATATTTAGTTAAATGTAAATAATCTTTACAAACAAACGTTTGGTAATTTTTATTTATGTCGCCTCTTTACATACAGATCGATTTATGTTTATGTATATAAATATATTAGGAAAATGCTAAAGACGCTAACCTGGAGATACGAAGAAAGATATTAATACTCATTCTTCTCTATATATTACAAAACAACGGAAACGAAAAAGTATGCAAGAAAATGATATTTATAAACTAATTACACTTTTCCCATCTTCTTGTCTCTTTCTTGCCTCATGTTTAATCGTCTTAACGATTGATGAAGAGGGTAAACTACGTTTTGCAAACCTAAGACAGGTAGAATGTCAGTCCCGAAGGGAATAGGAAAAATCTTAGAAAGGGGGAGGAAGGAGGGGCAATTTCATTGATATCTTCCAAACTTAGAATAAAATAAATAAAGGAAGCCACTTATAGATTGCGTTTCTTCGTTTTCCTCTTCCTTTTCAATTTTTGTTGTATTTATTCTTTACGAATTGAGGTAATTTCCTTTTACCCTCGGTAATTAACATTTCATTTCGATCATATTTTATTATTAGAGTAATTTATAATATTTCTTTATAGAGTGCATTTCATTACTAAAAGGAATTTTTCACTCTAAGCTTATAAAAGACGAAAAATGTATTTTTAGAGGAAATTGCAATTTGTCCACTACATTCTTATTCCCTGAAACATCAATTTGATGAATAATGTCAACTTTATTAATAATATGGTAAATAGTTCATTATTCACTTAACAAAAGGAAAAAAAAATAGTACAATATTAATTTTACTTACTTTCTTTATTTACTTTATTTTTTTTATTCAATAAATATACATTGATATATTTATTTAATCGAAAAAATGAGTTCAACAATTAATAGCTAATAGCATTTTCTTTTTATTCTAACAAATCGAAATCGTCTCTAGTATCATTATAATCCAGAACTTTTGTTTTAATAGATGATGATTTACTCCAAGTTATAAAATCTTCGTGACTTCTTGTTACTAAAAATGCTGGATCTTTCACAATATCTGTTCCTATTCTTACGTGTCCTTGCTCAATGAATGTTACTGCTGCCTTTAATGTTTCTGCCATATGATTTCTTACCATAACAACAGGTAATCTCCTTCGACAAAAGGAAGAAGCGTTTATCTTGTCACATAAACCTAAACTCCTTTTGGTTGGAATCAGACCCATGTGATAAAATTTTTCGAGAATTTGAACTGTACAGTGTGCCCTAAACGGATCATTTTGCTCTAAATCTTTTATTTTTCTAACCAACTCCCTTATTTGACGAGAGAGTTTGTTGTACCTTTAAGAAATTAGCGATAATATAGCATTATTTACAGTTGATGTATTATATCATACTTACATAGTATAATCCTCTCTCCTTTGAACAAAGTATTTCTTCATTATTTTTACTTCATGTAGATTGTTGTCGACCTCCCAGGAGATGAAATCTACTTTTTTAAGCAACTTTTTCTCGTGATATTTTAGTTTCCTCATGCTTGTTTAGGTAAAATAGTCCTTAAATTAACACCAGTTTTCAGATATTTCAAGATGTACGAAAACTTTGGAAAAGCAACATGGCGATCCATCAAATATTATGTATTAATAATAAGAACGACATATTTAGTTATTTATAATCTTTTATTTATATATCCTCTTGTGAACACGCTTGTCACGTCTGCTTGAACTTGATGCTGTAACTGGCAGTTGATGTGGAATCTCCTCTAATCAGCCTATGAGGCAAGTTTGTTCATAACTTATGACTAGCTTAATTAGTTTAATCTTCAAACATTTATAATTGATTATGTGACAATTATATATTCAGACTTCTCGGCACTCTCCACTGCCCTGACTTATGGCATTTCAGTTTTCCTTTAAAATTTTTTAAAAGCCGTTCATCAGTACTTTATGCAGTTGGTGGATTGATTTGTCTATTTATTACTTTCATAGTAATATATGAAACGTCATTTTTGTGGCGAGCGATCAAAAATGCAGATCGAGAGGCCTTGGAATTGAAACCTGCCAAGCGTCTTTCAGTGGCAGTTGCTACAGACTTACAAGATGATAGCTTACACTATGGTATTGTGATCGATTGTGGTAGTTCTGGAAGTCGAGTATATGTCTACTACTGGCCAAGGCATGATCCAAGTTCAGAGGACTTACTACAAATTAAACATGTAATTGACAAAGATCTGAAACCCGTCATAAAAAAAGTTACACCCGGTATTTCATCTTTTGGAGACAAACCAGCGGAAGCAAGTGACCATCTGAAACCTTTACTAAGTTATGCTGCTAGTTATGTTCCACAACATAAACATAAGGAGACTCCATTATATATAATGGCCACAGCTGGCATGAGGATGTTGAATGAAAAGTAAATAGCACTTGTAGCCTATATCGATTCTTTTCACCCACAAATTTTCTGCTTCAGACAACAAGCATCAATTTTGGATGATCTACGAGTTGATGTGCCCCTAGAATTTCAGTTTCTTTTCCATAGTAATCATGTTGAAGTGATAAGTGGAAAGCAGGAAGGAGTTTTCGCTTGGATTGCATTAAATTTCGCTCTCGGTAAACTAGACCATTCAATAGGAGGTTAGTAATTTTTTTCCTTTCTTAGTTCTTTCTACAACTTCATTAACATCTCTTATTGGATATATACTATATAGATGATCCATTAGTAGCTGTTGAATCGTCATCAAAAACGGGCAAATTACATGTTAGGAAAAGAACTGTCGGGGTTTTAGACATGGGGGGCGGATCTCTTCAAGTAGCATTCGAAGTCCCACAATTTATAAAATTTCAAACTAGAGTAAGTTCTTTTATAGACTTTATATATATAGTCTTTCAGACGATATTATAAAATTGTTCAACTAATCTTGTTAAATGTTAGGAGGAACTACCGAAATCTTTGATGGCGGAAATAAATTTAGGTTGTACTACTGGAGATGTAAAGCATACCTATCGGGTATACGTTACGACTTATTTGGGATTTGGAGCTAATGCAGCAAGAAAGACTTATGAGGAAGCAATGTTTCTGAAAAACAAGCATTTATCAACAGTATTTGATCCTTGTTTGCCAGTTTCTATGAAACAGAATATTTCAGGATTATTATTTATTGGATCTGGAAAATATGAAGAATGTTATGAGAATGTAAAAATTTTAATAAACGAAACGGCTCCTTGTCCAAAGGTACATAAATTTTAAATTAAAATTTTTATTAATTTACAGGAAAATATTAAAAGAATCATTTGTTTTCCTTTACAGAAGCCATGTGCCATAAATGGTACTTTTCAACCGAATATTGCATTTAAAAATAGTGAATTCTATGGATTCTCTGAATTTTACTATACGGTATTTTTTGTTTTCTTCAAAGAGATCAAAACATTTACTAATAAACAAATACAGATGGAAGACGTACTACGAATGGGAGGCCGCTATCTTTACAGTTCCTTCTCCAGAACTGCGTCGGTAAGTAAAGGATACGCTTTAACATGAATTCGCAGGTAAACTAAAAAAATGAGCAAAATATTGTATATAGCCAAGCAACGAAAAACAGATTTATCGGTCATCAATAATCTCTTGTCCGTCAGCGAATCCTGCTCAAGAGCTGAGCAGCAAAACACTTTATCCCTTTTCCTAGATATACAGCACTCTTTTCCATCGAAACATTTTAATGTGGAATAATTATTCGAAATTTCATAGTATTCTTCTATTTCAGGATGGGCGTATCTTTTTAACTTTTGAACAAATAACAGTTTACTCCCATTTTTATAGTACGAACAAAAAGCTAAAGAAAGTGAAAAACACTGAAGAAAGGAACAACATTTACTTTATTTACATATTTTTGTACCTTCTTTATAATTGTCTTTAGGTATAGATACACCAAAAATAACTTTCCAATAATGTATCTTTATATCGTTATTGAATAATGACAAGAGAAAAAATAAGAGAATTGCATATAAAATGTATTTTATCTTAAACATATTTTCTTAATCCCGTTCAATATCTATTTCATTATTTGCTATTTCTTTCAAAATCATATTCTACGTAACGTAACGCTCTTTTTTTTCTTGTAGGACTATTGTGGCACAAGCTATGAAGTTCTTTCAGACTTATTTAAAAAGAACCGATATCCGAAAGCCGATGAAAATCGTCTAAAGTATTTATTACAAATCAAATTTATACTTTGTATGTAAAAATTGATTATTACTATTTTTCAATATAGGTTTCAGTGTTTCAAATCGGCGTGGGTGGCTGCCGTTTTGCATAACGGGCTAGGATTCCCAAAAGACTATAAAAGCCTTACGTCTCTTCAGAGTCTTGGCAATCAAGAAATTCATTGGACTCTTGGTGCTCTTTTGTTCAAAACTCGCTTCTATCCTCTAAGGTTGGTGGAAATAAAACTCTTTTTGAAATGTTCTTGTAGACCTAATTTTTGCCTAATCAGGGATAAAGACAGTATCGGAAGCGCGACTAAATTGTCTTCCGTTCGTTCTTGGTTACCGCTAACTACTCACGCACACTATATCATTGCGGGCTGCGTTCTCATTGTGGGCATGTCTATTGTAGTTTATCTAAGGAGTATCGTTCCAAGAAGAGTCGAGAAGAATTTTTCATATGCTTGAATTAGGAAATATATAAATGTTATTTGGAGCTTTTAGGATATTTCATGAAAAATACAACTCTGACATTTCTCCAAACATTCTATATACATTTGATAGTTGATATTTTTGGCTAATTCTTTAAATGAAGACTAGTCGGATAAAAGTTATTTTCAGTGATTGATAATGGAGTAGAAAAAGAATACTTTCTAATTTTGTCGATTTTTGACCTTTCGCTCACCTCCGAAAGGGCAATCAAGATCGTTTCTCTTTTGTTTAACGTTTCTCAAGTTTTGTTTTTCTCTTTACAGCCAGCTGATTTCCTTTTCCTTTATTGTTACTTACTACTATCAAATGATTCATTTCAATAGGTTCTTTATGCTTTAATATAAAAGCTTAATATATACATATATATAATTTATATATACAGTATATATTGTAAAAAATAGCTTTCAGAGTAATACTTTACCAAAAACTCACTTGCTGCAAGAAGTTTTATACATAAAGTAAAAAGAAATATATTTACGTCTAGCTGGAGTCTTTTCTTGCGCAAACGCTTGTCTCAGTTCGAGAGTAGGATTTCTTATCATGCCAATAGATTTTTTTTACCAAATTGCTTTTGACAAGAAGAGATTGTCGAATGATGTCTTGTAATGTTACTGGCGGGGTTTGTAACAGCTATGTAACCAACTACAACTGTAAATGTAACTATATCTTTGTTGAATTAATTCGGTCCAAATGTTCCGTAAGTAAACAACTCAGAAATAGGAAATAAAAAGCGTTCATTTGTGTAATATTTAAATGAAAAAAATGACATATAAAAACCCAACGCGACTACACACTTTATATTTATAAATAAAATCGATATATGTTACAAATAATTAATTTACCTATCACGCGAACTGTGTTCACGCACAAAGAAAAATACACTCAACTTATCACAGCGAAAATGTCATTAAATGAAACCAAGGGTAGACATAAATCGAAACCAACGTGCTTCGTAGTTTACTTAATCACAAGTAAATAAATATGCCTATCTTCGTTACGGAAGAAAAATAAATGATTGAACAAACGAGCAAAGAATTAGATAAAAAATACTTTATAGCATTAGTGCTTACCGATTTTTTCTTCGTATCATAATGTCTACCCTTTAGAAAATTATACGCTCTAAATTGAGATCAGTTTTTTTTTACGTCAACTACATCACACAAGTTTGTTCTGAGGTCAGCGGGGTTGTTGCACGTAGGTATATGTTCGATTTGGCGAATTTGAGTTGTTTGTTGTTTCGTCGCTGTCGTCCGCGTTGAGAAAATCCCAGATTAAAATTGAGTCATCGTGAGAAGACGATACGATTTGAAATTCATCAAATTGTAATCTAAATACTCTTCCAGTATGCTCCTAGAAGTATGACATTTTGAAAGGTTGAATAAGAAATGAAAGAATGGTCTTTACCACAAGAGTCCTTAAGCATAACGTAGCCGGTGGTTGTCTAGGATCCAGGGCGCTTTCCAGATCCCAAACTTTGATCTTGCCATCGTATGCTCCGCTTACTATGCGTTTTGAGTCGAATCTTATACATCTTACCAATTCTTCATGTCCTTCTAAAACTCTTAGGCAAGCTCCGCATTCGATATCCCATAATCTGATTGGAAAAAGACAAAATCATGAGTTTAGTACAAAGAAAAAAGTGCAATATCATTTCCAAGAAACTACCTTATTGTATTGTCTGAGCTACCGCTTACAACCAATCGATCGTGGTACTGCAAACAAGCTATACCTCGCTTGTGCCCATTTAGCGTTCTGACGAATTCACAGGTTGATGTATTCCAAACTTTGATAGTTCTATCCCCTGATGCAGAAACAATATACTTCTGGTCGAAATCGACTACATTCACCGCAGCCCTATGACCTACCAGGACACGCCTCAAATTTATTTCTCTAGGTGATTGCATATCCCATACAGCGATCGACCGATCCTGTTTCAAAGACAAAAATTAGATACGGTTGTCGGATGAAAGACTGAAAGCAAATGTTAAAAAACATTGGAAAGCTTTCTTTTCTGACAGAATATCACAATTTCCTTAAGGAAAAGGTGACTGTGAGTAACAAACTTAAATAATTTTAGACAACTTAAATGTAAGGATGAATAACTCACTTTCGAACACGTAACCATAATACCATCGCTAAACCTTAAATGCAAGACTGCTTCGCAATGATGAATTAGTGTATTGAGCATTTCGCCAGTGTTGACGTCCCAAACTCTGTTTTTTTTATTAAGAATATACCGTAAACATTTGCGTAAATTCTGAGTGTTTTTTTTTGTTTACCTGACTGTTGAGTCGCTTGATCCAGAAATGATTATTTTTTCATCATACTGTAAACATAAAACTGAGCCAGTATGACCTGTGAGAACTTGGACACAATTTAAAGACTTTCTATCCCATATCTATTAAATTAACAAATAAAGAAAATTTTCTTTGTTAGAGTTTGAATTTTTCCACTCTCGTTAAATTTATTACCTTGATAGTATTGTCTCGTAAACCACTTATAATTTTATTATCATCGTATTGTAGACAATAGACACCCTTACTTGTTTCACTCCTACATTGAATTTTCTGCAGAGAATGTCGACCGGTACGCCAGTTTGTTTCAATTTGCTACAACAATACAAAATTAAAGAAAATAGCCAAAATACGATGTCAATTCACTTACATTAATATCCTTTATTATCTTGGGATAAAGGTCCCTATAATAGGAATGTGGTTTGACGTCTTCAGGTCGTTTTGGGCGAAAAAGATGATTACCCCATGGTCGTCGATCACTCAGTCCCTTCCATAATGAGTCTGTTCTTACTTTGTGCTCCAGCAACTTTTTCCACAGCATTCCTTCTTCTATCACCCGCTTCCATTCTTTACATACTTGTTCTGCTGCTCGCAGTGATGTAGCGTCTAAATATGTGAGAATCGTTTCCGCAATGTGTTCTAGGCCTTTAGCTGAAAAAAAAAATCATAACCATACTTCCTAATCAAATGAAAAACAGTGTTCATTGGAGCATAAAAGAAATTGAAGGAATCGATAGGATGATTTGTAGAAGATAGATTGAAAAGGGTAAACCAGAAGAATATTAATAACCAAACCTGGTAATGCTGAAATAAAGTCTCTTTGTAACATAGGTTTAAGAAATAAATTGACTTGTCCGTGTTGATAATGGCACATTCTAGCTAGCAGTGTTTGGAGGAAGTCGATTTGTTCCACTTCGCTCCATTTATCGAAATACTTTATGCTTGTTCCCCTTTCCTCCAAATACAATTTGGATAATTCTTCTGAAGGGGTTTTGTAGGACGATTTATATGACCCTGTCGTGTAATCCGATCGATCCTGAAATTCCAAGACGTTTTTATAAAATAAATTACTACGTAAAAGTGATCGCACTAATGATAAATCAAATATAAATTTGCTCGACTATTCCAAAATGCTAGTCATTGTATATTCAAAAGTAAAAGTATGCGATGAAATGAATGAACTACGTTGTTTCTATGCATATCCTAGCTACCTGGTCCATATCTTCGCTTATAGGTGACATTACGCTGGTATCCATATAAGTATCGTTTGAGGTCATTGTTTTCTGAGTCATATAAGGCTAAAAAGTTGATATTTTGTTTCCTTATTTCCAATAAAATTCGAAAAAATTTGCGAGTTCTTGTTAAGAATCGACAGATCGTGACGTCAGAAGCGCAAGATCGGCCACTTCCGGGTAGAAGCTATAGAGTTTCGGAAAATGTTTTAAAAAACCATCAGATTATAAAATTCGAATAGGAAATAAAACAAAATAAATTATTTTAATAGATTTTTTTTGAAATAATTACAAGTTTACGAAAAATATAATCCTTTCTTCACCATAATAGCTAAGCAGTTAATGTCGTCTGCTACAACGAATAACGTGAGGAAAATTCGTTTATTAATATTGTTTTAAAATAAGACTTGTGGTTCAAAGAATATTTTTTTTAGAAACATTATGTCTTCTGGAAGACGTCCTGAGCATCAGGCTCCACCTGAGGTGTTCTATAATGATGACGAAGCGCGAAAGTATACGAAAAATACACGTATTATGGAAATTCAGGAACAGCTCTCCTATAGGGCTATGGAATTATTGAGACTGCCTGAAGATGATCCATGCTATATTTTAGACGTTGGATGCGGATCTGGTTTAAGTGGGGAATGCTTGAGTGAAAATGGCCATTTTTGGGTTGGTGTTGATATAAGCAAGAGCATGCTTGATGTTGCTGGTGAAAGGGAAGTCGAAGGAGATTTAATTTTGAATGACATTGGACAAGGCTTGCCTTTTAAACCAGCTTCTTTTGACGGTGTGATTAGTATATCCGCAATACAGTGGCTCTGTAATGCTGATAAAAGCCATCATAATCCAGCTAGGCGATTACTGAAATTTTTCTCTACCTTATATGCATGTTTAAGAAGAGGTGGTCGAGTTGCCATGCAATTTTATCCAGAAAACAGCGAGCAAATTCAACTAGTTACCACTCAAGCAATGAAAGCAGGTTTTACCGGTGGTTTAGTCGTTGATTATCCAAATTCTTCTAAAGCGAAAAAAATGTTCCTCTGTTTATTTGCTGGAGGTGCTCAACAAGAATTACCAAAAGGACTTGGAACTGAAGAAAGTTCTGAAGCATCTGCAGCATTTGTAGCAGGAAGAGAAAGAACTAAAAAGCTACGTAACCAGAAGGTATTGAAGAAAAGTAAGGATTGGATAATTGCGAAGAAAGAGAGAAGACGTCGGCAAGGTAAAGAAGTTAGACCTGATTCAAAGTATACAGGACGAAAGAGAAAACCTAGGTTTTGATATGCTTGAATTTATTTATTGTGTAAACAATATAAATCGCTAAGCTTCTGATTTGTATATTATACGTATGTTATAAAAAAAATTGTATTTTCACTTGTTTAATTGTTGTAAATTCTCATAGAAAAATATTGATTTTTGAAAATAATCGAACTACTAAGTTATAACGTATCCTTTGAATAAGCACGGTCCATCCACCCCTTCTGTCAAAGATGGCCAGATTAAACTTTTGATGGAATTGCTATTTTCATCTGAGCTGTGGTAACGCCTCAATAGTCGTGGATTTAAGGTATCCACTTCATGTTTGAGGATAAATCTTGGTTTTTGTAGAACGAACGCCCAACAAAGCTGAACGCATTCCGCAACATAACCAACCAACGCCTGTGATGAGTGCAAACCAGGAAATTCATGTAGAGCCTGGCATATTTGATTGTGTACTTGCTGTTTTTGGTTTTAGTTGAAGACAAAACAAAAGAAAAGAATTAAAAATATTGTTAATATAATTTTTAAGTAGGATTTGAAAAGGATTTACTTGGATATTTTGAGAATTATCGTACTGAGGGATAGTTCGTCTGAGGTAATGAGATATAGCGTCGTCTAACGAAGCAGCTTCAATACTTTGGCCTTGTTTATCTTTCATGTATAATAAACTTCTCCATTTGTTCTGCAAGTCTTGTAAAGAATCTTCTGCGCTCCTCTGGGCTAGCTGTTCGTAATCAACAAAAATAAGTAAAATTTAAAGAATATGCAACGCCCTCTATATAATCTTCAAAATGTATCACTACTACTCGATAATATAAGACACTTACCACTAATACTGATAATAATATTTTGTTTCTTAACTCTGATAAGTTTTCTAATTCCCTTATCTTTTTTAGACTTTCCATTGTCTCAAATCTTACAGTTGAAAATAGATTTTCATAACGTTCAACTAAGCGTGAAGGTCTATATTCCATAAGAGAAATATCTTCAAATTTAGAATTTCCACCAAATTTTACGTTCCGGCTGGCTTGATCTCGCAATCTATAGGGACATGAAGAATAAATAAGTAACATATATATTAATACTCATAAATAATGTATATTGTGTATAATTTATGGGTAAAATAGCATATTTGTATTAAATATATAAATCAATCATCTTAGTTAATTTAAAGTAAAAAATCAATTAATTTACCGAATTTTCAAGTCATTTTCTCTTTTCGTTAATTCCGTGATAACCCGTTTTTGTTCTGAGACTTCTTTTCTAAGATTTTGAATTTCGTAACGTAATCTTTCCAACTCCTCTCTCTCGCTTACTGAAACAGTTGTAGGTCTGGGATTTCCAACTGTGAGTTTTATAAAATACAGAGGATGAAAAAAATTGGTACATTATATGATAGACTAATAATAATCAATAATCAATAAATCATATAAAATAAGGATAAAAATATAAGAAAAAGACTGACATTCGGAAACTACTCTCTTCCGTCCATCATTCTCTTCGCGGGGAGAAGCTGTTAAGAGCAAACAATGAATAAATTCTTATTTATTGAAAAAAAATTTATTATATAAACACCAAGCCGAAGATCATTACGAATCACACGTGTTTCGCTGCTCTTTTGCCGTTTTAATAGTTTCATGAAAAGCATATCTTGCAAAAAATCTTGTTCTGACTACTCCTCACTGCTCCTGCGACTAACAAGAAGACCGTACAACAAACTACCCCTGAAATGCTATAGGCTGATAAATTTAGCACACGCAATGTAGGAATTGCCGGTTCCGCTATGGCTACTATGTGTTGCAATTTATCAAGTTACCCGAACAAAAATATGATCTAAATTGATAAAATTGATGAAAACTTACAGGAAAACGAGAAAAATCTCATAATACAGGTATTTGGTACACGCACATACAATGCACAACCGTTTTAACTAAAAATGAGTCATACAGGACGGGATAAGCTGGTTCCCTAAACACTGATAACATTTCGAACTAGGCCTAGTTCTTTTTTACTTTGTTTTGTTTATTTTACTCTTTTATTGTATACTTACTTTGGGCTATTTCGTCAACGGCTTGTCTTTGTTCTTGAAATGCATCGTATTTTATACCGATCCATTCCATTACAGACGTTAAGCTATTTGACAGATGGTTCAAAATTACTTGCATTTCCAATCCATCTAAAACGTACTTGCTAAAGAGAAAGTCTTTTTTAAGATTATTGAAAGATAATAGTACTTTTTTTAAGAGTGAAACTGTCTTTTTAGAATTTTCAAAGTACAAATGGATTTTTTGAAATTCGTCTAACTCTCCAAGTGAATGTAAGAGAATTGATTCATCAAAGAGCCTCTGCTCTAATTCATCGTACGAGAAACCATTTTGAGAATTTTTATGATTTCTTAGAGATTCTTTCGTCTTGTCGATTTTTGCTACATGGGCCTTGCAAACTTTTGCTATTTCGCACAAATCATCTCGAAAGTTATTCTTACAAAATGTATTGTTTAATTTGACGATTTTCGCCAATTCATCCAGTACAAATGTTATCTCTCTCAACTTATCTCGACAGTAATGGTAAATTCTATGTCGTAATTGATAAGGCATCGTTTTCAAAAGTTGTTCACAAGATTTGACAAGCTCCTCCATTTGATTTGTTTTCTTAAGATTTCTCGTATTTATACAAGCTTGCATATGCCATTGAATTATACCAATAACTACCATATCCACATTTAATATTTCCTGAACTTCATCGAAACGAAGAAATATTGCTTCAACGATACAATGAGTATTTGAAAATTTCTTCAACAGCAATTCTACGTCTTTACACACTGATCGCAGACTTTCTCGATTCATAACTTGAACAATTTTGGTACATTCCAAATAGTTTTCATTATCTAATTCTTTTTTGAACTTTTCAATCCATAATTGGCATTCTAGTCCATCTACCTGATATTTGTTAGCCATGGCGGCTTGTTATATGATAAAAATTTTACGATGATTTACGACTTAATCAGGTCAAATAATTTTCTCATTCCTCAATCTAGAAACTCATAAAAATTATTTAATCACTTTACTTTTTTCCTTGAAATTATCTTCTTGAAGGCATTGTTTTACTAGAATTCATTTTCAAACTCTAAACTATACGCGATAAAAGGAAGAATTCCTAGACAATAAAACAGAATGTAATCCCAAAAAATAAAACAGTATCCATAGAAAGCGGGTCTCTAATTTTTCAAATTAATATATATAACTTTGTTGCCATCATATTTTGCTTTAGCAGCTGTTGTTGTTGACGAAAACATATTTGTTATGTTTTTTTTAACCATTCCAATATTTATTATTTTGTACTAAATTGCTATCGATTTGTCTTTTTATAAATTACTTCGATATCTATACACCAGATGTCTACACATACACTCTTCCAACCAGCAGATTTGTTAATTTATTCGAATGACGTCATTCGTCATGTGACCTGTTTCCAGCTGTGGTGTAAACAGGCCAACAACCGTTTTAAAGAAAAATACAAAATTCACGAAAATCGGCAATTGTCATCTACTGATTTTACAACAAGCTCATTAACTGAATCTTTCTCTATAAGTTAATGTTAATTCAGTAAGTATAATATAATTTCTAAGGGAGATATTGAGGATTTTATTCCAGCCACACTGCCGCACTAACTCCTTGCAATATATTGTTTCTTAACGTAATCTCTGAATATTTCTTTATACCTTCCATCAGAAAATTAAGATTTAAAGTTATAATGAATTAAATTTTCCGACATTGCCAAATGTATGCGGATTATAATCGATAGGTTCTACAGTTCTTTGTTGATTCTTCGGTGCTTGACCTCAGATGTCCTAGTCCTACATTCATTTCTAATGCAATCTTTTTCGATGCAAAGTGAACTAACTGTTCACAGGATTTCATGACAAGAATCCTTTGCTATATTGTAATCTTTAAGTTGCACATTGACGCTAAATTTAGGATGTAAACAAATTTTGTTTTCCTATTATAAACATATTCTCAAAAATACTTTCAGTACGCCGTTCCAAATGTAAAAGAGTAATGACGAAAGATGCTCTTCTGAAAAGTGCTAGATTAAAGAATGATCGGCCGGTAAGTTTCTCTGTTTTGTTTAGCGTTGCGCTGTTTTGTGTTTTTTTCATATGAATAAATTAGCATTCATATAGTTCTGAGTAAAAACAATGACGTCACAATTATATGCTTGTTTACAGAATCTTGCATTGCGTTTGGCACAATTCCAACGCGGGAAAATAGTCATGTGATTAGATCACGTGGTATATTTTATTGGCGGGTCGCCGACCGCGTTGTAGACTTTTATCGACTGTGGTTTTGCTGATCAGTAGGCAGTAGAATTTGACTGAGAGTGGTTGATTGATCAGAAATTGTAACGTTGGTCATTTGTTTTTTTTATACTTTTATTCAAAATACGATAATTGTTGAAACAATAAACTGAAAAACAATCGTTGAAGAATAATTAGGATAGGTGGATATTAATCTGAAAGCGGAAGATTTTTCAAGAAAGACTATGATAGCTGGCGTGACATGAAATTACTAAATCAAGATGAGTGCGATTCATCAATCCTTTGTGCCTTATTCAAGTCCGTCGTTTTATTGCGAAACGAATATGCAATGTTCTCAAATCGAACAAATCCTTGTAGGAAGACCACATTTCTATGGAAAGGTGAAATTTTTTTTTATGTTTATTAAAAAAAAAATTAGTCAGCCTACGAAATGTAAACAGTGTAGGGAGTTCACTTAGCAAAACGTAGAGATAAGAAGGCCTATTGTCTTATTGATTAAAATAGATTAGTATTTTTTTATAGTTAACACAGAGCTTACAAGACCTCGTTACGGGACGAGCTTGGATAAATAACATTTGCAATATAATGAAAGGCCAAGATATAGAACTATCTAAATTCTGATTTCGTAACATAAGAAAGCAAACCTTAAAAATCTAGCTACTGTAATTAAAGATAAAAAAACGGCCAAGGCCTAGAAAAAAAATATCGATCTTTTTTATTTGAGAGAAAAAGTAAATGAATCAACTTTAAAAAAAAATACTCTTTTGAGAACGAAAATAAAAGAACGTTTCATTTCTTTACAATATTTAGTTTTTTCTTCTTCCCAGAATATATTTGTCGCAGATAGTATAAAAAAAAGCCATTAAAATGAATAAGACTTTTACTTAGTAAAAAAAATATCGTGACAAAATATTCTAGAAATAAGTATACTGTACATATGTATATAAGATTTATATAAACAGTATTACGTACGCGATGGTCACGTGATGTTTTCATAATAACACAGAAAGCTTACGAGCATTTTTTTTTAAAACAATAAATATATCAAGAAAGCCTTGTAGTTTTGTAGTAAAACCCTTAAATTAATCTTCTAGCCACAGTCGAGTCTAGGGTCGACGGCCGGGCGTTTCTGTATGACGTCAGCTGTTTTTATCCGAAAGGTCATTGCCATTTCAGGCCTATGATGAATCGATGTCATTGAACTGTTCGTTTGTTTTTCGTCATGCAGTATTTATTTACTCTTTGTTTACACCATACTTGTATTAATCCCCTTATGAACATATTTTCCAAATTCAATATTCTCTTTCGAATAGTTTCAAAAGAATCGTTTGTAGTATTAAAATATGAAAATGGAGATTACTCCTATTTTACTAATAGTCAGAGACTATTATGATATATAACAATATCTGCTTTAAATTGATTATAGACTATCAAGTAATCAATTGCAATCGTGTTCTTAAATTCTTCTAGAACTGTCAAATATCTCTTTTCATAAGATAGTCTAGTTAATTGTAATTTTTTTTATTTATTTTGATTATAGCCAACAACCACTCAGCAATCTAATATGCCGGGAGATTATTGCGATTCACCCACGGCAAACTTTTTTGAATCGGACAGTAAAAACGTTGCGAGTCCCGATGCTGTTTTCGACTTCGATTGTCGAATAGATACAGTTGACTCAGATTTAATTGACGTTTCTCCGAGTTTGAATGAGTTATTGCAAGTGGATGAAGTGTTGGCGGCCGATCAAAGGGATGGTACGAACTACCTGGAAGAGTTCGACAGTATAATAAGTAAAATGGATGATTCTCAAAAGACAAATTCTTCACCAGAGAATTCTTCCAGTGAACCACAATCGTCTCTAATGCAACTTTTGCAAGCTTCACTACCCGATAATAATTTGCCTCCACCGGTTCAAGTACCGCAAGCGGAGGCCTCACCGCCTCCTGTTTTATTGGATCAACCACCAGTAAATATTAAACAGGAAATTCCAGGTTAGCATAAATAACAATATATCATGACTTGGATTGAAGATTATCTCTTAATCTTGTTTTATGACAGACGATGAAGGGTTTAGCAGCGCTATCGATACCGATAACGACGAGGATGAGGATGATATAAACTTTTCGGATACTGCGTCATTAGACGAACTGATAGAGGATTGTAAACCTGGTAAGAGAAAAAAGTACTTTTGGCAGTACAACACTCAATCCAAGGGACCCAAGGGTAAACGCCTCTGTAAGTTGGTGGAGGAAAACGATCCACATCTAGTGCAAGAGTTTGAAGATCCTGTTTTTGATCCCTCAACTCAAAACAGCAAACTAAAGCATCAGGGGAAGATTAGGAGAGGAGACGGGAATGACGTCACACCTAATCCTAAAAAACTATGCGCCATCGGTCTAGAACTGAGAAGGTTAAATAGGAAAATTTCAGACATGGCACCTATTGCTGACCTTCCAGCAAATGTTCGTACTAAAAATAGGAAGATGAAGAATAAGTTGGCGTCCAGGTAATAAATATTAACAAAAGAAAGAAAAGGATATTAATTATGCTCTAATCCAATATTTACCAGGGCTTGCCGTTTAAAGAAGAAAGCTCAACATGAAGCAAACAAAGTGAAATTATACGGCTTAAATGCAGAGCATAAGCAGTTGATGAGAGTCTTAAATGGTATAAAGTACGAGATCATACAGAAACTGCAAAAAAGTGAGAAGGCAAGTAAAGACAAAATTAATTTAACGGAAAAATTGGATTCGTTAATGAGATTGCATTTACGTAAGTAGATTTAAAATAAGATTGCCAAACAGTTTTTATGCTTCTATCTTTATTTAAAATTAAATAGGTTCTAAAATTGCTGGCAATACATCAGATTTCGTTAACTCTATTATATCCAAAGTGCATAAGTCGGAAGGCAGCCTTGGCCTAGACTAAAAAAGACAATACTTCTATAAAACAGTAAAAGAAGAAAACATTAAGAGAAGGAAATTTTTCTTTTGTAAATAATTGTTGTGGTGATTTCAATTTTATTCATCTTGATATTTTGTTTGTTTTCTTTTTTTTTATATGTTTATGTTCTCTTTCTTATATGTATAGCAGTTAGAGAGACAAACTTATTTAATATCGTCACATTAGCCCTAAATGAAAACTCACACGTGAACCAGTGCCATACTGTGTACAGGAGTAGATCGTAGCAGTTTATTTTTTTTTTAAAAGAAAATAACGAAAGTATTTTTTTATTCTCTTTCTCTAAGCTAGCTCTTTGCAGAAGAAAGATTTTGTATAGGCCTATACGCTGCAGAGTCGTATTTTGTTGGTTGATTGTAATCGTTGAGATGAAGTACTGCAGAAGCGTACCAGAAGGTTGGTACGTAAGTATGAATGTGAGTGGATGAGAAAAAAAGAGAAGACAATAAGTGCACCCCTTATCCCAATTATACCTTTATTTCTATATCTATATGTTATATACATATTTTATATATATGCATTATATATATTTATGTATATAAGTATACATATATATATATATAAAATATATATATATATCATATATGTATATGTACTGTATAGAATTATATGTATACTTGTATATATATCCATATGTAATGTTGGCGAAAGCTAAATTTCGCACCAGACAGGCATTTAAAGTCTGTACATAGAAGAATATTGGTGTTTTATTATATCTTACCCATTTATTTATCCAAACGCTGCCATCCAATAGTCGTGGCGGTCCGACAGCACTGTCACTTGAATTCCAATTGTACAGAATGTTAGAGGTGGAACATCATTAACTGTGCGTGAGTGAATTCAAAACAAAAAAATGTTAAAAAAAACGTGTTATTAATGTTGCTTCTTCATCAAATTTGGCTGTTCAGCGTTTATTTCCACATAAATAGGCCTAGACTTCGCCTGTGATAATTTTTTTGCGAGCTTTTGATTTATACATTCGTTGAATTAATATTAATTTGGTTTCTTTTAAAAAATGATAAATTTTTTTCCCCTTTATTTGCAACTCTTCCCATCCTCATTTCCATTAACCATTATCACTCTTTTGAAGCTTTTTTTCCCCTCTTTTTTCAAATGTTTTGTTTGGAAGACGTTGTTGAACATAAACTCTGAAGGTGGGAAACGTTCGTTTATTTATCACCCTTTTACTAAGTTCTGCAGAGAAAATGGTGAAAGGTTACTAGTGTGATGATATATAAGGCTGAAGATAGACGATCGTCTCCGCGCGAGATAACCGCGTTCTTTCATATCGATACAACGTCTCGCTTCCGATTGTTAGTGTTCCTTGTGAGGATGAGCATGCAAAACTTTTGAAGAGTCGTGTTGTAAAAAAATGAACTGCATATATACATTTATATACACGTATGCTGTATACAATATCTAAATATACCTTCATGTTAATATACATATATAGATACATATATAGATCTAAGTAAATATACATAGTATAATAACTTGTAAAAGTTTATGCTCATATATATAAGAATGTATATATATATGTATATATACATGTATATGTATCTGTATTCGTATATGTATTGTATGTATTTATAATATCTAGTATATATATATATATATATATATATATATATATATAATTATAAATATCCACATATATGACTATTTACCGTACATGTTATATGTGATTTAACTTGTTGCTGAGTACAAATAAACTAAACACGCATTATCTGAAAAATATGCCTTATTTATCTTCATCAAACAATTAAAATATATATACTGTATATATATATATATATATATATAATTTGAAAAAATATGACTAATTATGCTTAAGGAATTCGTTGAAAAAAGAACCCCTGGATCAGAGAAAAAAGTAGAAATATGAGGTAAACTACATTGAGAGACGATAATAATATCAATATACAGTATTACAGTATTGTATATATTTATTTACACATACTGTATAGAGCTTTACAATAATAAAGGGAGGGTGAGAAAATTTATAATCATAACCTACTGTGTAGAATAGAAAGAGGGGGATTTCTTATTTGTCTTAAGGAGTTTGAAAATATTTAGCTTAGCTCTGTTTGTTTGTACATTAGCCTTCAAATTATTTCAAAGTGTGATAATCACCAGATAAATCCCAATGGTCGTATGGTAGGCATAAATCAGGTTTTATTTATATCTTTTGAATGATGAAGTACTACACTTTTTTTGCCTAAATTAGATAAAATATTGTAAGATAATTTGTTTGATTAACATGTTTTTTACTTTAGTTTTGTTATTGGCTCTATAAATAACTTGGAGTAATAACAAAAACTCTTATTCATCGAGATATATGTAGATGTTCTCTATTTCTATTTAAAGTAAATAGGTAAAGCTTACAGAGAAAACAACACAACTTAAGGAAATAAACTTGTTCAAGGCCATTTTTTCTTAATACAAGCCATGAAACAGGAAAGACAAAGATAATAATAACTTTAAAAAAAAACAATTCTTTGTTGGATTCTTCTACAAATAAAAACATTCCAAAAATTCTTCTACCGTTTGATCACGTGATCTTTTGATGATTCGTTAGGTACAAAGAGAGAGGGCATGAAAAGATTAAGAGAAAAATAGAGAACGAGGAGGGGGGGAAATGGGGAGAGAGAATGAATGGCAAGAAAGTAGAGTATATGAATCACCTTACTATTACAGGCAAATATTTCTAGGTTTAGTGTGCTATACATTTATTGATATTCTAATAGTTGCTTTTATAAACTAATAGAATTAAATTTCACTTTGCAGAGATTGTTTATTAATTAGTAAGAGAAAGAGATAGATAAGAAGATCTTTAAATTAAGTGATTATGTGATAAGCATATGTACACTTTAATATAGACCTGATTTCTTGAAATTTTATTCCTTATCGGCATTGTATGCAATATATAGTATATATAGCATAAATGAATAGCTTTTAATATATTTTGCAATTATCTTAGCTTTAGTTATCAAGATAAAAACTATGGAAACTAGCCTAAAATACATTAGTATACTTGGCATCTTGTCAATTCTCCAGAATTTCTATGTGTTGACAAAACCTAATAAATAATAAGAAAGAAAAATTAATAATTCAATAAATGTTACAGAAACATCTGTTAAAACACCAAGATTTTTAATATGTTAACACTTGAAAGTTTTTTTACATTCTCTTTAAATGAGAAATTTAATTAATAATTTCATTTATTTCAATGGGAAAAATGCATTTCATTCTACGAAATGCTAACTAGGTAGAACGTGTGTGAGTGTGTGAGTGTGTGAGAGAGAAAGGGGAGGATAAAGAAGAAATAATATACAAGGAAATTTATAGATCTAATATGTTAATTAGTATCAAATTGGACAAAAGATATTATAATTTCTCTCTTTTCATATCAGTTCTTGTCATCGAATAGAACATCAGCCCTTACAATATATTCTGTTATTTCTAATAAAATATATTATCTTTAGAACACTATACTATAGGTCATTAAACTAAAAACCTAAAAGGGACAGTATATTGCTACAATTAATGTGTCTGATGACCTATATCGCTAACTACAGCTTGTATTAATATATAGTAAGGCTATCCAGCATATGTTTAGAATATACCCGTATTTCGGTCAATGAACTTTTGAAACTCTCCTCTTTTCTAAATATATATTTTTTACGGATTTTCAATTATTTAATATAAAAAGAAAATAAAATGAATATAGCAAATACCAATACTGCTTCTATAAAGCTATTATTTTGCTATTTAGCTTATTATAATATCTATTGGGATATGACTTCTTTTTTCTAAAATAGACAAATCATGTTGGCTTTTTTGTTACGCTAATCGAGAGATCATTGCCTTATTTTGGCCTATACATTGGTATATAAATATACTACCATTTTATATTTATATACAGTTCAGTACTTTCATCGATTTATTTCGTATTGGAACCAGGTGCCCTATTTAATTTTGTCCTCTATTTAAAGAGAGCAAGAAAGTTCACTTATAGTATATTTACATACGGTATACATAATATGTCACATAAAATATTAGATAACATTTATATCTAGCTAAATTTAAACCATATTGGATTCCTTTCATTCACAAAGTATAGCAGAAAATTACAAAGTAAATGTAAAAAAGAAGGTATAATCAATAAAGGGAAAAAATTGCTATAAAGTACATGTCAACAAGTTGGGTCCATCCAGGGAACAAAGAGAAACGAATTAAAAAGTCAACTATCAAGGGTACAAAAAGGGAGAGAGAGCTACATCTTGATTCCTTTTTTATGTATCTTTTTTTTTATATTGAAAGCCGCACTTGATGCGTTTCTTTTCCTTTCAATAAATATAATTTACGGAATATGTTGTATTTTCTTTTAAGGAAGGCCTAGTTGTGTAATTAAGATGAAGAAATGTATATATGGTATACATTTACTAAGCGAAGAAGTATAGTTTGCCGAGTAAATCTTTTTTTAACATCTTCGTTTATCTAACGAACATAATTAGATATACTATATACAAGATTAACTCTGAATCAACAGTTAATACGTTATCTTATCAAAAAGGGAGAAACTATAATGAAATAATCTTATGCATTTAATCGCACAAAAAAAGTGTTTGTGATTTATAACAGCAGTATGAGGGTTAAAAGTGGTTTAAATAGTAGATTTCTCTCTTTTCTCTCTTTTCTCTCTCTCTCTCTCTCTCTCTATCTCTCTCCCCACCTCTGCTTCATATATAGAAACTCAGACACGCACGCACTCTTTTAGTATTCAATTGATTTATTAAATTAGCATTTTAACAAGCAATAGCTCAAATGCAAAAAGAAAAGGAAAACCTGCATATGACTGTCGTCAGAAGACCATGACACGTTAACTAATAAACGTGGGGCGTCGGAAGTACGCTTAGATAGGCGTCATTCTAAACCCCTATACAGTTATAAATTCAGGTATTTTTCTAACGAGAAAATTCGTATATAATGGGCTAATAAAGTTTCAGTAAAATGGATTTCTATTGAAGTTATTAGCTTTCAGACAGTTCCTCTAGGGAACCTTATCCTATCTTAAATGTTTCAAATATTAAGCCTACTATTTCCTGTCTCTCTATGACACCACAGAGACGTTTGACATTGACATTTTACTTAAAACAGTTATGAGGCGGAAGAGGAAAGGGATTAGTATACCTTACATTTAACACTGTTTCTGACACTTTAATCAATACTATAAAAAATGTCTTCCCTCTACGATGATTCAATTTTGTTAAAAAGTCGGTCAGAGAATAAATAAAAAACTCTTCCTTCCGCCTTCATAGACTTAAAATTGAATGATTACTATAAGAGGTAGAGGATAGAACAATCAAATGTCTTATTTCCTTATTGACATTCATCTCAACGGTTCCTCTCTTATCTTTTATTTATATATGTCATTATTGTCATCTGTTTTGTTGAATATCTCTTTTGAATTCCTTGTGCCAGTTTTAAATAAAGCTAATAGCATTCCATTTAAATATTGAGAAGAAGGTTTGTTACATTAATTATATTTGATTGAGCAATTTTATTATTAATTTATGATTTATTAGCGTTTGCTTTTAAGTCGTCCATATTAGAGATTTTTATGGATAGAAGATCTTTTCTTAATTGCTCAACTTCATTTCGAATGTTCTCCTTAACAGAATTTCCTAATTTTTTTATCATTCTATCTTCAAAATTCTTTAGTATCTTGTTAAACTCTTCTTCCTTTTTAAACAATGGGGGCATATCAGAAAAATCCTTTTCTAACTTTTCTACCCTTGTTGCGAGGTTATTAACCCTGTTTTATAGAGGATTAAAACAAACATCATAGTCATAACTATAAGGAAGTAAGTAGGCTATACTAACGTTGTATTACTGGCTATTTGTAAAATACTCTGGCAAGTATCCCTCATGGCGGGATTCTTTGATAATTCTTCAACATCATTCTTCCTCTCCTTAGCGATAGTAGGATGTCTGTGTTTATTATTCAAGAGCTCTTGAAAAAAATTGATGTATACTTAAAAGATACATACGTATTGACCAATTGTAGTAAGTAGTAAACTATACCACTTAGGTAGATATTTGGACTGGTTTGCAGAAACTCAATGATATAGCCTGCGTATAGTCTGGCTCTATTCTAAAAGACAATCAAATTATACTGTATAGTTTTCCTCTTCTCTTTGTCAAACAATCATATAGATATTTGCCTACCAACTACGTATTTATACACATACTCTCTTTCTCTCTCTTTCTCTCTTGACACTCTCTAATCTCCTATCATATCTTTGCCTTTAGCTAGTTTTACTATATTTATGTTTTTTCATTTTAATATACCTGATCAACTTCGCAGCCAATCATGCCAAAAATCATGCTGTACTGACAAGCGCTATTAATATCGCTGTCTGCCAGTAACTTTAAATCTTCAGCAAAAGAGTCGAGTATTTTGTATTGTACATTGCAAACAGAATAAAATATACATCCTATTAAAGAACTAGTCATATTAGGACATTGAGAATTTTTTCCAAGTGTCGTTAGTGACTTTATGTGCTTTTCTGTTAAGATCTACAGTGGGAAAATGGTCTATTTATTTAATAAATGACCCAATAAAATGTTATCTATACTATCGTACCTTTCCATCACAAGATACAAGAGATCTTATACAACCTAGAAGTGTAAAGAGTAAACCAGATTCAAGGCTTGAAGAATCTGTGGCACTGTTTGGTAGATTATCCAAAATCTTAAAGAAATCGTTAAATCTCCTTATGAAATAATTTTTATGCTTCCTTAATAAATTCTCAAAATCAGCAACTATAAAAATATTATAATAAAATAACAATAATTAATATATATTTTAAATATTCATATTTCAGTTGTAATTAATTATACAAACTAATGTAGTAATTTTCCACTGGTTTCGCGAAGAATTTGTCGAAATCTCCTATTTATTAATCATTTAATTACTGATAATATAATACACATACTACCATAATATATCTTTATATATATATATATATATATATATATATATATAACATACTTTATCAAGAGGAAGAAATTACCATCCTTACATAAAAACTCTTTACAAAAAAACAATGGGCTTACTCTCAGAGGCTGACATTTTCTTATTTGCAACAAGCCTTTTTACTTTCTTTTTACTTTTTTTAATTTAGATTTTCCTACTGCATCTACCTTTCCCAATTTTATAGGTTTTCTTCAATTTATTTTGACAACCGTAACTGGTATGGCGTGATCCTTTCTTAAATCTCTTTATATGTATAATTTACATATTAGTATATAGAAAGAGAGAGAGAGACTTGTAGTAAAAGTATAGCAGCAAATAGATTGCTAAATCATATTAAGAAAAAGTGAATTATGGAAATTAACCTCTGAAAATATTATTAAAAAAACTGGTACAAAGAAGGTATAGTTGAAGTGGTTGGATGATAAGCAAAAGGTTGCTGATTTATCTCGAAAATTAGAGTGAAAGTCGTGAGAATTATGTAACGAAGATGTAGGAGAGGGGTGTAAAGAAAGATAAAATTAAAGACAGACAGTAGTTTATCACGAACAGATTCTTTATAGGAGGCAAGGGGTACTGGGGCGATGTATTCCCATACGATTTTCCCTTGTATCATTATAGAGAAAAGGGGGAGAGGGAGGAGATTCTATAAGTAGGAACCCTATAAATCGCCTCATTGCGTTCTTTCGATAGACAAAACACTAGGATACATCCGGAACATAAGGGTAAAAATGTATGATAATGTGCATTAGCACGAACCATTGCCTTACAATACGATGTCTCCTCCCCACGCCAATTATCCCTTCTTGTCTCTTGACAACTGCCTTGTTCGCGTCTAGGTTGAAATATTTTATTTCGCGTTATTACGTAACAAGTCATTTTCTTTTGACAGACTGACAGACGGTATGTGGTCAAATTGTTGTAACGGTGAATAAGCGAAGATATCACGCGGTTAACTCCAAGGGTCTTTTCTTCGAAATGGGGTTTAGAATTTCAACCAGTAGTTAGGGAAGTGCTTGTCACTTGAAAGTTTGGAACATTTGTCCCTTTTAAAATTCTTTTCATCACGTTATACTCTCTGATAATTTGTAACAACATTTTTTTCCTGTTTTTTTTTCTTGAGTAGTGTCATATGTTGTAAACCTCATGCAAAAGATAACACCAGTTTTTTTTCCTTTAGAAACGATACAAAATTTCAGGTATACATTGTTTTTTTTATCTAATGGTAAAAAAAGAATAATTGTATTCTATGTGCATATTTGTTTCTTTTAATCATTTATTCCAATTTAAAAAATATCCTATAATTACTATAGAGGTCGCTCTGTAATCGTCGGAAACAATTTTTACAGAGATACTTACCGCCATCTATTGCTCAGAAAGAGGAGAAAGCTGGTTGGTTGCCGTTTTGACCGCTACTTACAGCTGATTGGCCCGATTACGCGCCTTATACTCTCATTCCGCTGAGCCGGGCAAGTCCAGACAAGTACAGTCTCCGTCAACTTCCCCGCGATTGAACTCTCAGTATTAAACGGAAAGTGGAAAGTGAAAGGTCGCAAATCGACATAGAAATTTGAAAGAAAGACAAGGAGAAAAAGAAAAGAAATCATCATGAATAGAAGCGTTTGTTTCAGCGTTGCTATCTTAACAATCTTACTATTACAATTAGTAGATTCAAATCCGTTAAGCTCTAGAAGATGTCCATCAAGCGATGAATATTATAATTCGGCTAAAAGAAGCTGCCAAAAATTATGTACACCTTGCGAAAAGGACTTTGTCGAAGTATTAAAATGCATTGAACACCTAAGAGTGCCAACAATTTGCCGTCACTTTGATGAAATTTTAAGTAGTATTCCAAAGGCTTATGTAAGAGATTATTTGAAAGTTCACGAAAATCTCCAACAACAAACTATCCGTCAAGGTAAGCTTCATTTTTTATTCGTTTAAAAATTTATAAATGTTTTGGCTAAGAGATAGGAAAAAACAAGACGTAGAGCAGTTTTTATCGAGTACCAAAAAAATGGGTGGCAGTGGGCGGCTTTAAGTGTAATTAAGGGGGGGGCGGAGGGGGAAGTGAGATTATATAGATAAAGTAAAGTATTTTGAAATATTTTTTTAATGTGACTAATACTGTAGTATTGACGGTCTCGTTTATTCCTTACCTTTCTTTCCCTCTCTTTCCCTTATAAACTATCCTTTGCTCCTTTTATTCTTTATAACTAACCAAATTATTCATGGATAAGAATTTAAAAAGGGGCACGCGCTGTTAAAAAAGAGTACATTCCGAATATTCGTCCAACCGAACGGTCATAATTGAAGCATAAAATCAAAGAATAAAACAGGCGATAAAAGTAGTAAAATCGTATTATTTTCCATTTTGTCACGCGCTTACATTAAAAGGCGTCGCATTCCTAAGATTCTTAGCTTTCGCTGCTCTCTTTCCCCTAGTTTTGATTCCATTCTCTTTCTTCTTCTTCTTCCTCTCCTCTCACTCTCTTCAACTAATTTACCCGTCTATATAAATATATTTGGTGTAAAAAAAGTGGGAAGGAAGAAAGGATACCGCTTAGTGTGTACGCTCGTTCAGATTACGAAAGATTACGTAAGGCACGCGAGAATTCTTTTGATGTATGAAATGTGTCTCTTGAGATTTAAGCCATCGTTTGTCCACCAACTAATAGGTTAATGTGGTTAAAAGAGAAAATGAAGGCAATTAGACAGATAAAACTATCTAATTAAACTATTCAACTGTCATTGTCGCATTTTGATTCTTTTTCTAATCAGCCTATCGTTTATCGTTGTACAAGCTCAAACACGTCCGAAATGGCCTAGGCTTGACTTTTCTCAATTGTTTTTATTATTCCTCTTCTCAATCTATTATCTATATAATCGTTTATATGTACAGTGAATATATATAAATTTATATATATATATACCATAAAAGATATACTATTAATGCCACTTTGTATTGTGCTTTCCGCTCATTATTGAATATAGACGATATTTCGAAATATTCAGGAATATTGGGAGACAACCATATAGATAATACAATAAATAGACAATGAATATTCCTTTGTTTTATAACCACATTCAAATCTTTTATCTTCTATATACCTGTATATAATAAAAGTTGTAATACTAGCTCTTTATTTCCCTTTACCTTCTCCCAACCCCTAAAAATCCTTATTCTCAATATCCTCCCCACTTCATAATGTTGTCTTTTCCCCCCTTTCAATTTCCCTTACCCGAGATTAATTCGTAAGGACGGAAGGCAGGTTTTTTTTTCTTCAAACCATTGTCTGATAAAAAAAATCCCACCTCAAAAATTTTTTTGATAATGCGGGAGGTTGAGTTGATATTTCCTGTGTAATTTCGACAGATGCGGAAAGAAAATGCACATTAGAGATCTTTGGGAAATTGAATAACTATTAAAAATATATTTTATTTATATATTGGAGAAGGATAGAGAGAAGAAACGAATGAACGAGTATAATCTGTTGCCCATTAAAGAAGCGTTTTAGGGTCAACGATTAGAAGAGAGTTTAAAAAAAAAAAATAATACAATAGACGCTTTTTGTCGTTATTCTCTCTTTCTCTGTCTGTCTCTTTCTTTCTCTGGAAATTAATTATAGGATTACGAGATGTCTATGTAGGAAAGAAAGCAAATTACAAAAAATTTTCCTCGTTAATTATCAGGTAGACAGAGAAAATATTAGGTTTAGATAGACAAAGGGAGATAAAGAGAGAAGAGAAGGGAAAGAAAAAAAAATGGGAGAGCTATGCGAAAGAGTGTATTCTTTATGTTTTTTTTTACGGATGTTTGAACAGGATGCTTCATAATTCATACGAAATGTTATGCGGGCGATTTAACCTTTTATATAAATGAAAGATATATAAATATATTAAAATTCTTATAACTATATCAATTTTATACTTTAGTTACAGATTCATCCTACTGGTACGTGTATACAATTATACCAATTTCAATTGGAATGCTATGCCTTATGTTCATCGTTCTTCTCATCGTATTTTTAAGAAGCCGGTGTCAACCTTTCTACGATAGTAAGTACATATTTACTATTATTATATACATATATATGTTATTATTAGATATATAGATACAGGTTTTAAGTATATAAATTTAGATATGAAAATATTTAGTAGGTATTTGAATGAAAAAAATGGCGATATTTAAAATGATTCGCCTATGGGTCAAGACTCGTTAAACAACTGCATAAAATAAGCGGGGGCTAGAAGGCTGACAGGTGCACTATATTGGTCTTTATAGAGAATTGGGGCATGTGGAGTTTTTTAAGAAATAAGAAGTGTGGGGGGTTCAACGAGAGAAGAGGGGAGGGGGGTACCAAAAGAAAATAACGCTAAATGTCGTTTCGCACCGATTTACGAGCTCACGCTATTATAATTTAAAAACGATTTTCGGGTTCGGCGCGAAATAGACAATTTTCTTTAGTTTTCACTTTTTTTATCAATCTTTTTTACCATAGGACACTATCTCTCGTCACTAGGGTATTTATTTAGACATTAATAGACCTAAAAAATACCAATTGAGCATTATCAGACGCGTAAATAGGACTACATACAGTATAGTAATATATATGTCTGAGAAACCCTTAGTACCCCTCCTACTTTTCAAGAAGAAATTTAAAAAATCATTTTTCTATCTTTGTCTATATCTATTATTTTCTATTTCTTACCCACCCACTCTTTTCTCACCCGCAATTAGGCCTATCAATTATATTTATACACATACAGTGTGTATAAACAATAAAGAGTACTTGGTTAACCATAACTTTTATGTAAATAGGTTCTACTTGCCTATT